TTATACTCTACATTAATCCCATTGAATTTCTTATCTTCAAAAACAAACTTGCATAGTTGCCAACACCACGGTACAACAATTAAAGTTGACACAGTAAGACCTCCCCTCCCTCTCATCTCTAACTGGTATGAATAATACATTTTCACAAGGTTCTACCCACCATTGTGTTTAACCATCCACTCTCTCTATCTTTTTCAAATCGTAAATCTGACAAACACACGTCTGTTCATACGTGACATGATTCGCAAAACTGCAGCCATGACTTGACTGTTTATACAAGAAATTAAATTGTGAATATAAGTCGTACCGTTAGAGAGAAATCTCTGCACTTATATAGCAATACACGCACATTCTTCTTTCCCCACCATTATGTCTACGTCAGCCATCATGGATCCATGCGCATGCTTTCATACATAATCCATCCTCCCACCATTCCCCAACATCCATCGAACTATAACTATATCCGCCCTCATGTATCGGTATTCGTGCTTTCATACATACATACACCCCCCTACCATTCCCCTACATCCATCGCAGTATAACTATGACTATAACCGCCTTCGTGCATCCGCACTTATGTTCACATTGCATTGCATATGTATCGAATTACACGTTTAAAATATCGTAAATATTTTACAACATGTACATATTATATATCAGCAAACAGAGATTATTATAACGCAATAGATTTCATCCGTCAAAACATCACAGAAAGAGGGGCAGCCTGGAATTTGACAATGACATCTGAATGCACTAAGACGTTCAACTGGTCAGGAGGTGAGAGTTGCGGAAGATTACGGTAAACTTCAGTTACAGATCTCCATTACGAATATCTAAAGTATGAATAAAGATCACAGCTTGCTATGACGTGTACTTCATGCCTGCAGAATTAGCAATGTCCTTAGCTCTAAATTATATGTCTAAATGCTTATGTAGACAAAGAGCCAAATGTATATAGGCATGGCCATATTATATTCTACGCAAATATCACCACATTTAAAAACAAAGCTAGATTGAGTCTTTGAAGGGCATTAAGAACTGATACACACAAGGAAAAATATTTATGGATGTCAACGGAGGAACACTGCGTTTCAGAATATATACTTTCTCCTTCATCAGGTGCATATTATTAAATGCTATGAGGCAGAGAACATATATTTGTACCTGTAAGAACAACAAAAGTAAAAAGATAGCAAAGAAGGGAACGCAACAAGGGAAGCCAACAGATAACTGGCATGGCGCTGATTACCCCGCCTCCCGTTTGCCCATTGTCCATTTCCCATTACCAATCATTCATAAGTTAAGTTTTGGCTTTAATTTGTCCATTGATAATCAACCATCAACGTCTATTGTCTCCACCCTAAAAATATGTAGTTTACTTAGAAAGTGGTATCCAAATATAACGTGTGTTACTGTTGACCACTTTCTTTGGCATTGTTGGTTCAAAGCTTTCGGTTACAGAAGCCGTGCCATTTTTCTCTTGTCAGAGGAGTACACAAAGTATACGTCATCTGGACTAACATTTTTGATTCGGTGGCTGGGTTAGATCGCCAACTTTGTGTTCTGGCGATTGGGTGCCTCACTCACAGTGTGGGTTCAAATCCCGGACGGGACTAAACCCAAGAAAGTACGAGAATCTGTACTTTACTCAGAAAGTGTTATCCCAATTATAACATTTGTTGACAAGAAAACACAATAAATGTATATTCGGCTTTGGATGGGTAATGATATCACAGACATATACGGATATTGATGATGACTTGGAGGAGCTTCGTAACGCACGTCTTCTCAATTCAGGGATTGGTAAATCCAAATATGTGTGTGCGCGTGCGTGCGTGCGTGCGTAAGTCTGGGCCTGTTGGATGTTACATAAAACATTCGAGTTGGATTAGCATGTTAACTATATGATCTTCTTTAGGCAGAGAATGCCGCGCATGAATGTATTGATGAAATTCCTAGGTACATGGGGCCTTTTCGTCCCCAGGAATACCCACAGTGGAGACTTCAATGGGGATAGGGTGTACACAATGTGCTACCTGGTAGATTGTGTGTCATCAGACCGGACAACGTTGGTCTTTAACTGATTGTGGCGTAAAACACACTTATTCATTTACTTATATCGAAAATTGAATGTTCATCTTAATTGTTATTGTTGAACATGTAATATATTTTTAAAGAAATAAAACAGTGACATAATAACTACAACTGTATGTGAGCGCGAGTAGCTTTTTTGGAATGAGATGAATAAGTCTTATAAAGTTGTAAGCTTCTTCACAACCGTGTAACTATGAATTGACTTTATTGGGTAATCAAAAAAGAGATAGGACCTAAAATAGCCAAATTTCATACGATTTCACTTGTCCACCAACTTGGATGCAAGGCGAAAACATTTCAGCGCGTTTGAAGCCACTGAGAATGCCCCCTGCAGAGTTGGACGAACAATCTGCGTCGGCGCGGCTGAGTTGACCAGAGGCTATCAGCAGTATTTCCTGTCCAGGTTATTTAGGTCAGTTGTTTGTTTGTTTGTTTGTTTGTGTGTGTGTGTGTGTGTGTGTGTGTGTGTGTGTGTGTGCGTGCGTGCGTGCGTGCGTGCGTGCGTGTTGGGGGGGGGGGGGCGGGGGGGGGTGAGATTGGGGGGATAGATGATAGATTTAGCAACAAGTAAGGTCATCTTGATTGGGAGGGTATTCACAGATGGATTAGCATATGAACTATGATTCTCTTTAGGCAGAAAATGAGGATCCACGATGTTCGACCTGGTAGAAGTGTGTTATCAAACCTCACAGCATTGGTTTTTTGACTGACTGTAGCGTCAAAACAAACTCATTCATTTACTTGAACTGAATGTTCATCTTAATTGTTATGGATAGTCACGGAGCCATGATCCAGAGAACAGGGTGTTATTAGATAGAAATAAACTAAGTAATAATAGGATTACCAGAAAAACGGGGTTTTACACACAAGTCAATAAACTTCGCTCATTAACACCAGAGTAAGTCAGTACAAGATTGAAAACTGCCCCATAATTATGTATAACATGCTTGTCGGGTATTGCAACATGTATATGTCAAAACAAAGTTATTAAAATGAAGAGCAAAACTGATGAAAGTTAACAATAAACGTGTATACGTGTTATATCGTCACTGCAATAATGATTGTTTGTCTTTAGTATTAACATTCAAATACGTTATATCTGTATTAGCGATATTGTCTTTGTTCCACCGGTGAGTAAGCGTTAGCCGTACTATCTCGTAGTAAAATTGTATTTCTGAAGACATCACGATACAGTTTTTACGATGCATCACGTCTGCACTAGCGCCTGATAACAGCCTTGTGTTTGGGTGTTTCAGTGGTTTCAATCGCTGCTCTTGATATTGTTGATTAAACTTTGATACTATGAACAATATAATGTTATGTGAGAGGTTGACTTTAGAACGGTAACATACTAATAGTATATAGGATGACATAAACACAACATTGAGAAGTTCGTCCAGATTAGTGTATAGGCAACATTTAATAATTAAAATAATTACATTCAACAACTCCCCTTTTAAGTCCATTTTCCTGACTTATAAGTAAATGCAAGAACAATCGGCCGGAATACAATGTATAGTTCTTGTCCACTTCCATATGACTATATAGCATACAATAAGCTATCGGGTCCCGTTTAGATCGGTTTGGGTGGCAGCCTAGATAGCCATAGAATAGTTTCATCTTGGAATTTCCCATATCAACGGGGATCCTCTTCAATTTAAATGGAGTTACTCGTTACGATTCCGAACCTTCACGTGACTGTGTTTATGAACCATTGTCAAATAGTGGTGACATTAAATCCAGGAAACAATACGCGAAATCGCGCATGCACAGAACGGAAAATTTGGTCAAGGCATTAAGTAATCTGCATGCGCAGAACGATTGATTTCAGTACTTCCGCTAAGCGCTCCGAGTGCAGGGTCAAACGCGCGCCTGTAATCTAACACGCGGGGACTGACCAATGAAATCTGAGAAGTAGAAATACCGGTAGACGCTGTTGCTTGATTGACAATGTCAATCAAGAAAGGGAGGAGCTTAACGCTATCGTTCTCTCCCAGTAAATTCCGATGTCAAATAACGACGTTATTTGGACGGAAAAACGATGGTTTGAAAACGTCCAAATAACGTCGTTTTTCCGTCCAATGACCATATACGGAAAAAAACGACGTTTTCGTGTTTGCAGTGAGGTGTCTGTCTACTACAACACCTCAAGACACAGGCAGCACTCCTCCCCTGTAGGACGAGCCTCTCCCAGCCAAGAACGGCGCTCTTCACACCGGCGACAATCTCCAAGCCGGGAACGACGTCCTTTGCCCTGTAGGCATATCCCAAGACGGGAAGTTTCAAGGCAGGAGCGACATGTCTCCCCAAGATGGGATCGACGCCCTATGTCAAGGAGGCAAGCCCCAGAGCCAAGGCACCAGGCTTCTCCCTCACGACACGTCAGGTCAAACAACCAAGGGCTCAGCGTCTCTGTCGTTAACAAGGCCGCCCCGAAAATAGCAGCTCGGTTTCAGAGTAGTCATCTTCATGGAATGGGATCGAGCTGTCCAATACGGACGTGCGGAAAAAGAACCAGGACGCTGCGCCACTATGCCTACGGAGCTCACCTCCCACCATGTTTCCGTGACTCCGTACCAGCGTCACAAGAAATGGCAGCTGACATGATATCGGCCATAAAAGACCTTGCCCAGCAGATCTAGGGAGCAGGAGCTACCTGGACGGAATTACATCAGTTCGTCCTAAGGAATAGCCTTGTTCCCAAAGACATAACCCTAAGAGGAAGCTGCTTCAGGCACATTAAAGAGCTGTGTAACATCAAAGGATGGGCGTTACCACTAGATTCTGTCAACCTGTCGCTGGATAGCCCTGCCTGTCTTATACATTGGAGGATCTTGGTAGCCCTTCTGGACGTCACCTCGGATGGAGTCCGAAATCATTTCATGAATTTTGGGAACCTTCTGCAAATGCCAGGACCATCGCCATCTGTGCAAGCCACTCAAACAGCAGAGCTTCCCGGTACGTCCACTCGACCAACTCCATCCTCAGAGCCGCCGAAACTAGAGAGACTTCCCAGGGGTTTTGATACTCGCTTCCATTCAGACAGGATGCGCAGCAGGCTCAATCTGGACGCTGCCACACCCCTGGAAGAGGTCCTGGACAAGGCTGGCCAGCCAAAAGAGGTAGACATCAACCTTCAGAGGGCATTACAGATCCTTTGCGATCCACCAACCTGGCCCCAAGAACCAACTTTCCATCAGTGTTGGAAGATAGCAGTAGGTTTCCACCCAAAGAATGTGCAGTCCATGGACCCCGACCAACTCGACAAGTTAAGGCATCTGCTATCATCCCAGGATGTAATCGTCTTCGGGGAAATTGGCCTGGACTTTACTGTGGGAAACTGGGAACGGCAAGGGCAAGTCCTAGGGGAGCTCTTCAAGCTGGCACCATCAACCAAGCCAATCATCCTCCACCTCAGGGGTACTACCGCAGATACGTATCAACAGGCTCCACTACAAGAATGCCTCCAAATTGCCAAAGCCGCTGGAGTACCTTCCAAGCAGGGATTCCATCTCCATTGTTTCTCTGGGTCATTTAAAGAAGTGGCACTGTGGACCAAGCACTTCCCTGAGACGTGGTTTGGATACACCGGGATGGTGGCCAGCTTTGACGACCAACAGCTATCAGCATTGCGATTTCTGAATGCCAAGCGCTTCCTTTTGGAGACTGATGCCCCATATCTGTGGCCTCGCCCAGGTCGCCGAGGAGTCAATAGCCCAAGACTACTGGGTGAAGTTGCAGCTATGGTGGCCGCTGCCCGACAGAGTACCACAGCCAACATCCTGGAGCATGCCTATGTCAACGCTAGGCAGCTCTACAGAGTCTGATGATTCACACCATATGAATGGGATTCCTGAATCTGACTTGGTCAGGACTGGAACTGAGTCCACCGATCTGGTCTAGATTCTAGGATTCTCATAGCAGCTTTGTCATCTATTTAAGTTACGTGAACCAACTCGTTTGCCACCAAACAATCTGGTTGGGGATTTTCTTATTTAAGGCGTATGACTAATCTTAACCATGAGTTACGCGAACTGTCTCGGTTGATAGCACAAAACTGCTGCCCAACCCTGCAGGGATTTTGTCATGTTTTGGTGAGATCACCTTTTAGATCCTCCATGTCCACCTGATACCACAAGGGGAAGGCAAGTCCAGAAAAGAGGGAGGAATGTAGTGATTGGTGCTTCCACACTCGTACATTGGGTTACATCGGATTGGCCACCCGATGTTACTCGTATGTTTCCGGGTGTGATCGAGGCAGGTGATCAACTTACCCGCCAAATCTGACAGGTGACAATCGAGAGATTGAGACAAGACAGCCGACCTAACAGACTAAACCCACAGAAGCTTACGTTCTCGATCTCCCCTTCATCAAGCTTACGCTCTAAGGTAAGCGCCTTTTCCCTATCACTAGGCTTTCACAACAATAAATATCCTTGCATGTCTATACGGAAAATATAAATGTTATTATTTTTAATTAAACAGTCTATAATCACGATTTTAATTAAATACCCCAAAGTGTTAACACTTCTATTACTTATTGGAAGGTCAATTCATAATCATATTCAACATTCGTGCTTCCAACATGGGAACTATTTATTTTATTTGGCAACATATATTTTTCATTTATTTGTTTATTTTTCACATCAGATTTAAGAAACTTTGCCAACACATGCTATTTTGCATTATGCTTTTCAATAATTACAGTTGATTTCTATTGACCGATAAAACTATTTGCCAAAACTTACACCATTGACATCATACTGTTAGTAAATGAGATTTATCTCCACTGGTTTATTTAAGAATGTGATACTTTGAGGTTTCTATTTTTCTTTCAGGTTGAGTTTACAGTATTGTAGAAGCATATTTGTTTAAAGAACATCACAGCCCGAAAGGTATACATGATGCATTAATATACTGAACCGCAAAAGAAACGTCACCCCAAGTAACATTGATGAAAAGTTGTCAGTTAAATATCTTGGTAATTTTTGTCAGTTTGTAAAATTTAACATTACCATGTCCGGAAAATGAAATTTGATGATAAAAAAACAAAGCAGATGACAAAAAAAAACGATCGCCCAAACACATCACGGCAGCGGCCATGGTAACTCGATGAACGTGAGTTCCGTTCAAATGGAAATGCACATGCGTGCCCCCATTTCTTGCCCTATAAAAATCCACCCAGATCGGATAACATTCATTCGTTATTGTATTGCTACCACATGCCAAGATTGACAAGCAATCAGCGACAACAAACCCTTGGACGATTGCAAACTGGACAAACCGCCCGGCAAGTAGCCAATGCTTTTCAAGTCCACGTAAGGACAATAGACCGGCTCCAGCAACGGTACCAGAACACCAACACTACAGCTGACCGACCACGTAGTGGAAGACCAAGGGTCACCAACCGACGTCAGGATCGTCAGATTGTGCGACAGCAACTTCAAGATCGCTTTGTTACTGCTGCGGAAACTGCTCGACGGACCATGAGGACACATTAGTGCGTCGACGATTGACGATCTGACACCACGTCATCGCCGGGACCGTCTTATGTAGGCAACACAGCACCAGCATTGGCGCCACCAGCAGTGGAGAAGAGTCCTCTTCTCAGACGAGAGCCGTTACTGTATCTCAACAACAGATGGCACAGAGAGAGAGTCTGGCGACGCCGTGGGGAACGTTATTCGGATGCTTGTGTTGTTGAGAGACTCGTGGGGTGGTCCGAGCATCATGGTGTGGGGTGAAATTGCACAGAAGGTCGGCCCTGTGGTCTTCCAGAACATCGGTCAAGGGAGAGGTAATGGTGTCACAGCAGCTCGGCACATTGATCAAGTCTTGCGACCACACGCCATACCTCATTTGGTACGTCGCCGCAACCACGAGTTTCACCATGATAACGCCCGTAGCCACACTGCGAAAGCAACAAGAGACTTCCTCCAGCAGAATAGCATTAGAATCATGCAGTGGCCTGCCCTCAGTCCCGATTTAAATCTCATTGAGCACCTGAGGGACGAGATTCAAAGACGGGTGAATGACGTCCGAATAAGGGTGACAACTGCAGCTGAACTGCGTCATGTAGTCATCAATGCACATGACGGACACACGGGATACTGACTTGTGATGCCATTTTCTCAGAGACTACTGTTGTGTTTCACTTTAAGTATATTTGATGCTTTAATTCCAACCTTGATGATCAGTTTTGCCAAGTTTCATCTTTTTAATATGTCTCAAAGTATGTTTACAGTGTTTGGACAAATAAGGTTTCTCAGACATCTGTCCATGGTGACGTTTCTTTTGCGGTTCAGTATGTATACAAACATCTTAAATAATGAAAACTTTCGATGATTCTTATTTAATTATACCCCCAATCTAGAAGGGCGGGTTAATAAAGTTATACCCAGGATATCCACCCGTCCTTCCTTCCAAAGACATTTTTGTGTGAGTGCAAAGTTTGATTTTGATATGTATATTTTCCGAAAAAAATATGATTCTGTACATGATTTTAATTTGAATATTTCATTTTATTTCAACCCGTGTGCGACATATCACTTGAACACTACTTCCTGGATTCTTTTTCCAATTAGGCGTACAGTTTCTACACCCATAGCAGAGGTGCAGAGCGAAGTTTGATTTCGAATAGTATATTTCCAAGAAAATATAGCTTTTTTCATGTTTTGAACTTAGAATATCTTTTTACTTCAACAATTGAGCTACCCATAACTTGGGAACTTCTACATGGATTCTGGCCAAATTTAAGGAACACGTTTTCTATTAATTGGAGAGATGCAGTGCAAAGGTTGATTTTGATATGTGTATTTTATGAAACAATATGCAATTTGTACATGTTTCAACTTAGAATGTTGTTTTAATTCAATGTTTGTGCGACTTTTAACTTGAGAACTGCTGCATGAATTATTTCCAAATTTAAGAAACACTTTCTATACAAATAGAAGAGGTGCAGTGCAAATGTTTATTTTGATATGTGTATTTTCAGAAAAAAAATATGATTTGTTTCATGTTTTGAACTTAGAATTATTTTCCTTAACATTTTTGTGACATAAAACTTGAAAACAAACACATGGATTCTTTTGCAATTTGGAGTAGTTTCTATAGCAATTGGAGAAGTGCAGTGCAAAGTTTGATTTTGATAAGTGTATTTTCTGAGAAAAGTATGCTTTTTATGTTTTGAACTTGAATGAGTCAAGGATACCTTGTTCATTTCAGTGTTAATAACTTTTCTGCCTATGTATGATCAACATCATGGTATTACGGTCAATGCCACCTTCGCATTTTTAGCAGTTTTTAACAGTTTAATGACTTAGAGGGGTGGAGATAGCACTGCTGAGACTTTTTTCAGACATCAAATTATTTTGGGGGGGAAAGCAACCATTTTTTAATGTAAATAATATGCCCCCTGCCTTGTCATTTTTTTATATTTGTGTCATTGTTATATTCAGTTACCAAGGTACAAGGAGGGACCAGGATACAGATCATCCCTGTGTTAAGTTCTTCTGACATTGAGGACTGAAATGGCTCCTCAACCACTCAGCCCAAATTCTGACTTGTCATTTACAAATAAATAAAGGTCACTTAAACCAGAATTCTATTGTCATTTTGTTGCTGTCATATCCATATCGCCATATCGTTTGAGTTAGAATTTAACATGGGATCGGCATTATTTCAGCCATACAGCGACGAGACCAAGTTGATATATACACAACTTCTTTGCGAATACAAAGTTATATTTACAAACAAGTCACCAAACATATTTGGGCTCAACAATATTATTTATACAGTTTTAAAACACGGGCTATAGGCCACCATTTACCAAAGTTAGACCACCTCGCTGGGGATCATGGGGACTTACGGTGCCTCTGCTTCCTGCATAACACCCCAGCAGGATTACGTCATCACTTTAGCCACTGGTGGTTGTGCTCAGTATCAGCCAATATAAAAAATACTCGGCAATGAGTTGGCTTAAAACACTGCTTGATGATAGTTACATCGATTATGATAGGATTACGTGTCACACATGGGGACAATAATTTTATAGTACTTCAACCTCCTGGACAGAGCCTTCAGTAATATCAGTTAATAAAATCATCACACCAAATTAAGGAAGAAGCAATTAATTATTCACATACATATTTATAATTTATTATACAACTTGCAACCATCCTTGGACCCGTCTGTAAAAATGTATCTGTATTTGGTTCGTGATTGGTTATATTGATAAACTTTTTGAGCTTGGTTAGAGTGAGATCTACCTCTGGCTTCACCATGTGCCAGGGAGGGGAAAACAGAAGTCGGGATGGTGTTATAATATTAAGATCTATTTTAGCTGCAGTGATGTGTGGTTGAATTCTGATTATAAGTGGTGAACCGAGTTTGACAGATTTCGAAACAAGTTTTCTTATTGAGGGTGGAAAACGCAATCGTATGCTTGATATGATTTATTTGAAATGCAGTGAAAGTTTACTGAGCCGCTGTTCGAGGGAAGGTTCATCAGCCTCCACATACAAACTGGATCGTGGATCAGCTTTCCCTCGGGCAGTCTGCAATTCATGGAGTGGAAATGTTTCGCTGTAGTCCTCACAATTATCAGATTTAAAATTTACGTTCTTCTTTTCCTGCTGTTTTTGAAACCTTTGAAATTGAGGGTTATAGTTGGAATGATTTACCAAAGTTTCACCAAGCTTGTAACAAATTTCAGATTTAGTTGTTAAAAGTGTATTACCATAGATTTGCATTAATATCAGATTTACCCATTGGTCAGGAAACTAATTACTTTTTAGTTTATTTTTATACGTTTATCATTTTGAAAAAGGAAGGCACACCTATCTTCTCACTTTTGAACCAATACATAAACTCACGGGCAAAGAAACGCTGGCTTCTAATATTCGCATCTAATAAAGACATATGAAAAATTATGTCAACAGATATCCTTTTATTTTACAGAAACAACAATAGACAACTCTGACAGCCACGTGATGATATGTTCAGGAATTATGAGCATTTTTGGGAGAGGTGTTTGAATGTCCATAATTCGATCATGTTCTTTTTCTTGTTGTCAAACAACAACACATGTGAAAATAACAATTAATCGTCAATATCGAGAGTGTCCACCTCTAGCACAGGAATGGAAGTACGGCTGGTGTAAGGACCTGGTTGATATAGCCGTTAGCGTTGAGGTTACCATTTATAACCACCAGGTCGGTCTTGGTGTCACCGCAAATACCGCCCCAGATCATCACACTGCCAACGCCATAGGGGTGCACTTCCTGAACGCAGTAACGTGACGTACGTTCGCCTCTACGCCGGTAAACTCGCAATCGGCCGTCAGCACTGAAAACCTGGAACCTACTCTCATCGGTAAACAGCACTCTGTACCAATGTCGTCTTTGCCAGCGTTGCACTGTACGAGCCCACCTCAATCTGTTTAGTCTATGTTGTCGGGTCAAGGTCATTCCCTCAAAGGTCGATAAGCTCTCAAACCAAAATGGCGGAGACGTCGGGCTTCAGGCCTTCTGCTGACGGTGTGTTAGAAAGCATTTTGTGCTGATGACGTCACAGTGAGGAATCTGTTACGTAGGTGCAACATACGCAAATAGCGGTCTTCGTTGGGCGTGGTTACTCGTGGTCTTCCACTTCGTGGTTTGTCTGATTTCCGGCCAGAATCTCTAAAACGTTTCACCAGTCTCTCGATGGTGGATTTGTGACAGTTCATGATTTCTGCAACTATGGTCTGAGTTTCACCCGTCTGCAACATTCCTATTGCACTCTCTCGCTGCTCAGACGTCAAACGTGGCATTCTTGTAGGTGAAATCTAAACGATTCAATGCTACAGAAGGTTTCTGTGCAAAATTTATACCTAATTCTAGCACGAAATTTGCCTTATGCATTTTTTACAAAAAGAGGGAAAAAAAGTATTTCTCCGAAAATCACGAGCTGTAGATTCGCCACGACCCCTAGGAAATAATTAGTGCGTTTGGGAGAATGTTTTTATATGGTATCGAATCACGGTTTTAGGTTTTGATCAAAACTGTGTCAACGTTTATAAAACCAGCGTTTCTTTTGCCCGTGAGTTTACAACACACAAATAATGAATACTGTTGTCTTTTTGCAAGTGTACCCTAAACAATATTCCCGAGTCCCAACCTGACGTGTGACGTTCTTAATGATTTCTTTATAAATATGTACATGCTCTGTCAAAATTTAGATGTTCCTCGCAGGAGCTTTTTATTTAAGTTGAACGATATACTGATATGCCAAGGAGTACAAGAATATGTACACTGTGTCACCTTACTAGAGTTGAAGATGAGTATCCTTGTCTGCGTGTATGTCCTTTCTATTTGAGTTTTGAATTAAGTATATAGCAAGATTACTCTATTTTGACAGGTCCATAGGAAGTTTCAAATCACAATAACCACCTCTGATTGAATGGCAATTCGAAGTGATGATACATTGTAGGTTACAAACGGGATATGAATGAGATGTGTTGCGCTTGTGTCGCTCGCTTGCTGGCTTTTCGGAGTCCTGACACGAAATGCCTACACGTTCATAAATTCTTACTTTCTCTGGCTGATATGTCACCCGAATGGCAACAGTTAAACGAGGAAATCAATTTTTCGGAGACATTTTCCGGATGAGGAATTTCACTTAAGGCATCAAGTTGCATCGGGTTGCTTTATCTTGCTTGGTTTCATGTCCTCTCGGATATTCTGTATGACGTATGTATTACTAAACTATTTTGAAGTATACAACAGAACGTTCAAAAATGTCGCCGTCTCATCTTTTTCGATACAGAGAATCTATGTCAGATTATTCTTTTGCATGTTTTAAGTCTAAAGGCGAATACTATTGTTTGTGAGTGTCGGAGAAAGTACCGGAAAACCCATTTCCCAACGTTCAGCCGTTCAATATGAGACTGTTGACAAGTTGAAACGTGCTTGTATATTTCTTTATTGCATTATACAACTTTTTCGACGATTGTTTTTATAAGTTACAGTGTAAAGATGTGTTAGAGAAAGATAAAATGTTGCCCTCGCATTGTCCACAAATATTATAGGGTCTGTGTACATATAGGGTAAAGAAGGATGAGTAAAATATAAGATCGGAGGCCGGTGTCTGTACAAGAGAAAGACATCCTCCGCACTCTTCTTTCAAACATGCAATGAAACCTTCACAAGTGACTACATATGTCAAATTCAAATGGCCATCTTGAACACCACAGCATTATTGGCAGTCACAGCCATACCAAACGACAAAGTCAGATGTTATGCCAAATGCAAGGAACACAGAAATACTACATATGTAAGCGACATGGCTCATAATTAATAAAAATCCAACTTCACAACTTTACAAACAGAAACGGCGAAGTAATCGGGGTAATGTACATTCTACAAATGAAATTCTATGAAGATATTTCAGTCAGGTGAGCTAAAAATAAAAGAAATATGTAAACTGTCTCAGTCATGCCTGTTTGAACGTATCACATATATAATAGAAACATAATAAACAACATGTGACTTTCTTTGAAGACCTATTTAAGACAAATAGACCTTCGTATATTTGAAAGCAATACATTTCACAACTCTATGTTAAGGTCGAAACATGTTTTCCTGAGCTTGCCGCTTTACATTTTCAACAATAACCGAGGAGGAGTGTTTTATCCGACTTATGAACCGTCTAAGAGCTAGAAATACCAGAGAGAATAAGAAAGCATCAGGATACTCTGTAGGGAAATAATACCGTATGTCATGGTATAAAAGGGAGAAGTTGGTAATAAGTGTTGCATTTGTGCCCAATTCCTTTGTCTTTTTGGACAATAAAATATGTTTAATAATAATAAAAGGAATTTCATGAAAGCGTGCCAAGAAAAGACCACATACATCATGCACAGAACTGAAGTCATGACAAATGAGATTGACCATTCTTTCATCACCTGCCTCAGTTGCTCTGTGTGAAAACAGTGGGCTGCAATACCAAACACGATGCACCGATTGAGGGCATTGGCTGCCCCATCAAAAACATGATGTAGAAAATCTTCAGAGTAAGTTATTAGTTATTAAATTTATATATATATATATATATATATATATATATATATATATATATATATATATATATATATATATGTATATATAAGTGCACTAAGTCACTCGTGACTAGGTTTTTTATGGGGAGTAACTGATTGATTGATTGTGAACTGTTGTCAGTAAAACATTTCTGTAAGTGCTTTCTGGTCATCGGTTGAAAAGAAACAGAATGTTTTCTTTGATAGTGAACTCTGCTTTTCTCTCCACTCCATAACGTTGCCTGAATTCTTCCCACCTGTTGTTTGGTGTTGTGGCGCTTTTCACACGCTAAAATACAAACAAACTATATTCAAATTGAACTTCAAGATGGTCGTTCCTCCCTTAAAGCTCTGCCCCTGATCCTGAGTGAAACAAATAACCACATCAAATACCGTAAACGACAAAGTGAAGAAAGCTTTATACAGCATTGACCTGAAGAAGTCTCATGGTTTTGTTTCAATGTTTAAATTTGATTGACCTAAGGTTGGTACCTCGAGGAACGCTGTATCAACACTATTTGAGCGTTGGCGTCTCAATAGCTGAAGATATCTTGAAAAGTTAAACTGTTTTCAACATATATTAAACTCTGGACTTTCGATATTTGAAAATATGTTGACAATATGACATTGTTTTCAAAATTGAAAGTAATCTAAAATACAACATTTCATGATAACATAAATTCAGTGATCTTTTATGAAATATATATTTTAGCCGTTGATTGGTAGCAATATATATAACAAAATTAAACTCGATGTTAATACTACCAAACGATATGATTTAAACATGTACTTTTTATATTTTAATTGTACAATGACATTACAATGGTCTGCAAAGCACTGTGATGCAATTTCATTGCAGCGATATCTACAATGCAGATATCGCTTGATCTCACCCAAGCGTTATATCCTGTGGGAGGCAGTTTTGGATGATATATATGCAGACCATTGTGATGTCATGTTGCCATGACGTCACAATCAAATGACATCACTAATGGCTTTGACGCTGTTAGCAATCCTTTTTACACCTAAAACACTGCTAATTACACTGTCTACAAACTGAGGACATCTCGCAATTTACCTGGACATTCCCGGCCTGTATTTTGGCATTGTGATAAATGTTGATCATAATTTTATTCTTCAACTTCGGTTAATTCATCATTATAGTTGTAAGTGCAGAACACTTAATTTAACATTTCAAATCACTTAAAATGTTAATTATAATATTTTCAAATGTCAACTACAGTTTGACTAGGGCTTTTTGATATAACGGATAAAACACTTGGACTGAATGTGAGAAATTAAGTATTTAGCTGTACTGTGGTACAAGGTTCATCCGAAGCACTTGTTGACAGAAGAGCAGCCTCCATCTTCGGACTATGGCTCGCGGTTTGCTTCTTGTGGCAAAATACATATGTGAGATGTATTCTTTTGCATATATACACTGTTATGTTTCTATGTGCGCATGTTCTAAAACATCACGTATTTGATTGAAGTAATAGTTATTTAAGACACTTTTGATATTTGTAAACTTAGCAAAGAATTTGTTCTATTTTTTAGTTTTCTGAAACCTCATCAGCCACCGCCCGTCCTAGTATCCACTTTGGCTTGAAGCTTAACATTGATATTTTTCCATGTTATAGTGTTATATGTTGAAGGTTGTAATAACTACTAAGGATTGTAACTAAGGCTTGGATGGAGATAGCCCTGCGGGTGTTTTACAGACCAATAGTGTCATTGGCAGCTTTTCACCCTACGTAAACCATGTATGGAAGGGTCTCAAATGGGGAGAAATTGGCATGCCCTGGACACGAGATGAACCGGGGACCTCAGTCACTCTAGGAGTAGAGTTTGGGAGTCCATTTCAACTGATTATATATTTCTACAGAGCTGTATGCATCAATGCAACATTATTCAAACGTCTACAAATCTTTCAAATCCAATGGAGAATCAATGTCATTTCAGTGTTGAAGAACAACATTGTTTCAATATTGATTCAAAAAATGTTGTGCCCGCTGCGAGTGCCGACTCTATAATGGACTCTGTACAAGTTGTTGATTTCGGGAAATTAATGTCCTAAAGTCCTAAACAACCTATTTTCGTAAGAGGCAACTTCATGGATCTCGTGGTCAGTCTCCGTGACTTCGCATGTCATCGTGCACCGGCGGCGTGGATCGTTATTCATAAAGAAATCAGTTGATCTTTTACATGCCGCCGTCTTACAGCTTGAAATAGTGTAACGATAAACAAAGAATAAAGAAACAATTGTGTTTCATTTTGTCCGTCCATCCGACCCAAGTTTTGTAACATGTCGCTTACTTGAAACAAAGAAAATTGTTGATATTTTGAGAGAAATTGTGTCATACAATATTTTAGACTGCAATAAATGCATAGATTAAAATCGTATCCTTCGTTATAATGAAGTAGCATACAGACCTGACCTATGGAGCCTTTTTCATGCAGGATCTGTATCACCATGGTTATTGGAATAGGTACAACTGATGCAAGAGCGACACACCAACCAATAGTGACAGCGACGGGCGTGTACTCATAACTCCCGTAAGATGGTGGTTTGTAAGAAGCGACAGTTAGAAACATGGCCACCTACAAAAGAAATGATATGCCACTGTATCAACAGATATATGATAGAAAAACATTGCTTCTTTATTTCATAAAGCAGGAGCAACATGCATTCTAAATTCAAATTGTCTAGAAAAGACTTTTAAAATGTGAACGGCATGGAGAATATGCATGGAATATCTTCGTCAACACTAGTTACAGAATACCATTTAAGGTGCTCAATATAAAAGAATGTCTTTACACAAACAAGTAGGGGGTACGGGTGGCCCAGTCGTCGAAGGCGCCGCAATTCGCTGTGCAGAGTTGCGTCCCTTCGGTGCACCAGAAACCTATGATCGAGGGTTCGCCCTGATTATGTTTGTCAGGTTTGGGTACACCAGAAACCTATGATCGAGGGTTCGCCCTGATTTTGTTTGTCAGGTTTGTCAGCACCATATATACCCGTCCTCGTTGGTTTCACCAAAGTGGTAATCGTCCGAGGCCTGTTTCACTTCGGGCTTTCCTCCCACACCAAGCTGATATAATTGGAATATTTTTCAAAGCGGCGTCAAGCCCAACTCACTCACTCACACAAACTATTTACACAATCAGATATAAGCTAATATATGTCTTGACGATTGTGTGTAAATACTTTAAGGATAATGAAAATTGCTACTCTTCACGTTCTAGAAACACAATCTTTATTTCAGGTTGCTATATGCCCACTATACTCAACCGTAAGAAGAACAGGAACAAAGATGAAGCACAACAGTTTAAAGACTATTGGCAGCTGTTTCCCAATCATAGCCTCGACGTCCACAGCAAAACGCTTCATACCTAGTAAACAGACGCAGAATACATGTAAAGGTTTATTATTATACTTGAGTGCGAAAGACTGAGTTTTCTGAACTTGAGAAAAGGGATATTTTCATTTCACTGAACATAACACTTGCTATTTCACCGCAGTTAACATAACTATATTCATACAATCGTTACCACGCCGCAAATTGTCTCCCTTCAGCGTACGTGTCTGACCCGTACACAAACTGTTTACTCCCTTTTTATGTTAGTTCCACTGGTTAAAATATCTCCCTTTTCCTCAGTCACGCGATAAGAGAAACATAATCGACAAGCATTCCCAAAGGTTGTCCTTCAAAGTTTTCAGGCATCAACTGGGCTACTATTAATCAATAAGCAGGCAATTGGTGAGAAACCGTACTCGAACCAGTGCTTTAAAGGACCTTTCATAGTTGGTTTCTCTTTGTCTGATAGTTGCTCTTACAGATCACAATTGTTTATCCGTGTTCATTTTGTCAATAGTTTTGTTCCAGCACGTTTTCAATTGTCATTTAAAAGGTGCTCTGTGAGCTTAATTTTGTTCAACGTGAATGTTTGTTTAGAGGGATTCAGCAAATATTCGTGAATGATTCTGAATTGTGAAATAATCCAAATGTGCGTTTTCGGAAAAAAGGAATGTTCATTCTGTGTATATATTTAGTTGATTGTATATATATATATATAGTTGATTGCTGGTTCATATTTAGTTCTTATTCACGGAGGCGAACATCTCTTGGCCTGGACAATAGCCACAATAGGTCGCAGCATGCATACCAATTATTCAACAAATATTTTCCAACTTACCGTAGCACCAACCGACAATGATGCATTCCAGAGTACCGATTACAAACAAAGCAACGGCAGCCACATACCAATCTAATAACTGGAACACGTACACGCCAGCCTGAAACAAAAATGTAAATGCATGTCCAAACTAATTTATGAGAGTACTCATCATAATACAATGGAGATATAGTAGCCTTGGTATTCGATCCTCATCGACAGTATGGAAATCCTCGCCTTTGATGAATTTTGATTAAGTCACTGAAATCATTTAGGTTTAGGTTCATTGGTGAACTGGCAACATTATTTTAGCATTACTTGAATTTCACTAATAATGAAAACAGCGATTCGCGTGTGTTTTATGAAGAGCCAGAACAACTCCACATGTTACATATTATGTATTCCCTGGCATTTACTTTTTGCTAACATTTTGCTTCCAAAGGTATGAACTGCCAATTACACCTAATATAGAAGCATAACAATTGGCTTTGATGTTGTTCATGCCAATTACAGGAACATGATATTTAGCACCGTACATATACATATAATTCAGTGAACATATGTACAGTTCTTATCAGATTTGCATCATATGGCCCCTTGGAAATTCAAAAGTCCCCAACAAACGACGCTGGCCGGAAGAGACGGTCAAATAAGGTGGCCTTTCTTAGTGACTAGTTTGTTTGATCCAGACTCCATTATTTATTCGTGTAATTGGAATATTGCGGCGTTCATCAAGAAATAAGCAAACATGAGATAACATGCTTTTGTAGGTGCTGATCTTGACATCTAAATTTATTTACGTCACCAACAGAGGCAATCTACACAAACACAAAGGAATTTCGCCTTTCCATTTCTAAAGAGTCTGCTTAATTTAGGATTAGGTGGTCAGGCTCTGTGATACGGCTCCTTGAGTGTCATCACATCCCGACGGCTTTGCAGGCTGTTATCAACCACTTGTATGTCCAGTCCAGACAGGCTTCAGATATATGAAATATTGCTGCCTGACGTGTAAGACGAAAACACAATAAAAAAACAACAACACAATACTCACACTAGTTGTGAAAAGGAGACCAAGAAGGAACACAATGCTCATCAAAACAGCAGCCATAATGGTCTGGAGGTGTTTGGTGTGATAACGTGATGGCAGAATATCTTCTATACACCCAAGAGCTGCTTCAATATTTCCGAACTGTTCATACATAATGTTCATGATATGTTCATTCAAAACTGATGTCATTATCTATAGTGGGGGAGGGGTCACAGCATGGTTTTGTGTACTCAGATTCACCTTGATTGTGTGTTGATTACGTTTGTCATCGCCATACGCGTGTTCATAGGTGATAAAACTGAAACACCCGTTTAAAGTGGCGTTAACTCATTCACAGTCATTTACTTTTGATGATGGCAAGCAACGCTTTGTTAATACTCTGAGAAATTTAATGTGATATTTACAATATAAATACATTCACAAGATGGACAGGAATATGAAATCACCATTGAATCGACCCCCATCATCAGAACTACCAAGAAGAATAGCACGGACCACAGCTGGGAGAACGGTAGTAGGGACACTGCCTCTGGATACACAATAAACCCAATGCCCGGACCTGAAAACGTGCAAACAATCATCTATTAATCGATTTTTTAAGAGAAACAGTGAGGCAGTCAAATACATAGGTAAATGAATGTTTTTGATGCATAATGGCGCATACATATATGTTTACCCCGTTAATGTTTGTATTTAGACAGTGATACGGCATCTTGGGACATTTATTACTAACCACTGGGATATGGAATTTCAGGATTTGCATATTACAGAAATACTTTAAGATATGATAGAAGCTACAAGAAGGGATATAAAATCTGGAAGGACAACTTATGAGTCGTATTTTCGGGAGATGTTCATATTTGAATATCTAAATGTGCCTGAATATGTTTTTCATCGTTCGAAGGTTATGTGTTCGACAGGTATCACTAACATTCAGAATTCATGGTGTTGTAGTAAATACATAATTGTACTGATTCGGATTACTTGCCTGATGTAATAACCTCAGCTACAGGTTGTCCGAGATCATGAGCCAAGAAACCCACCGTTGCAAACACCACAAACCCAGCAAAAACACTTGTTAACTCGCCTAATAACGTGACAAGGATTGCGTCTCTGCAAACGAGATTCAAATGTAGACACTATCAACTGTCAAACTGCAAGGAATAACATTATCTACCAGCTAACTGTTTCCATCGTGCCAGTAAACCATTATACATGTACTGCAAATACAACTCTGAACGGAGGAAGGGTGTGAAACACCTTGGATCAAGTACATGCACTTGTTATTGTCAAACTGGTACATGTATGTGATTTTGAACGAATCTTCAGGAGACAATTTGTTGAAATAAATACAACTACTACAAATAATGAACAAGATCCCATTCGAATTATATTTTGTTGAAGATAAACAACAAAGCAATAAAAGTTCAATAAAGTTAATTAGGTTTTGGTGCTGCAGGTTATCCACCTGTATGTTTACAATACAATATTGTGAACCTGTAGGTCAGAGAAACGTGAAAGGTTTCCAAATTGTTAAAAAGAAGATCAATTGTGGTACCTGGCAATATTGTTGTGGGGAGTGTTGTGGCTTGAGATGGCAGTAATAGTTCCCCAACCAGGACCCACTGAGAAGAACACCTGAAGAATTGCTTCTAGCCACACCTGAGAAAACATAACTCTATAACGTTTCTGATAATATACGTATGTGATCGTTTTGTTGATACTTATAATTAGTGTACTGTTATCACTACAAACGTATATATTTGCAAAAAAAACATTACTGACAAATATTACGTTATTATTGTTTTTGAAATATAACTGTCGAGAAGAAAATACTTTTTGAAAGACGTTTAACAGTTAAACAAAATGACTGACATATAGCACGATTTAATTGTGTTTCAATACAACTGTCGAGAAGAAAATACTTTTTGAATGAAGATTCATAAAATATAGAAAATGAGAGCCGAAGTTCCTGCCACATATCTGCTTTTTAAAACGTTTATTGTTCATGATGATTCAAACTACTTGTTGGCCTGTTAAGGAAACTGGTTGTTTCTATGGTATTTACTTTGCTCAAACAATATTTGTTTTTTGTTGATACTTAAAATTGTTGTACTGGTGTCACCACAAACGTGTATATTTTCAACAAAATGACTGACATATAGCACGATTTAATTGTGTTTCAATACAACTGTCGAGAAGAAAATACTTTTTGAATGAAGATTCATAAAATATAGAAAATGAGAGGCGAAGTTCCAGCCATATATCTGCTTTAAAACGTTTATTAACAATAAACAATAAGCTGTTTCTATGGTCTCAACAAGGAATTCACGTGAGCTCAAACGACATTTGAAAAAAAAGTAATATTGACCTGTGAGTGGTGAAGACGGCTAAAATCAGGAGTGACATAATACATAATCCCGTTCATAGAACCCGGCATCATGCACGCCCTGATCAGCAGTACCGTCAACAGTACGTATGGCATCAACGCCGTCACATACACTACCTGTTGAAACACACATATTGATTTTAAATTCACTTATGTTATTAATGAGTGAATTTGATTTAACACCGATTTGAATAGTATTCTACTCGCATCACGGCGGGTCACCTTACTTTAGGAAAAAGTCACGCAGGTGTAGAAAGTGATGCAGGTGTAGACGTTTATCACTTCGGTGAAACCCACGATCACTGGTATGGTGCTGACAAACCTAGACAAATAGTCAGGGCAAATCTGGTATTCCAACCCACGATCGTAGGTTTCTGGGACGCGACTTGCGGCGACATTGACGACTGGGCCAACCGAGCCCTCCGTCATGTTATGGTGTAGTCGTTGGTAATGTAATTGGACACACTGAATTGTGTATTAAATCCAGAGAAATAGTGGATATAAAGCAGCAACTATAGTTTATATAATAGTGATTCCATTTAAACGCCACATGGATTTGAATTTCTAAATTATTTATTTTATGGGCTGATAATGCTAACGAATACCAGTGGGCACTAAAATGTTAATATTGTAACGAATGAAAATCACTTTGCCAAGAGACTTGATTCCTTTTACGATGCTAAGGAAAAGGAGCAGGCATGTGAGACCCCAGCAGATGAAGAGATGGAGCTGGACAGTGCCGAGGTCATCTATCCCTGAAGAAATGCCCAGCACTTTGTACCTTTAACAGATCATCAACCTCAGCCAGATGAGAAACGGTATTGGAATCTTACATCATAAGAAATAAAGTAGTATATGTTAACTTACTGCCAGAATTCCTCTGTTGCCGTATGGCCAAATACGTCAGCTAATTTAGCGGTAAAGTTGGTCTCACTAGAAGCGTTCCTTTCAACAAAATATTTTGTCTTGTTGAATCTTGATTCATCTATAACTGTTGAATTATTGATGATACGTGTTGAATCACCAACAGCCACACATCGGTGTGTGTTCCATGAGTTGTCACATGTTGTCCAGGGCAGGACGGTGGAGAAGGAGCTGTATATGTAGTAGAGGGCCCAGGCAAACATCATACTGTAGTACGGCACAACGATGAAACTGATAATCAGGATACCAAAACCAATACCTGGAAGGATAATGACGTGAAGCGAGGTGAAATGCTGTTGAACGTCAAGTTCAAGATTATTGTACTTAAATGACGTGTTACAACTACTCCGAGCCGACCATTCCATGCTTTATACACCATGCTGCCGAACGCCAGCCAGGGTAACAACATGTGCTCTCTTTTCACGTCTTTTGGTATGGCGCAGCCGGGAATCGAACTACCGGCCTTCTACTCTTTGGACAGACACCAACCTCATTCCGTCTTAAATACCAAACTGTCTGAGTTCAGGTTAAACGTTCCTTTCCATAATGCTGCTGTTGTACTTGTGCCACAGATGGCCAATTGATTCTTGTTAGTAATCATTGATCATGTTAACTATGTCCCAGACAAGTATTGTCGTCAATTCATCATAAGGGATATTTTGCTTAATTTTGAATCTCATTTTATTGTTTACTCTTTAATTAAGAGATTAACACGGTGTGTTTTATGTAGAGATATGTAAGTTGTCGATTTGATAGTATTTATTATTAATTTACTACATTTTTAACCGGACGTTAAATTTAATGCTGTCAAATGTTGAATTATAACATGACACAAGTAGTAGAAGTGACACGATTGCTTTGTTAAACTTGACCTTTGACAATGCTGCAAATATTGAGTGTTATTACCAACCTTCGGCTGTTACGGTATACTCCACGGGAAGTTAATTGAGTTCATGTCCATCTGTAACATGATACTTTCTTGTATATTTCACAATGGTTTGTATCATTGTGTAATTTTCTCTGACTTTCTAGAATAGAATCTATTCGTCTCACATACCTTTCATCAGAGGGCACAGCTCCCACACTCCGATAGGACCTTTACGGGAAAACTGACCAAGGGCAGCCTCCAAGAAGAAGAGAGGTATAGCAACTATAACCGTGAAGATCAGGTGAGGGATCAGAAACGCACCTGCAATAACGTCAATGGGAGGAAAATATGTAACCAATTACTTTTTATTGCAATTCACTTGTATCCTAGCGTTTGAATATGTGTGAGAGGAAATGTTGATTTGATACAACTCGTAATTCAAAAAGGAAATGTCATTCACACGTCTACCATAAATCTTTTTCAAAGTTTTACTAAGGCCTTGAGTATTGTACTCCTGATCTCGCAACTTTGAGCAAAAGTCGTATGGATACTTCTCTTTAAAATTCATATGGATCTCACAATCTATTGGTGACATAAATATGTTTTCATAACAATTTTGTACTCGTGCTATACATATGTTCCGACAGGATTGGCATTCTACACATATCGTAATATTAAGTCTCTGATCCTTGAACCAGAGTCGTATCTTTCCAATTTAAGACTAAAACATACATCTATTACTTGAGGCTTGGTGAATGAGGAAGATATTTAAATATTGAAAAGTCACTCCCGTCTGTAACCTCTGTGCTGAAGAAGAATTTAATTTTGAGTTTATCTGCCCTGTATATAACAAAATAACAATGAATTATCTACCCGCCTGGTCATTTTCATGTACATCTGCTAATTACTTGGAATGTCTGCTGACAAGCAAAAAGTATAGCGTTCAACTACAAGTATCTTTATACATTCGTCATGCTTTTGTGTTACGTCAGTTGTTGTCTTGATACTCCGTATAATGCAAAATTTGTTAATATAACTGTATGTCTAAAAAAAAAGTATGTAGCTCACTTGTATATGGGCCAATGGCCTTTCATACAATAAACCATTGAATTGAATTGAAATCTTGAAGAAAGTGTATGCTCGATTGCACCTCACATATTGTGCAATGTAGACACTAAACGCTGGAGTGTCTTGAATCAACATCAAGGAAAGTTGACATTTGGAAAGATGAAGTCATACTTGTCATACAGGAATTTATTTAGTTTCTTGTCACTCAATGTTTATGAAATAGATGAGGCGGTTTCACTTTTCTCTTTTATTTCTAGTTCGGGTGGGTAAATCAGTGTAAGGGAATTTAGTTTTTGATAATTATTGAATGATATCAAATCTTTGATGTTCCTGAAGTTAAACATACCCTACAAAATATTTATGCAAGTGTTGAAAGAACTTAATGTATCCCTCGCAGAAGACTGACAAAATATGGCAGAGGCAAGCAGGAAGATTGTATTACGCTTCATGCGGTTTGATTTTGATAATGTGCAAATCCGTGATGAGTTGTTTCCGTTCTTTCATACTTAAATCATGTGATATGCTGAAAGCGTGACAAAGGCAAGCATCTATTCAAAGCATGTCTTTTTATTTCTTTTATTTCTTGTCGTAAGAGGCTACTGAGAGTAATTATAAGTCACATTATACCCCGACGTCATGTGACGTTGCTCATAATATCACAATGTCACTGTTGTGTCTGAATCTGAATTATTTACAGGCCATCATGATATATAGCCGGAAAAGGATGATTGCGGAGTTGACAAAACCCTTTCCATATTCATAAGAAATGTCTGTCCAATTGTCGATTGTACGATTTTGACTACATCGTGAGCATGTCAATATGAATCACAATCAAATAGTGATGATACCAGGTGTTCGCGAAAAAGGTTAGTGTATCCATGCAAAGACAAGTCAACTGATCATCTGAAAAAAATACGGGAAACCGCCCAAGACGGTGGGCATCCCCAATATCCCGGCCCAAACATCTCCTCTACAGCCGACTCAGTACAGCCGACAAACGCCACTTCGCCCTGGGTGAAACCCGGTAACCCCAGTGCCCCAGCAAAAACAACATGCTCTGTTCTCCTCCTTATCTGATGATAACCCAAGCTGGCCTTTTCGCGTCCATTATTTCATGTTTAAAACTCTTCAAGACCCGTGAAGATTCCGGGGTAGAACAGGTCTTCAGCAAGCCATGCTTGCCGTAAAAGGCGACTATGCTTGTCGTAAAAGGCGACGAACGGGATGGGGAGTCAGGCTCGCTGACTAGGTTGATGCATGTTATCGATCCCAATTGCGTGGATCGATACTCATGATATCAATCACTGGATTGTCTGGCCCAGACTCGATTATTTACAGACCGAATCGTTTTCCTGCAACCAATGCTTGTCGTGGATGAATTTATTGGACCGGGTAGTCAGATTCAGGGACGTCGTGGTTGACTGTGTATCATCGTGCTCATAATATCAATCACAAGATGGTGCGATCCAGACTTGATTATTATTTACCTGCCGTCATCATATTGATCGACTATTGCTGAGTCCATTTAACCAGTCCGACTATATCATAAGATCGTGTTTTCGTATCACTGTGCAAAGAAAAGGCATGTTCATTTCAGAAATGCCATAAAATAGGTTTAAATTAGTAATGCCAGATAGTGTTCTTCATGCACAATTATGCACAATCACTTCGTCAAATATATCTGTAAATGGCACAAACTAGTATATTCTGAATAAGCTTTTCTGTATGTATGTATTCAGCAAGTAATTGGAGGTTTAAAAAAACGCGTAACAGATCTGTTACGATGTCATATTCACACCATGCATCACGGACATTAAGGCATACCATATCACTTCCAGACGGTATCAGGTAACGGGCGGCTTATATAATCACTTAATATGTATTGAATTCATTTATATGTATACTATTAGTTGTTATATACAATTGTTGTGGTTGTTTGTTGTTTTACGCGGCACTCAACAATATTCCAGCTGTATCACTGTGAGTAATCGAGTCTGGAGCAGACAATCCAGTGACTGACATCATAAGCTATACATACAGTATAACATAATATTTCAAGGTTATTCAATTTTCAAGTTTTTTCTTGTCACATCAGGGCATACATTAAAAGAAATAGAATTATACAACCACTACATGTACGTAAAGGATAATCCTTGCTTGGACAAAGGTGTATGGATCTACAATTTCTTTCTCACAATATCATGGCAAAATGAGGCTTCTGGGTGACAATAGGTCTCCAGCATCCTATTCTGATCGTAAGAGGCAACAAGATGGATCGGGTGGTCAGTTTCAGTGTGGCGTCGAACAACAAACGATCAAAAACAAACAGAACATTTTGGGAATTTGGGAATATCTGCATGTATAACCACATAGTTTTGTTATATTCGGTTTAAATAATTGCATTTCTGTACATGTTATGGCATTCAAAATGTATGAGGATCTTTCTGAAAAATTCATATGACATTGAAAACACAAAAGGTATCCTGAAAGGCTTCAAACATTTTAGGTCATTACACTTCAGTACCGCTACAGTTACTTGTGACCACTTTAATAGGTAATGAAATACCCTTTTTAAAACGTCTACGTTACAATCACATGTTATTTTGCTGCATAATTTGTTAACCTAACTGAAATTAAGTCAGTTTACTGTCCGTTATTAACTTTCGCATTTTGACGTCTCCTCTTAATTACAAAGTACGCCGAAATATTGCGTAAGCGATCTTGACAGTTTTGCCTATTTTGCAGCCATTTCTGCCTGTTCAATATGTGAAATTTTATACGCAGTAAGCATGTTGCATGCAGTATATGATACGACTTTTGGCATATATAGATTGCGGCCTAATTATACACCCGACCTAAAAAGTCGGGGGTACATAGTTATACCAAGGTTCCGTCCGTCCGAAAACTTTATCCGCGCGATTTCTCTAAAACTATTCAGTGGATTCATCTCAAACTTAGTACACATAATCTGTGTCATATGGAGGGGGTTTTGTTTTTATTAATTTTCCATTTTTGAATGAATTTTTCAAACCCTAACCCTATATTGTGGTACTCTTTTGTACAATAACAGGGTAAATGTATAAAAGTTTGACAATCAGGGGTATTTGTAGGCTCGATCTGGTTACATTTTTACTAATTTATATTAGTCCTGTAAAAATTGCTTGCATGACTAAAGCAAAGTTAACACTGAAAAGGTTGAAGTTGAGGGTATCAGTAAGCTCTGCTTACTTTTTCACTTTTTCAGTTATTTCAGGTGAGCTACAGGGCCACGCGTGGCACTATTTTTAAGCTATTTAATTTGAAACTAATGACACACTAGGCGGGTCGGGGGTATTAGTGAACCACGCTCATTTTTGCCCTTGTTATTACTATTGCCTTTGACCTTCACCTGTTTTTCATATATGTACTTTTGGCCTTCTGCTTAAGAAGTATCTTTGTGAAATTTAGTGAATGTGTCTGTAAAGTAAAGATTAATGGGTTTTTTTGTTTGCGTTTCTTCTTAACCTTTTTGGGGCGATGGGATAGCCAAGTGATTTAAGCGTTCGCCTGTGACTCAGAGGCCCAGGCTCGGTTCACCACATGGGTTCAATGTGTAAAGCCTTTTACTTGTGTGCACCACTGTGATATTGCAAGATTTTGCTAAAAGCGGCGTAAAACCCAACTCACTCTTAACCTTTGCATGACCTTTCAGAAAAGTTCAGATTACCTACAGAGCCTTGTGGCGCTATTGGTCATGTTGTTTGTTTGTTAGTTAGTTTGTTGTTTGAAGCCGCAATATTCAAGCTAAATAACGACGGTCTGAAGCTCATCGATCGATCTACGCAATTGGGATGTAATGACATCAACAAAGTCAACGTGCCTGACCAACCGATCCCGTTAGTCGCCTCTTACAACAAGCATATGTTAAACTCTATATAAATACTCACCCCCTCCATTCCGTTGACATACATAGGGAAATCTCCACAAATTGCCAAGTCCTACAGAATATCCAAGCAGAGCAATGACACACTGGAACTTGTTGGACCATTGGGCTTTCTCTGTAACATTTTCTTCAAATTCCACATCAAATTCTTCTCTGCGAGAAACAGTGTCTGTCTGCTGCTCAGCCGTCATTTTTTCTTGGAATACTACTTCGGTGTATCTCGCCTGTTTAACTGCTTGTCACTGCAAACATGAAAACGTCGTTTTTTCGTGTATGGTCCTTGGACGAAAAAACGATTCCTCTTGCACACGTTCTGACCATCGATTTTCCGTCCATATAACGTATCTATTTCACATCTGAATTTACTGAGAGAGAACGATGCTTTCAATCTCCTCCCTTTTCTTTGTCAATCAAGCAAAAGCGTGTACCGCTTTCTCATATTTCATTGATCAGCTCTCGCGTATTATATTACAGGCCTGAGTTTGACACGATGAGTGAATTCAACCGTTCTGCGCATGCGGATTGTTTAATGCCTTGTCCAAATTTTCTGTTCTGTGCATGCGCGATTTCCAGGATCGTTTATTATATTTAGTAGACTATTTGACAGTAATTCATAAACACATGCTTATGAAGTGGTCGGAATCATATTTATTTAGTGCACGGACGTGATCTGACGCTGCTGTCAACTGTCATGCGCATTTCCCCCTAACTATCACAATGATAACGGTGGGAATTTGAGTCATCATAATTAGAAAAGAACACCAATCAGGAACTGAAGTACATAAATGGATTATTACTTTCGATGTCACATTATGAACCAATAAGCAAACTAATACCAATCTGAAACTGAATAATTTGCCGGCTTTCATAAATTTATCTTTTTCTTTTTAGACGGTGACCTTTGTATATATATAAATTGGTTTCTGATATTGCTTGGAATTGAGGAAAGTATGTTTATTCATAATTTTAAGGTACCTACTCCTTCTAATGTAACATGAGTACATTGACTCAGGATTCTCCTTTCCCATTTGAACATGACAAATTCAGGGTTAGAATTGGTCTTCAGCGACCCATGCTTGTCGTGAGATGAGACTTACGGGATCGGGTGGTCAGGCTCGCTGACTTGGTTGATAAATGTCATCGTATCCCAATTGCGTAGTTCGATGCTCATGATGTTAATCACTGGATTGTCTGGTCCAGATTCGATTATTTACAGGCTGGAATATTGCTGAGTGCGGCGTTAAACTACAAACAAAAATCTAATATTATAATGTCGTCGATGATGTTTTGTTATTTTAAGCGAGCACTTGTTACTTTCCGAACTGATGGCGTCTATTCTATGGGTATCTAGACTGCCACCTAAACCGATCCAAACGTTTCGTATTGTAGCCATGTAGATGTACTATTTGGTAATGTGATAGTGTACCAGAATTCTACATTGTATTCTGCAGGGTTATGTTCTTACGTTTATTTTTAAGTCAGGAGGGGCGGTCGGGTAGCCTAGTGGTTAAAGCGTTCGCTCGTCACGCCGAAGACACGGGTTCGATTCCCGACATTGGTACAGTGTGTGAAGCCCATTTCTGGTCTCCCCCGCCGTGATATTGCTGGAATATTTCTAAAAGCGGCGGAAAACCGTTCTCACTCACTCACTTAAGTCAGGAACATGACTTCAAAGGAATTATGTAATGTTTCCCTTTCATATTAGCTACTGGGTGTAATACTGAGTCTTATTTATGTTATCTTATATATAATTATATCGCGCATATTAACGCCTGTTACCATTCTAGATCATCCTCACATATAACCTGTATATGTGCGTTGTATCAATATTTTGTCAATATCAAGAGCAGCAATTTTAACTGCTGAAATACCCAATAACAAGGCTGTTATAAAGCGCCAGTGCACACAAGTGATGGATCGTAAAAACGATGACTTCGGAAACACAATTTCTTGCAGATATATTAAGTAAAGCTAACGCTTACTCGCCGGTAGACAATGTCGCTGATACAAATATCATGCATTTGAATTTCAATTACTTTTTATTTAAACGAAAGCGAAATCGACGTAGATATAGCTATATATAATTTATATATCCAGTTGTCCATCGCTATCAACTGTCAGCGCTAATTTACTGTTAAGTGTGGGCTTTCCATTGCTAATCGCCTAATCGCCCCAATTATCCACCTTTGTAATCTTATTACTTTTGTTGTTCTTACAGGTACATATATATATATATATTCTCTGCCTCAAAGCATTTATTCACCCGATGAAGGAGTAAGTACATACCCCGAAACGTTGTATTCCTCAAAATAAAGAAGTTGACGTCCATACATTCTCTTCCTTATGTATGCATATATATTTCAGCTCCTATCGGTATGTCCCTCATAAACATAATCATATGCATGTAACATAGTGACAAACCATTTAGCACTGGATAACGTATATCTTATGAATTATTACTTCTGAACTACTTCACTTTGGTCAGTGTTGAGTTACATATCCCAAAGGGAATCCTTTTCACAAGCTGTAATATGTGGGTGACAGCCATCAGTTGTGTCTTTGTCAAAAACAATAGTTCATTACATAATCACATGTATAGCCTAAACCAATTATCCCTTTGGCCAAGTTGCAACTTCATTATCTGTTCAGCTGCCATCTGCTTTCCATTACCAGAATGTATGTTTATATCAAATATGTTACTCTGTTATTCCGACAGCACCTGCTTGTACAACCTGTAGGTACAATTTAAAAATATTTTCTAAATGTTTCTAAAAAAACGATTTCAAGAGTTTAAACAATTACATAAAATGGTCCGTCTATGCCAAGTGTTATGAAATGTTTTCAAATGTTGTCACTCAAAAACAGTTTTGTCACTATCCTAGATATGCATGAACCGTGGTTGTATGGGCCACGTGCACTTTCACCAAGAACTACATGTATATATGTCAGCGAAACAGACAACCGAGTGGCAGGTTCCCTAACCGCCATTGTTAACCTTCCCCAGCTGAAACCTAAACACTTCGCTTGGAATAATTGTTTAGTCTATCATATTTGCACAGTAATATGCGTGTTACTATCACTGAGTAGAGCATATTAACCTTCCTAGCAAGTTAGTAAAACAAAGAGGATTATTGATGCTCGGTTTTCTCATCATCTACATCCTCAAAAAATTTACAGAAATCTCACCAATATACCTCCAATTGAGTTTACTCTGTTGTAATCTCAAATTGAATGCAGATCAGGTTTAACATGGTTCAGACCCTTTCTTGTTGTCAGTGGTATTTTCAACAATCCGCGTGTGAGAGCATTTGAACCTTCCTGACAGTTTAGCAGAGCAAAGAAAGGTATGAGATGTTTGATTATTTCATCCTCTATGTCATAAGCAATTTTACACCAATCTTACCTCACACATCCCAATTAAACACACACATCCCAAGTTGTGTTTAATGTGGTTGATGCATGTTAGTGTATCCTAATTGCGTAGATCGATGCTCATGATGTCAGGCACTGGATTGTCTGGTCCTGACTCGATTATTAAAAGACCGCTGTCACACAGCTGAAATATTGCTGAGTGCGGCGTTAAACAACAAACAAACAAACAGACAGATAAGACCTTACAGTCACTTACTCACTGTAATTGTCAACATCTTCATCTACCTGACTATGAAATTTGTAAAGGCATGTGCCATTTGCAGCAAATGTGAAATAGAAAAAAGTTGTTTGTTTGTGTACAATTTTTAAGAATACATATGGTGTATGATAGGTTTTCGCTTACTTACATTGGTCTTTGGGAATTCCACGAAAATAGCATGTACCTTTATTTTAATATTATCATTTTTATTTTCACAGAATGGTAACAGAGTAGAATGATGACTTGTGACAGATCATGCGATGTTGCGATGTTTTGATGAGGTTTGTCATGTGCCATGCATTCATGCTGACACCCCCAATCCCCCCACCCTACCAGCAAAGGCCAATAATTAAGCCAATTATCTCATATGGAAATCAGTTGATACATGACTTTTTTAATCCATGCAGTCGCATGAAGGTGCGTGTTGCTTCGCTTCTGGAATAATCTAGCCTTATTACGTGGCGAGACATTGTGAAAAGAAAGACACTTGCATTGCACTCATCTTATCTAGGCGTTCCGCGTGATGAAATAAGAGCCTAACCAATCCATTGTCCCAGAACCATGATCGGGCAACCTGCCTGTATGACTTGCACAACCGGTTATGTGAAACATAGCGGTATTCTAATCACTGTCACGAATGCATATTTGGGTTGATTTAAAATGAACAAAAGCTAAAGATGGAAGTTGATTTGTTTTTAAAAAATAGGCACGCTAAAGCTAACGAATTATTATATAGAACCAGAATTAATGGGAAACACGTCAGCAAATCTTACCAGTGTATGCTGCTGCACGTTGGCAAATGAGATTAATTCATCTGTATATTTTGCAATCAAAAGGTAGTTTGTACAACTTAGATGAACACATAATAATGTGAATGAGACCAGTATTCACTAACAGAGATACGGATCATATTGCATAAGTTATCACATTATTGCTTGATATGCATTATTTGACTTACAAAATACAATCACTGACACAATCAGATGCGCTGCTATTGAAACAGTATCATTGACCCCTTAACAGTGCACACAGAGCGCACGACATGTCAGGAAGTATATTCAGACAGTGTAATATTGGAAGGATTATCATACACACTTTTACTTTTTTTATTCACATATTTGTTAACTTTAATCCACAGTGTATCATCATTTAAAATTTCGATATTCGTGAGCCTTAATGATCAAATACGATTTCTCATTAGTGTTGTTAAACAGTTCGTAGATATAACAACATAATCATAAATCAACTGATATCCATGTATTAGCCTCGGAATAGTCTGCAGTTTAACGTGAAAAGAGTGTAATAAACTTGGCATTGTAGTGTATATATTCGACTGAGTAAAGAGTAAAATGTAGGCCACAGTCAAACGCGGAACGAAAGAGTCCGCGATCTATATGCAAAGATTTTGCATAGACTGACATAAGACGCTCTCTGCCATGTCTGAGCCTGACGTGTTTCTGAACGCTGACTGTCAAAAGTCCACGAACGTAAAGGATGATCGAGTAAGAACCAGAGAGGTATGGTCCAGGAAGAGAGAGTACATTCTGTCACTCCTTGGGTACTCAGTTGGCCTTGGCTCACTTTGGAGATTTCCCTATCTTTGTAACAGAAATGGTGGTGGTAAGTGTGACCGACTGATTTAACTTGTTGATCAGGGACAAAATGTTCCCAGGTTCGTTATTCTTTTCTTTTTTAAATATTTGTGTATTCAATTCAGTATATAATATTACAGAGTTACACATGGAGTAGCACGTCTTGTGGTATACCTTTTAGGTATAGGTTACATACATGGACAGCAAGTCAGCAAGTTTAAGTTGGCTACAGGTGTACAACAATGTTTACAAATGGTGAAACGGGCAGGCTACATTTGCCATGGTTATTAACTAAGTGTGAAGCACATGAGTGGAAATTGTTTATGTTAAAACAAATATATATAAAAAATAGAGACATATTAACTAGACAATTCATTTGGCAAATCTTTCCATTTTCTGTCAAACTGTCTTATTGTATTGTTTTCGTGTGCAATTGATTTCTCTATCCGAAAAATATCAATTAAAGTCTTCAGAAACTTTTCAAGTGACAATTTGTTTGTCTTAATACTTGATACATGTATATATTTTTTGCATGCCAGTATAATGTTATTTAACAGAATATTAGAGTTGTACCCAAGTAAAACAGAGCATTTTGTTAATGTAAATTGGTTTGAACATTTTGCATTCAGAAAACGCGCGATCTGTCAAAAGTCATTATTCTACTCTGTTACCATTCTGTGAAAATAAAAATGATAATATTAAAATAAAGGTACATGCTATTTTCGTGGAATTCCCAAAGACCAATGTAAGTGAGCTAAAACCTATCATACACCATATGTATTCTTGAAAATTAGCCCAAAACTCTTTAACATTCTTACAATCCCAATATGCATGAAGTAAGGATTCAGTATCAGTTTCACAAAAAGAGCACAGATCATCACCGAGAATTTTCATTTTAAACAATTCTTTCTTGGTGTAGATGATGCAATAAATAAATTTATATTGAAAATCAAGTAATTTAACATCTTTTGTACATTTTCTGTATCTGATAAATGATATATCTAAGCCGGGAATGGTACCCCTTTTTTCACAGACTGTTGGGAGATTTGCTGTAGTTATAGTCTTATCATAAAAATGTCTGGAGACTTTAGGCGCTACAAGTAAGTCCATCAAAGTTGTATTCAAATGTTGATTATATAAGATAATGTGATTATTTCTAATATTATCTTTCCAGGATGTTGGTATGTTTAATAGAACTTGGTAATAGTCAATAAGTGTGCCTTTAATTTGGTATTTTCTTTTAAGTTCACTAACGGGCAGTATATCATCTTCATTACAGAGGTCTTTAATAGTGTAAATTTCCTTTAAAAACCAATTTCTGATAATGAAATCGGTTTTTTTAAACTGACTGTTACACCAAAGAGGTTCTGATAGTACTTCTTCAATGTCTGTGGAGTTAGTTTTGTGTCTTCTATACAGTGTTTCCCAAGCAGACAAAACATCTCTCTAGTAAGGGTTAGCTAAGTGCATACAGTTTTCAAAATTGGCCCTAAGTAGGAATATGTTTTTGAGTGGAAAGATGCTAGGGTAATTACAGTTTTTGTTTTGGAGATGTTTTTTGAGAACTGACAGTTTTAGAGAAATTATAAAAGACTTTACCTCTATCATTCTCAGTCCGCCTTCAACATATTTTCTAATTAAAGATGTTAGTTTTATTTTGTCCCTATTGTCATTTCATATAAATCTGTACAATATTTTGTTTAGTTCATCAATAAATTCACCTGGAAGGTTTGAAAGAGAAGAAAACATATGTACTAAGGTTGATAGGGCCAAGGTTTTTACAACAGTAATTTTACCTATCAATGTTAAATTTCTTTTCCTCCGATTCCCTAAAATTTAGTCAATAATTTCAATTCTCTTCTTTGTATTGATTACCCACAGATTATTTAAGTTCGAGTCAAGCTTTATTCCCAATATTTCAAAGGCCCCACTGTGCCAGTCTAGTTTCAGATCATGACATAATTTGATGTCACTGCCTGTGATTGAGCCTGTTTTACATGCGTTTCCTTTTTTTAATTCTGACCCAAGTGATAACACTTATTTCGGATCATATTCATCTATCTTGTGTGCATATGTGCATGAAGACGTTTTTGACAACCGCAAATATCTTCACTCTGTTTATTTTGTATAATTAATGCTAATATATCTGAAGAAATCAATCTGTGTGTGTGAGCGAGAAAGAGTGAGAAAACATATTAATATTTACTCAGGCTAAAAGATGATGAACTCAAGGTAATAATTCCAAAAATATGTTAAGAAACGATTCACTTTTGTCGTAATGTGATCGGGTTCAGTATTCATTCATATGATGCTCATCCATTTCACAAAACAGCGTTTTCTTTGATATCACAAAATCCCCTGACCACATTTTTAGTATTTTGACTCACAGGTTAACGAGTTTATGTTGGCCCATAACAGAACATTAAATGCAACTGTGAGGTATTTTGCAAATATTAATATTGATTGTTTCAGGCTAATAGGACGCACATAGAGTAATAATACCAAACTATTTTAAACAAACTCTTTTCACAAAACTGCGGTGTCGTTTATATCACACAATCCCCTGAAAACGTATTTTTACCCATATGTTAACAAGTTTATGTTGGACCATAACTGTACATAAAATGCATATGTGATGTATTTTGCCAAAGCAATATTAATATTTTCTCGAGCGGAGAGGTGGTGAGATGAGGTGCAATGGGATTTAACGTTGCGTTCAAGATTATTGCACTTTCATAGCGACGTACATCACTCTGTGTGTGCGTCCGTGCGTGCGTGCGTGCGTGCGTGCGTGCGTGCATGCATGCATGCGTGCGTGCGTGTGTGTGTGTGTGCGCTTATACTAGTCCGGACTAATTTTATACCTTGAAATCCATATCACCCTTGAGGGATGCGCTAATCTTTTCAGTGCAACCACATGGTGGGGTTTCAAGGATGCTTGACGTAGCCTTATTGTACATTACACATCTCAGTGTCCATGTTGAGAGCATAAGTATTGTGAACTGAATATTTACATGTATGATACAGTGAAACCCCGTTAATCCGAAAGGCTTTGTTCCCGGAAGACAGGGTTTTCCGGGAAAGCGAGGTTAATAAGTGTTACTTTGAGACAAATGTCACTGTGTGACTCGACAGTTTGTGTACACAAAACGCTTGCAAAGATGGGCGAGGATAACTCCCCATATGTTTTCTCCATATCAAACTGCTGCACATTGTACATCTCCTATGGAGGAAACAGACATTTGACCATGAGGTTTTGGAAGAACACAAAAGAAAAAAATTGAATTTGACACATTTCAATACTGAAAAATAGAAACTGTTGGAATTGCTCTTCCACGTAAGTTGCCACAATATGCCAGTTTCTGGTCTCAACATTAATGTTAAACCCATAAAAATGCGCAAAAATGTTGATCATTACAGAATTATAATAATCTATGACTACATAGATTACTTTATACATACAACGAAAGCATATACTGTACGGTAATGTTCTTAGGTAATAGATTTATTGTATCATACTGTGAGAGTTTTTTTCAAAGAATAGTCTTCCAATCACAATATGATAAGTACTGTCTGTAGGGGATAAAGCGTCTGCCTGGTAAGCGGAAGCGTGTTAAAATCAAAAGACGTTAAAAGCTGTCACTTTTTGTTACCCTGCCTCGTGCTCGGCATTAAAGAGATAAAACAAGGACTGGTCGGCTCATAGTCAGTATACTGTGTCTGAGTGGGCTATCCATGTTATACTGCGACGTGATATCTCAGCGGGCTAACATTATAAAACCGGCATTAGTCCGGACTAATACAAGCCTTCATGCAGATCGACACACGCAAGCACGCACACAACCACACACACACACACATAGGTCGCTATATAAGTGCAGTTATCTTGAACTCGACGTTAAACCCCGTTTCACCTTAACTAATGGCAACTTCACAATATCATAAATAAAACCTTGATCACATTTACGTTCCCTGCTATGGCATTGTGCTATGAATGTGCACTTTCATACCTCGCGCTGGAAACTCTAACAAATGTAGTTCTGATTTTAGTACAATGCAAATTATGTCTCCAAAGCTCAATACATGTATTGTCATTAAAAACAGTTTCTCTTTCTATTTCCAAGGTGCGTTTCTTATTCCCTACTTTGCTGGGATTTTCACGTGTGCTGTTCCACTCTTCTTCCTCGAGGTTTCCATTGGCCAGTTCTCAAGCAGGAGTGCATCACATGTTTGGGCCATTTGTCCTTTGTTAAAAGGTTAGTCAAACACCTTTCTGCAGGAGCCATACAATTAATAAATGCCTTCGGACACGGATGGCCCAGTCATCCCAGGCGCGCCATACACAGTTGCGTCCCTGAGGCGTACCAGAATAGCTGATTCACACCGATTGAAATTCTTGGTTTGTCATCACCATGACAGCAGCTTGAATCTAAATGAATTTATTATGGTACATAATAACATGGTATCGGGCATATTAATGGATCAGGTAATTAAAAAAAATAATTCTTTGGGATTGGTCATTTATTTAGGGGGCGGTGTGTTTGGTCTCAGCACTGTATCATATTTTGCCGCCCCCTCCCCCTCTTCATTTTATGTAACATTTTGTTCATAACTATATATATTTATACACATGACGGGTTTATAAAAAAATAATTATGTTGAAATGTTGGCTGTGTCATTTGTGCATGACTGCGACCTTAACCTCACCATGTTCTTATCTCAAATTGTTGATGTTTCTTTAGAGAACATTTGCTGTTAGACCTGTTTAACAAAGTATTATCGATTACAAATTATGATACAGTTCGGTGCAGACCTGTCCATTATCGTTTTTATCTTAACTAGAAAATAATACATAATTATTTTATCTGTCATGAATATGATTTTGAGTGATACACGCCGTGTTGATAAGGTATTTAGTAAGACAACATATGTATATGAATCTTACAGTCAGCACTGATTTCCAACTCTCGATGTATATCTGTAATCGAGACTGAGACTGTTGATTTCAAGAACTTGTCTCAAAAACACGCAGCGATATAATTGAAAAACTGCTCAAACCAGCGTTAAGCCAACTCATTCACTCTCACTCACTCACTCTTTTTTCAGGAATTGGTATCTCCCAGGTTGCAGCTTCTTTTATTGGATCCCTGCCATATAATGTCATCATTGCCTGGTCCATATACTACTTATACCGGTCTTTCTGGTCAGTGTTGCCATGGACAACGTGTGACAACTGGTGGAACACGCCCCTCTGCGTCACTAAGCTTAGCAACAGTTCATCAATCACTGATGCCTACCTAAATAACAGCACGGAGGATCATCAGCTGCTCAACTCTGCATGGCGGAAGCCAAATGTAACGTTGACGGCTTCAGAGGAGTTTTGGCAGTAAGATAAGGGGTTTTAGTGACATTATATGTATGTTTACAAATATCTGAGCCAGATCTGTTCCATCTGACTGGCACTACTAGACATTTAAAGTCGTATAAATATTCAATATTTCTTAAGTTCATTAATACATTCCGAGCCATGTACATCCCCATCCCAAACCTTATTTCCATTCACAGCCCAACATTCCTAGCATATGGTTATCTCTCCCTCTTGAAACAGTGTTGGGCGTCCCTCGCTGAGGCGCAAAAGTAATTCACTCTGAACAAATCATCCGTAGTCCTCCTCTCGGTTTAGAATTGGTAATCAACAACCCTTGCGCGTGGTAATAGTCGAATAACGGGATATGGTTGTGAAGTCTCGATTTGGTTGATGTATGCCATCGTATCCCAATTGCGTAGATCAATGCTCATGGCTTCAATAAATAGAAAAAAGATGGCATGACTGAATAATTACAATTTCATCAAGTAGCTCTTGCGATATATCCAATGACGCAATGATCTGTCTTGATAAAGTAATACTGATTTGACAACACAACGCAGGTACAACACACTGAGAGTGTCAAGCGGTATTGACAATTTCGGAACAGTTCAGGTTCATCTCCTCCTCTGCATCCTTGTCTCTTGGGTCGTTGTGTTCCTTTGTCTGATGAACGGTGTAAAGTCTGTTGGAAAGGTAGGATACCAATATCATACGCTTCAGACCAAACAATTCTATTCTAGAAATACCTTTAAGAAAAGAAAAGACAAGGGTGTTCATAAGATGAGACAGAAAATACTGTCTGTCATCTTTCTATTTTGTGAACAGTTGTAAATTATCAATTATGTCCTGTTTATGGTTGGTCGACCAATGTTCATTCAACCGGTTAACCCTGTGATAACCAGGGTCAAATAAGAGCACCAATAAATCAAGCTTGTCAAGTGGTCAAGCTCTGTGACTCTGTTGCTTTTGTGTCATCATAACCCTACGATGCTAGACATTGATCATGTTTTCAACCACGATGTGCCTGGCCCGTTTCGATTATTTTCAGGCGGTGATATTGATCAAATTTCTATAAAACAGGTTGTGTACGTGACTGCCCTGCTTCCCTACGTTCTCCTGGCGGTGCTCCTGGTCAGATCGTGCATGATGCCGGGGGCTGGGGAGGGTATACTGTATTTCCTACGTCCAGACTTCTCTCGCCTGGGCAATGTGCAGGTTAGATGCTCAAGTATAATAAATAACAGAAGTTTCAGTGTAAATTGATTATCGGAAACAACCCCTCCGGATATATGAATATCAGCTGTTATGCTCATGTTACAAAAGAACATTAACATATTTTCTTTTTTCTTACTTCATCAAAAGGTTTGGCTCGAGGCTTTGCTACAAGGGTTTTATTCTATGAGTACAACATTCGGAGGCCTCATCACCATGAGCAGCTACAACAACTTCCACAACAACTGCTTCAGGTTGACTTGTCTTCCACAGGAGGACTATATAAGATACATAAGAAATTAGACATAAAGAAAATGCATGTATTGTGTCGATAATATAAAATTCACTTGAATGATAAGAGAACGATCATGATTAAATTTGAATCCGAAACATTATACGATTCTCAGCTGACCATTTGCCAGGTATGTCAACAAAAAATGCGTCTTATAGTAATTATCATCTGAAGAAATCAAAACATGTTATTCTAACGGATCTAACGCGTTGAATATGTCACAGATGTATAGGGTGTTTACTTCTGTGATTTACGTTCATTGATAGGCCAAGCATGAGGATATGACTGTAGCTTTTCCAGATATGATCTGCAATAATGTTTATCAATTTTTATTTCAGAGACGTAGTGTTAATTACTGTGATCGGTGAAGCCAGCAGTATTTTCTGTGGTCTTGTGGTCTTCTCTACACTGGGCTTCATGGCGCAACAGGCTCAGATACCTATATCAGAAGTTGTGTCATCTGGTAGTCATTGATATTATATTGATGTTACTTCGACGATGCCGATAACTGCTTATGATACTGATCACTGGATTGTCTGGTTCAGGTTTGATTTTTTTACAGGCCGCCGTCCCGTTGCATTGGTATTGATAGGGATCGCGTTTGGCTCCAACACTTTACGTTTTTATGAAAGGTTATGAGTGGCGGCTGTTACCGGATGAACAATACATGCGCATCCTTTTCACGAGCACCTTTATACAAGTGTCGTTACCATTGTGCCTTTCATGCCCTACAGAATCTGTTTCGTCAGATAATCGAGATAGATACTCTCTGACATTGACGTTTTGAATTTTGTAGGGTAGGTACATACGCGGTATAACTTAAGCTGTCTATTAGGTTAATATAAGACGTCAACGCAAGAGAATTAATCATTCTCGATTATCCGACGAAACAGATTCAATTGGTTACAAAGCAAAATAGTGGTGAACATTACAGGAACGAATCACTGAAAATCAGTGATTAACAATACCAACAACACTTCATACTACCTTGTATCGTTCTCTGCTATTTGGACAGAAGGGTTTTTTCTGTGGAATCATCGCACTTTATACAGATTGTGTTCTGTGGGCTGAGCCGAAACTCATACTTGTTGATCGCAATCTCAACATTGCCAATCCGCCCCTGATGTTTTATCATTACGCAACGTAAATTTCAGGCCTCTAAATATGGATGGAGCATAGCTTAGTAGCAAAAGCGTTGGTTCGTCACACCGAAAACCCAGTTCGATTCATAATGTGTATAATATTCCATCCACTTTGTCAGTAATTACTTTTACTAGGTTCTGGGCTAGGGTTCATCATATATCCAGAAGCAATTTCCCAACTACCGGTGTCACAGCTGTGGGCAGTGCTGTTCTTCATCATGCTGTTAACAATGGGAATAGATTCTGAGGTAAATATATACTTTAGATAACAATACATAAGCGTGTGCGTAGACCAGTAGTTGTTAACTTGAAATATATTTTATCAGTAGAACTTGCTTAACAAACTGTTGGTTTTGATCATGAATATTCAAAAGTTAATAGAGGCATCATCATAAATATTTGATTTTACTGGCCCTTTTCTCAGATACGTATATTTTCAGCATCTAAATGGTTAAACCATTTTCGTAGGAAAAGGTGCTGTAAAGAAAGTGTCTTCATTATGCCGTTTCACGCAGCACATGAGATGCATACAGTAAATCAGAATATTGCAACCAACTTAAGACCATGAGAATGTTAATTTGAAAATCAAACATATGACGTCTCACTTCCTAGATACACAAACATGATATTGTCAGCAGTCAGAACGGATGTCTTTGTGGTTACATTGTATCTCATTTGTAATGAAATAAGCAAAGGCAAAAGTAGTTGTGGTCACGATCTTGTATGACATACAGTATCTAGATCTGGAGTTTTAACTAACATATAGCCCTTATACTAGTATATATTTTCCTTTGAGATGTAAAGTGTTGTGCCGATAATTGGGCTTCCTTAAGATTGTTTCCAAAATGTTCAAAAAACACTTTGGTGTTCTTTGCACAAGATATATGTGTGGTGAAATGTGACAGTAAAAGAAAATAAATGTGAGGTGCGGCTTTCTAATTTACCTCAATATGCATTAAAACGGTACCATGCTGTGTTGGTCTGTTTTAACAAGAGGTGGTGTGTGCAAAGCCAGTAGATGACGCAATTTGCAAAGCAATCCTGTTCATATCATATTAGTATTAGAAGTCATTGTAAATAGTGACAGCATGTAATTTGGTATTTCGTTACAGTTTGGTCCCTTGGAAACGGTTATAGCGGGCATAATAGAAGCGTGCCCAAAATACCTTCAAAATCGGAGAATATATGTCACTGCTGGAGTGTGCCTATTCAGCTTTGGAGTTTCCATTCCCTATGCAACCGAAGTGAGGCACTTTGTATACAGATACCACACATCATAAGTTCGAAACCTCACGTGGAAGGTATTCCGCCATGGAATCTTGGGCCAACTTGGGTCAATCCACAAAACCTTGCGCCAACAGAGCAAATGGTTTCGCTGTGACAAGTCCCGTAAAATAAGCAGGGGTCTGTGACCTTTGGAAAGATTTCACAACATTTAACCATTACTTTTATGTCAGGCATAGAACTTATAAGTTAGCCATCGTCTATTACTGTAACACTTCCTATAGGTTATTGCTTTGTCACCATTTATAATAAATTAAACGTGATAAATTCAAAAATAGATCCGCATCATATCAGTGATATGTTTAGGGATGCATAGGATATTCCTTTTCCCAACATTTGCTACAATACAAGAGTGAGTGAGTGAGTGAGTATGGTTTTACGCCGCTTTTAGCAATTAATGGGCTTCACTATAATACAAGAGGTTATATTACCATGTACGTGTTGTTTGATCTATTTATAAGTTCTGATGCAAATGTTCTAACAACAAAAGTGCTGTTTTCAATATCTGTATGTGTTTTGCAGTTGACTTAATCGTTTCTATTCTATTCCTGATACTACTTTATTCATATGTGTGTATCATCCACAAGTCATCCCCGTTGTACATTCCGATGCATTCTTATATTCTTTTTGTCTTGAAATGATTTTTGATTGGGCATGAGTTTTAACTTCCTTCAAAAATACTGATCTCATTACAGGTCATTTGCAAGTATTGATTACAATTTATATATTTTTATTACAGGGTGGCGTCTACCTCTTTCAGCTATTAGATTGGTATGCATCCTCGTTCAACACACTGCTTATCGGTTGTCTGGAGTGTGTCGCCATTAATTGGTTCTATGGTAAGTCAGGCTTGAGGGTCCGATTTACCCAATATAGCAAATACTGAACACACATACAATGTTAAAATTAAACGGGACTGTCTTGTGTACTGCAATTTGATTGGTTGACAAACGTTGTTAAATGGAATTGTATCCTGGATAGTTTTTCGGTTGCAAATGAAATTTCCGGGAATCGTATACTCAATACCACCGGCTAATCTCCTTAGTATACTACAGTGTATTTTCTTACATGTGTATGTCATCATAACAAATTCCAGACTTTTTTGTGTTATTATGGGTCATACTAATCTGGAAACTGAAAGTACGTACATTCAGGAAGTATTGTTTATTGCAAATGACAGATAGATACATTCTACATTTTACTATGATTCCTATGATTCCAGTTTTACTATGTAATTGGTAATTGGTGTCCCATAGGTTCTGACAGATTTAGCAACGATGTTGAAATGATGACCGGAAGACGTTTCCCGATGGTACTGAAAGTCTTGTCTTCCTACCTCACCCCTGTCATTCTGTTTGTAAGTTCAACTTCACCACGCCACTTTGAAGTGGTGCTTTCTTCCAATAATGCTAACTATCGAACGTCTTTCTGGAGTGTTCGGCTCAAAGTTGTCATGTTTCTGGCACTGACCTGCATCTGTTCATTATTTTATCGTATAGTAGCTCAGTACAGGCAAATGTTAGTACTTATGATATTCGGTACCTGTGAAAGTAATGAAATAGACAGAAAAACAATTTTATTCAGTATTATGGCCATATGGCCTAAAGTACAATTGATACTAACTCATGATATGATGTCACGTGCATATACAGAAATTACATCTTCTTGAATCTGATAGAAAAAAACATGCTACTGAAAAGATAACATGTTTATTTTGCGAGCTGATAATATTGATCATCAACATTTCAGATTTATAGTCACTATTCAAGAAGGGGAGATATGTAGATCTTAACTTGGAGTACTTGTTACACTTTATTAGACATGGAATTCATCTTCAACTTCACCTCTGTCACAATTGGTACAAACACTGTTAACAGCATCAGTATCTTTCGATTTACGACACATATCTACATTAAAATTGTGTAATGAGATTCTAAATTTATGAAACGATCTTATTAAAGACCTGCCTGGTAAGACAGATTAATACATTTCCTGTTGAAGATGTGTCTTTAGTTTATTATAATTGCTAATATAATGCGAAAATGAAACAGTTTCGTTCCAGTTTTGTGCAAATATATCTTTCACTCGCTGCTTAAATATTCCGATAAATACTTAAATGTTCCAATATTCTGTGCAATCCACACAAAAGAAAAACCACATGTAAATAATAGATTTCTTATTTCAGACACCCAGTTTTGTTTACATTTATCATACAACTGCTTTAACCATATATAACATTAAAGCGGATGTCTACATTCTTCCATTCTTAGTAACCTTATCCAGTATTTAAGTACACTTACTTGGCTATGTACAAGCATATTGCAGCGTTCAGTTTCACCAAGAATTGCTTTATTTGAGGCATATTTACCAATACCCAAAAACGTTTGAAGTATGGGGTATGTACTTCTTCGATGGCAGCATAATATTTTGTTCCCCATATTTCCGAACCATATAGTAATGTTGGTGCAATTCTACAATCAAAAATATTGCATGCTGTTTAGCTGAATAGCAAGTTGTTTACATGCAACTGACCACATTAATTTAGAAGAAAACATGATACCATGATACCCAAATATTTATAGTAAGTTTCAACCTTAACCGAAGCATTTCCATAAGTCCACCATTTCTAAAGACCATTATGTTTGTTTTATTTAAATTTACCTCCAGTCCCCATTTCAAACAAAATGATTGTAGTGCATTTAATTGTATTTGTAAACCTCTAAATGCAAATGAAAACATTACAATATCATCAGCAAACAATAGCATCATAATATCAACAATATATTCATGGACCAATTTACCAAAATTCAATATTTTAAGTGTAGAATCAGTGTTATTTTCATGAGTGTCATTGAGGCAACGACCACCATCCTATTTGTCATACAATAAGCTGATGTAGACGTTGTTGATGGTGACGCAGCAGCAGGTACAGACGGCGATGATGTCTCAGTAGGATTGGGTGATGATCTTTTCTAGTTCCTGTGCTGTCCAACTTGTCTGATTTGTGTGTCGTCGTCTCCCAGAACAAAAACCGAACCATCATCTACCAGTTTATCGTAGCTCAAATAAGCAACTTTGTTCTCTTGTCTGGCTCTCATCATAAAGGTAAACAACTTTGATCGACCCCCCTCACTCTCTGGGTGAAGTCTTTTTGTAGTCTGATTGATTGTTGGCCAGGATCTTGATGTTGTTCCCCTGGGTGTTGTGGTCGGTGTGGGTTTGGGTTTGGTCGGAGATGGCTGATTTTGAGTCATTTCTTTTGTACTGAGGTCTTGTGTTCTTTTATTCTAATGGGTAGGGGTCTGGATTTTTCCCCTACATAGGAGTCGCCACAGTCACATTGTATGTGATATACGGCACCAGTTGGGTCTTGTTTCTTTGATGTAGGGGGCCTGCCGTCAGCACTGATGATGTTCTGGATTGTCCTGCCTCTCTGGAATACTGTATTAATGTTGGCGTGGTGTTTGAGCAGTCTGCGGATCTGGTGGCTGGCTGTTCCTATGTAGGGAAGACTGATGACAAACGGGGCTGTCTGTTGTCGTGGAGGCCGCTCTCTGGGGCTGAGGATGCTGTTGATTGTTTGTTCAACTAGGCTGGTAGGATAATTGTTGAAGTTAGTGAAGACAAGGCGGAGGTGGTTGAGTTCAGTTTAATATCTTGAAATCACATTTTTACTCTCCGTTGAATATGCTGTGTCAACATCATTCAAATGTTACGTGACTATCACTACAAGTACAAGTATCAGAAATACAGCCTCACGAATCGATATTGCTCGGATATTGAAGATCATGTGAGTCTTAATTTCGGGATATATCGAACCAGGCCCTCTGTTAACATTAATTTCTATCCCAAACATGTAGCATACAGTCAACAAGTACAGGGAGCACTCGTTTAACAGCATGGGCGGCCTTGTCATCTGGCCTTGTCATCTGGGTTTCACGATTCACTGTGCAGAGTTGCATACCTTTGTAGTACAAGAAACATTTTATCGTGGGTTCAAAACTCGGTCCGCCCTTATTATGTTTCTTTGTTTGTCAGCGCCATATCCGAACTGGTGGTCTCACCAAATTAGTAAATGTCACAGACATGCCTCATTTCGGGCTTTCATCTTACATCAAGCTGACACTTTGATATAACTGCCAATTGGCGTTAAACCCAACTCACTGACTCACTTTCACAGTTCTAATATTGCTCCCTCACAGGCGTCCTTGATATTTTCCCTGTTTCTCTATGACCCTCCACGCTATGGCGAGTACATCTACCCTGAATACGCAAAGGTGATTGGAATCTTAATGGCAATAGTGATGTCATTGCCAATACCTGTCATGTTGGTATACCAGTTTATCAAGAAGAAAGGAACATTTCTTGAGGTAAGTTTACACATCTAACGAGCCATGATATACGATATATGAATAAACATATACGTCACATTTATATTGCAAAATGGTCGTAAGTGGGCATTTCCATTGTTGTTTGTTCAGGGTTGCAACAATCAGGGCCCTAGTGAAGTGTTTTAGCGTTTTTTGATAGAAATGTGGGGAACATTTCCACATTTATTATATCTGTGATGAAAATGATGTCCGATACAATTATCTACCTTGACATGATTCTGTGTTTGTTCAGCTGAACACTTGACTTGTGTGACGGGTGCCACTGGTGGGGCAGGATACGCTCAGATATCATCACTAGTATTCATAAACACATTCTTATGGTATAGTCGGAAATTGACATTTGATATGATAATGGAAAGGGTCTGTCGCTTCTATTTATGAACAATGTGTCCTCAGATTGTTTGGATTAATTTATATACCTTTGAAAATGAGTTTCATGCATTTAACAGCGTCTCCGCCTTGCAAGCTCTCCGGCCACTGACTGGGGTCCTTCGCGGCCTGAAGACAAAGAACGATATCTTGAGGAGATGCACCAGCAACCAGAAAGTCTTATTATGCGACTATTACACTCGAAAAACAAACAACCTGCATGACGCACAAGACAACAAAAGAAAACAAATTTACTTATGACAATTCAAGTCATCTGAAAATTTTAATGGTTACAATATAAATGTAAATGTTAGCTTCTACTGGGACGTTTCAGCCACACCAGAGGCATGATTGTGTGCTTGGAAACCACCGACTTACCAATCATGATCCTGTAACCAAATGATTGCAGAAATAATATTGTCACGTTACAGGGAAACGTTACATTAGTTAAAGGTGTTGACTGGACGATAGCCCTGCATGATTGTGAAACAAAGCATCCTAATCCAAACAATCAACACAGTGATCAGTTGTTTATTTGAGAACGCATGACGTCGCTATTCTTTTCAATTAAGTTGACATGTTGTCAACTCTAACATCAGAAGTTTTATATTCAGCTTTCTAAAATGATTAATGAAAATGAGCAGTTATACTGATTAAATACTACTGATACTTGTAACCTGGATCGATTGATACAAAATGTGTTACCCGGATATATTTGTAGTACAACAAGAATTTCGTCTCCGCTGTTTATCCAGCACCTCACGCACGGATTCCATGCATTCATATTAAACACTTTTTTATATTCATGGCTTAATGTGTTTTATTAAGATCTGTGTCCTTCACATGTGTATTGTCTATACTCATTTGCAAAAGAATCTCACATCCAAAGGAGGGTCGCCATTGCCTGAGATGTGCTACTGATGCATCGTGTGTGCTGACACAGGTGTGTGGTGGGTTCCAACTGTTTGTCTGGCAGTAGGTGACCCGTGAAGATTCCGGGATAGAATAGGTCTTCAGCAACCCATACTTGCCGTAAAAGGCGACTATGCTTGTCGTAAAAGGCGACTAACGGACTCGGGTGGTCAGGCTCGCTGACTTGGTTGATACATGTCATCGATCCCCATTGCGTGGATCGATGCTAATGCTGTCAATCACTGGATTGTCTGGTCCAGACTCGATTATTTACAGACCGCCATCATATAGCTGGAATATTGCTGAGTGCGGCGTTAAACAACAAACCATCCAACCAAACCAACTGGCAGTAGGTAGGTGACGTTGACGCAGGTGAGAACGGGCGATAACCCTATCTTGACGTAACGACGTTACACGTGGGTTCTCGCTCCTTGGGCAATCCTGCGCACTGTTTGTCAATAAGACCGTAGATCGTAGTGGGGTGGACCTGTAGCTCGCTCGCTACTCGTGTTCCCGTCATACCAGCTTCAATCATATCCAGAAGCCAAATCCGGGCATGGTGCATTCCGTGTCAATCAAGGAACAGGCGTACGTTTGTCACGTAGTTTCACTATTAAGGGTTCCTTCAACACCCAAAAGTAAATGTTGCTCATTAAAAGCGTGCATGTTCTTGGCACGTTCTGTTGGTGTCTGTTTCATAGCTATGAAGAGTCAGTGTTCAGAGTTTGCATCCAAAGCGATAAGTGGAACTTTTCCAGACATGTTATTCTATCAACGTGTGTCTTTTGTTGGAACTGTTTTTTTAATATTGAGATCACAAGTTGCAACAAGAGATATACGTTTCTTTTGGAACTTAGTATATATTCATGGAAGAAGTGTCGCCATTCGTTGATTCGTCTTCATTTCATCAGATGCTCCGAGGATGTTAATAAAAAAAACAAGAGGAAATGTATATCAAGGTTTTAATGCGTTTCATGGATATGCGGTAATATGTACTAACTTTACATTTCCCTTTTTAAGAAGCCTTCTGTTATTTTTTTTTAAGTTCAGGTCGGGAAAGGCATATTTTGGATAGGCTGTTTCTCAGTCTTGTGACGATCGTTGTAAACTTTCTATAAAGAACACGTGATAAGATATAACAAATAAAAAGATGAACTAATGTACGAAAAAAAGGAAGGCACACGTCATACAACTGAAATATACGTCATCATTGTTGATAATTATGCTGACCTTAAATGAGACCGTTGACACATATGTTATGCAAATGTGGATGTTCATACATTTATTCCATGAGTTCTTAATGGCAATTCAAAGTTGTACAATGACTTCATTAATTAATGTAAAACACACATTTCAGGTTTCAATCCCTGAAATGCATTCTGTAAGACATGAAAAACTGAAATCCCTTATATTTCCAAATATACAATGCTCCGCTTGCTTTAGACACTGTGTCATTAATAGGCACATGCATCTTATCCAGAACAAAGGAATCCAAGTAGCTGCATTAAAAGCCTCAATACAAACGCTATGGAAACAGTTGAGGCACAGACTCTTTATTTACTTTTATTTCAAACCTATATAAAACTGATCGCATAACATGCATTCATCAGCTATGTTTCAGCACCGTTTGGACAACATGGAAATAATTCGTTTCATGAATATACGCTCCTTACATTTGGCATACAAAGACATAGCCATATGCCAATATCATTTTCCATAAATGATGTCGCTTATGGGCATGTAATACAACAAAGCTACACCTTATTCCAAATACGAGGGCATACATGGAAAACCACAATTCCATGCAGTGGATGTTGGCTACATCATATCATCCTGAAATATATTTTCGACTATTAAACTTAACAAATCTTTAAATCTAAAAAGGACTAAAAATACATATATAAAAGTCAGTTGTTTACCTTCCTAAGAAGACATCATCAAATCATAACAGATCTACCACATTGCCCGAATATGATTGTAACACTTATGACATGATGGGATGGAGATTGTTTGAGAAACTTACACCCCTGCATTGTTTATACAGTCAACAGTCAAATGACTGTCGACATTTGGTAAATAGTAATTGTCAATGCAAGAGAATAACCAGCGTAGATTTTCTGCCGAAACAAATAGCTGTGGGAATTACATGAATGGACCACTGTGGTGACACCAGGTGTTCACGAAAAGGGTAAGCATGTCCTGCCATACCGGTACATCATCTATGAGAGGGCTAACACAAATGTTTATGCTTTCATTTACCTAAAAAATCAAAACTGCATTATATAGGCTGTTAACATCAGTAGACACACAGTCTTTGATATTCATTTAGCAAACTTCAGCTACATGTATGTCTTGCTACAATACTTTTCATGAGGAAATACGCGCATATACTGTGTCTCAGTGTGGGTATCGATGTGAAAATGAGTCATACTATCTTAGGAGGCTATCGCGACACCAGTTCAAACACACAAACACACATTAATTAGACGGATGGATGGATGGATGGATGGATGGATAGATAGATAGATAGATCTGGCTTAACCATGCTGAAATAAAATTGTATCTTGGGCATCTGAATTGTCGCTGCGTTCTTCATTTTGTGAGGTCTAAGTTTTCTCGTCCGTAACGGTTTTACACGGCATAATGTCGTCCTATCCGGTCTCTGAAATGTGTTTTAGATTATGGAAATGAAATTCCCTTCATACAATATGACACTTATAACAATAATATAGAATAACTACTTTTCTATACACAGACTGCATGGTGTTTTTTTCATTTTCGACGTAATGTGTTTCACATATTCAAGCTGCATAACGCGTATGCATGTTTACTTTGGTTGCACAATGTAAAATACCTGTTCAATATCCATATCTGATTCTCATTGTCACTAAAGTAAAGTGGCGAAAATACCAAAATAGTGATAAAAATCAGGGATGGCGCCAAGTGTTCGCGAAAAGGGTAAGTATGTCCTACTCTACCAGAAGCATCCGCCACTCGCACAATTTTGATATAAAGGAAATGTTTGTTTGTCTGCATGTTGCCTAACGCAGCGATCGGCAGTTCCCCTGCTAAAAACGGCAATACACGCAAAAGATGGTATCACCTGACCGATGCTATAGAAAATGGCCGCCCAATCACAACAGCACAGTTGGGAATTTATATAATTTTCCATACAATTTAATTTTTATGATGTTGGTATGATTCATAGATCTAACATGATACTGTATGTATTGACATTATTTCCTATATAAATGATAACTAGATGTCACAGAAAACGGACGTAACTTGTATACATCTGTTTCCATTTCAAATCACATGAATGTGATTATGTACATATATATATCAAATGAGCAAACGTTTGGTGATGATCTCAAGTATTAAAATTATCCTTTGTTCCCAGTGTACATATGTTACTGTCATTGTCTAACACAAAAAGCATTACACTCTGTCCTTTCAAATGTAAGTTTCTATCAGGCTTTTGAGCAATAGTTACAGACCATACATAGCAAGTTCATAATAGATGAAGAAGAAACTTGGCAACATATTTTCTGTACTTGATAGTAAAATGATGAACATGGCGGGGCATCCGGATCCCATTAAAACTATCGATGACACCAAGCAGACAGACTCAGCAGCATCTTTGCAAATGGGTTAAAATGATCACGTATGAAGAATATTCTGCCGAAAAGAATTAATGGGATGCGTTTTACTATGTAAACATAGTACATTTGTTTGATATCACTATATAAATTAAAGCCAATCCCTTATGACCTGTTCTTTGAGATTTTGTTGCACCAGTTCTACTATATGGCAGGGACATATGCCGGGTAGACAAATTTAAGCAATTGGAATCTGTACAGTTAATGGCATGTAAGAGATTTTGGGGGTCCTTGGCGAATGTGGTCGCTTCCCCCTTTACTTATTAGTAGCTAAACTTGTAATTATAAAATATACTGGTTTACGATACCTGCAGTGCAAGAAACCCGATACCCTAGAAAAAGTTACTATATATATGTTAATTCAAAGTACAAGCCATGGTAGGATTAACAAGACTACCAAATTATAATCTTTGTTAAATCTTTTGATTTGCAAATGTATGGGAAGCTCAAAATGTCACTTAAAGAATCGTTTATTTCAGAATTTATGAGACTTAAATGTGCTTTTGAACAGGATTGGCCTTTCCCATTGCCAAACAATTCTAAAACACAAATTTATTCCTCCTTTAAAGCAATTCTTAATCTTGAATTATATTTGAAAGACATTACAATTGCAAAATTAAGAAAGTAGCTTTGTCCCTGTTCCGTTGCATTTCCCTTAATCTCCGCATGGAAACCGGACGGTATCATTATATTCCAAGATATTGAAAGGATTTGCCTGTACTGCAATAGTAATATTGTGGAGGATGAATACCATTTTATATTGATTTGTTCTGAATACAATACGTTTCGAGATAGATATGTTCCAAACAAATTCGTTATTCATCCAAAACTGTTTAAATTTAATTCCTTAATGTCTATATCTAATGGTGATTATTGGCAGTGATGTTAATAATTGAATGAATGAGTATGGTTTTACGCCGCTTTTAGCAATATTCCAGCAATATCACGGCGGGGGACACCATAAATGGGCTTCACACATCTTCATTTATGACAATTATTGATAGACGGGCAGAATGAGGACAACTATCTTTGTGTGTGTGTGTGTGTGTGTGTGTGTGTGTGTGTGTGTGTGTGTGTGTGTGTGTGTGTTAAGCGTTGGCATTTAATAATTTGAAGATGTAGTCTTCTAATTGTGTTTACATTGTGTGATGCTAAATGTAATACAGACCCGTGAAGATCAAGGTTGGAATACGTCTTCAGCAGTCCATGCTTGCCGTAAAGGGCGACTATGCTTGTCGTAAGAGGCGACTATCGGGATCGGGTTGTCAGGCTCGCTGACTTGGTTGATGCATGTCGTCGTATCCTCATGATGCTCATGATAACAATTACTGGATTGTCTGGTCCAGACTCGATTAGTTACAGACCGCCGTCATATAGCTTGAATATTGCTGAGTGTGGCGTTATACTGTAAAAACAACCATGTACAACATCATCGAATTGTAAATATCATGATGGCATTGTTATCTATATTGATTTACATCCTTATGCCTATGAATGTATTCAAATATTTCAATCTAGATTCATTGTCTTTTTAATGGCATATATTGGTAATGAGACAAAGAAATATCATTTGTTTATGTCAATTACATGTATATGTAAACGTTCATTATAACAAAATAGGTTTGAATATATGTATCCACCTTGATTGTACTTTCAACCATTGCATTGTTTCTGGCGCACTAAAAGGTTCGATTGACTGAAGGTGTATATTGTTGCTGTACGTATATTTGGACGTATATTTGTCAATCGAAACAGTAATACACACGCTTTCTACCTTAATTTACAAATTTTCAGCGTTTTGAGTAGAGCTCACCCATTTCACGATGCCTGAGGAAAGGGAGGGACCAAAGCGAGAAACTTGGCTTCAGAAGAGAGAGTATATTTTGTCTATGCTTGGCTGTAGTGTTGGATTTGGCTCGTTCTGGAGATTCCCCTATCTTTGTAACAGAAATGGTGGCGGTAAGTCAAACTGGTTGAAAAATATCATTCATGACACTCATGGCATTTAAGAATTGAACGTCAGAAGAATTGGATGGGTTCATTGAAGTGTGAACGATTTAAAAGCGCTGGTTAAACTATGTGAACCTCCGAACTGGCGTTCAATTCTTATAATTTCATACGTTGTAGTTTACTGGTCTCGCCGAATAATATCGTAACAATGTTTGCTGAAATTTGAAGTCCTCGCCGAAGAACATTGCAACAATGTTATTTTGTCGGTATTTGCCGGCTCTCGGTCACATGCGTTTCCCCACTTATACTCAGTTACGCAAAATTAAAATAGGTTACAGGAAGTTGAACAAAAATATAAACATGACCTCGATGCACCGAGGCGAGGTCAACCTAAAAGCGCGGATTTATATATATGACGTCACATAAGCTTGCAAAGAGGTGCATTTCGAGTCGAACGGGAGCATGAGAATGAAATTTATACTTACTGCTGTTGAAAATGACGTTTATGGAGCAGTTATGGAAAACACCCCGACGCGTGAACCCTCTCATGGCACTAACAATTTGGGAATATCACCGATTTGTGAATGTGTTGCTTGTGTTTGGATAATCGCAAACCAATTCGGATGATGTGGAATGGACTGGTGGGGATTGAACCAAGTGCTCCGAAACTTGTGTGTTTTGTGTTAAATTTTAATGTCAGGGTGTGTTATATTTGTAACTTGGGATTTGTCGCGTGTGCTGTAATACTTTGCTTAGCTGGTGTTTCTTAGCACCTGAGATGGACCTACTGTATGACCTTATGCCAGCTACATTACTGTGCCCCGTCACTCCTCATGTGCCGCCGCTTCTCGGCCTAGAATGCACGGAGAAGGTCGGCCAATAGTAGATTTCTAATTTCGTCTACGGATATTTTCCTGTCTCCGATAACCAATCGATAAAACAGGCAGGCAAGTTTTTTAGGGTTTTTTTAATTTAATTTCTTTCCTTACCTTTTTATGTTCTATTGTTTCTCAAAATCTTAGATTTTTTTTTAATTTGGGATTGATCAGGAGCAGTCGCGTTTGCTGTGTGTCAACGGCCTCATCTGAGCAGGGTACGGCATTGTTTTCACTGGTGTTTGATTCCTCTCATTTCCGAAAACAAGGCATCGAAGTCAATATCGCTCAATAAGTCAATTTCGTTCACCTCAGTAATTTTACAGAATTAATTTTCTTCACTTGCGTTATTAGTATTGAAAAATAGCCATTCCATATCCAAATCACCGCAAGGACAATCCATTTTGTTTCATGTAGCAGCTAGATGACATCAATCACCAGAACCAAAGCATTTATTTATTTATAAGTCAGATGAAATGTTACAAGACCAGGCAAAAATACTAAATTAATTTTATTGCTGATAAATGCAGGTATTAAGAAGAAAATAGAAAAACGAGTTGATCGTAAACAGCGATCGAGAGTTCGGGGAAAACCCCGGAAAATAGTTCCGGCAAAAGTTCACACGATCAATTTCACAAAAAAATTGTTGACATCGTGTGAACTTTTTTTGTCCGTTCACAGGTGTGTGAACTCCAAATATCTGATCACGTGACTACCCCTTCAGCCAATCAGCATGAAAAACAGTGTTAAAAGTATGAAATTATTTAGATATACACACCAGAGATATCTTCATCAAAGGATCATTGATATATTAGACTATTTCCACTTTCTGATGAATTAAAGGCTTAACTTATGGTTATTTTATAATCGTCGTCAGACACTGTATCCACGTTGTTAACACATTTTCCAGGTGCCTTCCTTATCCCATATTTCACTGCAATCATCGCATGCGGTGTTCCGTTGTTCTTCCTGGAGGTGTCCATCAGTCAGTTTTCCAGCAGGAGTGCCTCTCATGTCTGGGTTCTGTGTCCACTCTTTAAAGGTAACCTCTTTGTTTTAATTTCTAACATACTTCAATAAAGAATCATAGGTGCCGACTGAACTCTATCTTGCGATAAAGTACACTTGTTGAGTTACGTCATAATGGGCTTACGTCACGATGCTATTCAAATTACCTCCCCCATGATCGAACATATCCTTGGTAACATTGTTCTTTCATTACTGCCAAGCGAGATGGCGCATCCACATCAATTATCGGGGAAACAGTTTCTTTAAACTTGTCGAATAACAGAATGTTATTACCTGGGAAGGAATAACATCTGCCAACCATCTCCCATACCGCAGGGTTTTCTAAACTATATTCGAACCACTGTTTCCAGCCACAACAGCCACAAAGTTGTCCTAGACGGGCGTTGGTGCCACAGACATAAGCAATCCTTGAAGAGGATGTACACCTGTTGCTAAGTGTAGGGCAAAAAACAAAACGACCGCTGTTATAGTCTTCCTCTGCCATGTTCGTCAAACGACGACGCCATATCATGCCCCAGGCCGTCGGTTCACTTCGGTCACGGTATCATAATGTGCAACCAACACGGTAAGCCAAGTATTTCATGGCTTGCAGTCTGCAAACATTAGTGGTCGAAACAAAGTTACAACTTTTACAAAACCTCAACTCACAAGAACCAGTTACCCAGAACTTCGGCTATGTTTACATTTGTTAGCCCGGCCCCACAATGCACTTGTAGGATGTTTCGACTTACTTGTGTAGTCTGAAGACGTGTGTCATAAATTAGTCTTCTCAGAAAAGTATATATATATATATACTATGCAAAATAAGCAGGGGAAATTTTGCTTTGAAATTACAGAAAGATACAAATCAGGCAATGAAAGTAAGGGATAGATGTGGCAAAAACATTTCCGCTGAGAATTAAGTTCCCAAACACAACATTGTTACAGTCAAGAAGCACGTTACCTCGGACAGCAAGTGCAAGGGGCGGTATGCCATATTTACGATTGTCACACAATTGTTGAGCAGACGCACATTGTTTTCTTGACACCAAACGCTCAAGGCACTTTACTGAACACATTTATTTGTTAAGGAAGCATAGGCACACGCCAGAATAGTGTTGACCCAACGCTGCATCTTCCAAAATCTGTCAGCAGATTGTGGGCCCGATACCAACAAATGATCAATGATTGACGCCGCTCTGGGCGACCAAGGACAACAATTCCAGCCGACAAAACATTAGTCAAAACGATGACATAAAGAAATCGGTTGGAAACTGTCACTCTGATGGTGCTAATGCACGTGCTCATTGTGCTGGATTGTGACCCAATTCCTCCAACAACACAACATCTATGTCATACCATGCCTGGCCTTTTCCCCATTGAAAACGTCTGGGTCGTCATTGCCAGACATATACGTCAACACCAAAATCCATCCACCAATCTCAATGAACTTTGCGTGTTCTCACTGATCGATGTGTGGAACAAACATGAGTCAAGCTGACATTGGTCGACTCATCAAAAGCATGCCTCAACCGATTCGTGCATGTATAAAAACGTAAAGTTCTTTTTTTTATTTCCCCTTTCGTTCCAGGAATCGGAATCTCCCAACTGTTAACTAACATCATCGGAATCATGCCGTACACACTCACCATGGCCTGGGCAATTTACTATATGAGCCAATCGTTCAAGTCATCCCTGCCCTGGACAACGTGTGACAACTGGTGGAATACCCCAGTGTGTATCAATAAGGTAACCAATGGCTCATCTGAAGTCTTCAACAGTACCGTGGAACAACAACTTCTGCAGAACGCCGTATGGAGAAAGCCAAACTCGACATTGACGGCTTCTGAGGAATTTTGGCAGTATGTTTTTTTTAACGTCATACCCACTAGTTTTGTTCAAACAAGCTTCAATTGCTTATCTACAAACTATTAAGGGATTTCATTTTAGAAATACATATAAAAACACTTGAGATTATTAACTTGATATCCAATATTGACTACCCACAAGGGTCTATATTTTCCGCAATTCTCATTGAAGTGTCCCACTGTTTTCATTGTTTGCAATGAGGCCCATGGAAACAGGATCCAACATAAACGCTTTGACGCAATTTGAAGATGATGGCGTCCATAAACTAAGCTGATATCGCATTTGAGATCGAGAATCCGACATGTTTCTATCTTGTCTCAGACAAAATGACTATGGGTAACATACTCGTAACCGGAATTACGGATTATATGTCCCTCTTGAAGTAACGTTAAAAAGTCTTCACAAAGGCTAGGTACTTTAATTCAAAATTCATTCATTCAGGACGGATAATTGTAATTCGCGGATACGAGTAAGTCATTCTCTAAGTTCTCCTCAAGTCTGTCTGTGTCCTAGGTGGCCTCACTGAACTGCCTTTTCCCAATTACAGTACCAACGAAGTACAAATGGACATAATTTTCTGCATGTATAATTCAATTGTATTTCAAGCGGAATAACGATACTAGAAACTTCCTTGTGTCAAATACCTCAGAATTATGATAGGTTTTGAGGAGTACTACTTATCTCTTCATCTCTCCGTCCACCCAATCCTATTTATTGCAAAGGTTCAACGCCCTTCGAGTATCAGCTGGGATTGACAATTTTGGGTCTGTGCAGCCCCACATCATCCTCAGTCTCCTGTGTTCCTGGACAGCTTTGTTTCTGTGTTTGATGAAAGGTGTGCAGTCAGTAGGGAAGGTAGGCTACATAAATTATGCTGATCCTTCACTCTCTCGCAACAGTGCATGATAGAAATGTAGGGTCACATGGAAGCACGAGAAAGCAAGCAGCGGAAGCATGTATCATCACAAAAGTCACACGTTGCGTGCACACCTGGGGTAATAGTCACAACAAGTCTCTGGGGCACACCTATAACCTACTTGATATACAGACATTTTGGGCATGTTATCCTTTTCTCCTTACTCCAGGGAACTCTCCAATTTGACGGTTGTCTGTAAATAATCGAGTCTGGACCAGACAATCCAGTGATTTACATCATGAACATTGATCCATGCAGTTGGGATCGATGACATGCATCAACCAAGTCAGCGAGCCTGACCACCCGATCCCGTTAGTCGCCTTTTACGACAAGCATAGTCGCCTTTTACGGCAAGCATGGGTTTCTGAAGACCTATTCTACCCCGGATGTCCACGGGTCCCATACGTGTCCTGCCCTGGGTACCTTATGGGCTGACAGTGTTCGACATAACTATTTGGAGGCTCAGCGCCAATAACTCTCCTGGCAGGCAGGTAGTTTCAACTACATGTCTGTATGTATTAAACTCATAACCAGTCAAGACACGAGGTCCTCAGCTAATGGTGTAGATTTAGACATCAGACAGACACAAAACTCATCACTGTGTGAGAAGGTCCAGGTACGGGAAACAACTTCTGCATTGGGGAACACAACCGGAGACAAACAATGATGCTCTAGGATGCTAATCGTCTTTCGGAAATGGACAAAATATCACCAAGGTAATTTTTCATTTCACATTTGCTTTTAACATGTGCTTTACAGGTTGTGTACGTGACTGCCTTGATGCCGTACGTTCTTCTGACGGTGCTGCTGGTAAGGTCGTGCGTGATGCCAGGATCTAGCGATGGACTTCTTTATTTCATTCGTCCCGACTTCTCACGACTTGGCTCAGTTCAGGTAAGATTTTATCTTGACAAGCAGACATGATATTTATCAGCTATGTTAAGTATGTGGCAGTAGTAGTTTTGTATAGGCAGTACTGGCGACTGTAACTGGTAGCATTTGAATGATACCTTTAACGTCTTCACAGATTCATTTCACAACTATATTCAACCAAGAACCACTGACTGCACCAGATTCATTCACTGAAAGTGATATAATCTCTATTCTGAAAAGGGCAAAGTCAACTTTGTGTATTCTTGATCATATTCTAACCAGATTATTGTATGCAAACATTGACATTCTTCTCCCAATGGTCACCAGAAACATACAGTCAGGAGTTGTAGCAGCTGACGTGAAGAAGGCTACATCTAGATAACCTGAAGAACTTGTCCTTCCTATCTAAAGTCAGAGAAAAACTTCGATCTTGAGATTTTATCAAACTTACTAGTGTATATTTCTATAACAGGTATGGCTAGAAGCTCTTCTCCAAGCATGTTATTCCATGGGTACAACGTTCGGCTCACTCATCACTATCAGCAGCTATAACAAATTTCATAACAACTGCCTCAGGTGATTTTATATTATATCCAAGTTTAGATGAAGTAGCAACAATGTATAACTGTTCATTTCGTAATCAGTATTTGCGTGATGTACATCATTTCTGATTATAAAAACATATCATGTGGATGCTTCCTAACATAAGCTTCACAATAGTTTGTTCTTTATTCCGTATTTTAGAGACGTGACACTGTTGACAATCGTCGGGGAAGCGAGCACTATATTTTGTGGATTGGTTGTATTCTCCTCTTTAGGATTCATGGCTCACAAGGCACAGATACCTATATCGGAGATAGTGTCTTCAGGTACACCTATCATAACCAAACTGTATATGTAAGTCTACACTGGATGTTTGCGATTGAGCGGATATTTAGTGATGTACATATTTATGTTTATTACAAACTTTTTGGGGACATCACGATTGTATGTATTTCTTATAAAACGGTTTCTAATAACCGATTCATCTGAGATAAAGCATTTAAACTATGTTCGTGAGATGTTGTTGTGTATTAATTTTACCGATCTTTGTTTTAATTGTTAATTTTACCGATCTTTGTCTTAATTTCTTATTACCAGGAGTAGGACTTGGTTTTATCATCTTCCCTGAAGCTATAGCCCAGCTGCCTGTGCCTCAACTGTGGTCAGTCCTGTTCTTCCTCACACTGCTGTCTCTGGGGATCGACACTGTGGTAAATAAAGGTTTCCTCAACATTATTCATTATTAATCTTTTTGTATATTTTCAAGTTAATAGTAAAATTACTACTTGTTACGTAAATGAAGATCAAAATATGACACCAGATGTTCTTGAAATGGATAATGGTATCGTGTGACCATCGAGCTTAGTATACCCCTGGACAGGGTTAAATGCTGAAACAACTTTTGAGCAATATTTAACTTTAAGTTAGTTGTTATAAATCCACACGAAGCACATGTTTTGTAGTGAGATCAAACGTTTTACAGCATTATTGCAAAGACCATTGTTGACGTTTAGTTAATTATGTCACAATATTGATGACAGTGCATCATTGTTACATGACACTCTTTCAGATATATATATTTATATATATAGCCAATTCGTGTACACTTTTAATCACATCTGCATTATATTCAGTCACTACAACAAAACACACAATGTTGTTGTTTTTCTGCGAAAGAAGGAGCCGAAAATATTGTTTTCGCAACTGATATATTTTCATAACTTCCAGCATGTCCTGAGAGCAATTGTATTATGGGATAAAACCATCAGTAGAGTTAGTATGCGTAGCTTTTTTTCAAAACACATTTTGTTCCTTTGTTACAGTTTGGTGCACTCGAGACCCTCGTAGCAGGACTTTCAGAAGCATTCCCTCATCGTCTTAAGTTCAGAAGAGTTCATGTCACAGGAGGAATATGTCTCTTTTGTTTCCTCCTTTCTATTCCTTACACTACGAGGGTAAGCTATTAATCCAGTTGTTTCTTTAAAGAAAGTACCTTCTACTTTGACCAAAACTATACAGTACTAAATTTGTTTCTGTAAAACGCTTTATCGTTCACCCGGTCACGTTATTCATCGAAATGGACAACTATTCTGCGAACATATCTATCTGGGTTAACATGAATTCCTATTCCATTCTCCCCAGGGTGGAGTCTACCTTGTCCAACTGCTTGACTGGTATGCCTCCTCCTTTAGTGTTCTGCTGATTGGCTGTTTGGAGTGTATGGTCATCAGCTGGATATATGGTATGGAATATATGTCATTAATGATTGGTGCTAACCAAAACAGGAAATGATCTTCCTATGGTAGCCATAGAAAGATATTTCTCTGTCACCACACCACTCTGATATACAAGTCTTTCCTAAGTATGGTGGTTTAAACCTGTCAAAGGACAAAGGACAAGTACAGTGTCTCGACCAAAGATATAACACCCAAAGTATGCATGTTTAAATGAAGTATAAAATTTAAAACAAACAGTAGTTAAGGTAGGGATGAGTGGGTTTTGAAAAGGAAAATGTCTAAAGCAGAGCGCATCCGTAACTTTAAAGTGTTTAGAGTTTGGTCCCTTGCCATGAACTGTGATACGACGGTGGTGTTTAGTTTAAGGGCGACGTAGGTCAACGGAAGGCCTTGTGCGCCCAACACATTGACTTAACTGAATAAGAATCACAAAGTATCATATTGAAAAAAATAACACGAAATCTTTCAGCTAACATAACGGAGACGCCAGCATAAGATATATGATACACTCACACAGTACACATGAAAATTAATAATGGGGGAAAAGAAAAGAAAAGACAGACGAATAACCTTTGCTCCATGTTATGGGTTAAAACCTTAAGCAGACACTTTCATTTCTGAAACTTGAAATACTCGTTCCAAAAAAAAGAGTAGAAGATCAACATGATAGAATGCAACAGTGATTTATAATCATTGAACTAAATCTGTTTAAGTCATTTGAGAGCATCTTAATTGCATCTTATTTTCCAGCTGAAGAAACAAAATCTAAAACTCTCCTTTGCACTGCGCCGTACATGATGTTTGGGCCCAAATTAATTGGAAAGTGTTTGACATTTTCAGGCATGTCCAAATTGCAATGGCCACATTTAGAAGAGACCGCCTTATTGCCAACGGTGTCCAAGTCGGAGTTATGTCCCAATGACTTCATCCTGCCTTTTCTGACGGCAACTTTTAGGACCAGATTTTACAGATGGTCTATGTTTGTACTAGGCGTGTCGGTAAAGCCAGCACCCCACACTGGTTGACAACTTATTGAAATAGATTTCGACAAAACAGTTTCAAAAGCTTAGGGGCTTGGTCGAAAATCTAATATCAAGAACAACAAGAAGTGTAATCCAGATTGTTCCATATTATTTGCGATTTTATTCATATGTATTCAAACGTGCTTGAACCCAAACAATATTGCATACAATTTTCATCGTGTTTAGAAATGTTTCCATAATTAGTATCTCATAAACAATGTCATTACTGGATCCATTTGCACCAACTTCGATAGCTTTATTTGCTGCCATTTGAATCTGTGAAGATAACTGCTTCAAGGTTATGTACATCTACCTATCTCAGGGCTTGAACAATGGACGAAAGGTTAACTTCAAAATCTGAAAGATAATCAGGGAATCTAAACGCCTCAGAGATGGATAAATCGGGTATTCAAAAATCCCCTGCAGTACGATCATTTGCATGATTCTTTGGTGGATCAGTGTATATGTGTGTGGAATTAGAACAACGTTCAGACAGAAAGTTTTGAGTTATTACTTTAATTTATGTTTTCTCACCTACAATTAAACTGAGTTCAGAACTCAATCCAGACATGAGTGGAAACCACAAGGATGTGACAGGCTGAGCAATGGGACCAACTGGGTTACAATTGTAAAGACGAAGCTGAGTGGAAGGTCTCTTTATGCTCAATCTTAATGGAATTTTGCTTTGAGACCGTCACACATGACATATTCCACCCAGGCATTAACAGTCTCTGTGGCTGCATGGTTCTTGTTCTTGGTTTTCGTTCCTAGAAATTATTTCGTAGATACCGGTTGTCTACGAAGGTGAAGAGGCGGCATTTCTGAACACTCAACATGAAGAGCTGATATTGGAATTGTTGCATAGGCCCCTGTGCATATTCTCAAATATTTATACTGGATATGGTCAAGCTTTTTAAGATGGCATTTAGACACCTGGCAAACACAGACAAGTCCAGACAATACCATAGCCTTGTTAAGAAATAACAAAGTTGATTTATCAGCACTCTGCTTAGTTATTGAAATATAGTTTAATGGATTGATTATCATGTGACATTTGATAAGCAAATATGTTATATGATGTGATCATGTTAAGCTTTTATAAAAAGAAACACTACGAAATTTAGACACTCACACTTTTTCCAATTTATTATACCCTAGACAAAGATTGATATGATGATTTTTTTCGTCTTTTGATCATCATTGCCACTGAACTCCCATTTTGAACACAAGTTACTGATTTTACGGAAGCAAACCGAACATTACCCAAAGGATCCGTTCGAAGGATCAATCATCTGCAAAGTGTGCAGCATTAATAGTGATCTTTTCCTGTTTTTTGCCCTGTCGGACCATATTGGTATTTTGTTATTTCTCTTTTAAAAGTTGCAATCACGAAACAAAGACGTAATTAAGACTTTACAATTACGAGAAAAAATAGTTTATAATAACATTTTATTTATTGCTTTGTAATTATATCACGGTGATTTTCATCATCATTGTAAAAGTCGTAATAACGACTTTTTTTCTCGTAATTACAACTTTTTTTCTCGTTATAACAAGTTTTGAAAAGTCGTAATAACGCCTCTTTTATGGTAATTACGACTTAATTGCAACTTTTAAAAGAGAAAAAACAAAATACCAATAAAGTCCTAATGGGCATCGAATTGGAGATGTGCTTTTGCCTCCAAGACATGGCGATTGGTCTGATCTTCCTTGATAATGGCATTAAAGCATCAGGCAATCACCTCAGACAGGAACGCTAGAAACGTTTGAGGGTAAGTACCAAGGATGGGACTGGCTACTTGTGGAGTGTTGACTTGATCTGACACTTGTGACTGATATTCACAAACACAGATTGGGTTAGATCCAGAACCAGAGGTAATAAGAACCGGGTGGGGTTTAACTGTTTGTAAAGAATTGGATTTTGAATTCTGAGTAGCAACAGTGGAGTTGTAGTCGACTTAACCATATCAGTTGCTTCAGCCTAATAGATTTTATTCTCTACTATTACCTTGTGCACATATAATGCCTTCTTGCATTTATCACATCCCTTGAAGGCAGCACTGTGGATGCCTCCACAATTTTAACATCTGGATATATTTTCTGACCACTTTTCTATGTTGTGCTCATCACTGCACTTTGGGTGGAAGAGGGGGTTACTTTCCCTAGACCACTGATCCAATGCAATGGAGGCAAAGCGACAAACCCTTTCCACAATCACAAGAAACCAAAAAAAGACGTGCCAATTCCAAATCACGTATGCAATGCACAAGTGCAGAGACTTTCCTGCCTAAGTAAAGTAAAGTAAAAGCGACAAAACCCTTTCCAAATTGATTCCACTGTTCCATTCCTACTATTATAATGAGCATGTGTTTAGAATCCCTTTCAAATAGTAATGACACCAGGTGTTCATGAAGAGATGAGCGAATCCTGCCCCACTGGTGGCACACGTCACAAACACATGCAAAGTCAAGTCAATTGTTCACACACACACAAAACAAAACACGGGAACATATAGTGAATCAAAATAGGGAATTGAATCTGACATATTTTGCAACAAAACCCATTCCATAACCATATGAAATCTAAGGGTTCATTGTACGATTCTGACAACAGCATATGCATGTGTTAATGAATCACTATCAAAGTGATGATACCAGTTGTCAAAATAGGGAAATGAATCATTCATTTGGTCACTGATGCGTCAAATTTGGAAATGTCCTCCACATGTCTATCTTAAAACCTTTTGAAAGCTATCTCTTGATAGAGAGAGCATGCTCGATTGTACATCAGAAGCTATGAAATGACAGCAATATGCAATGGCTGGAGCTGCAGGAATATTGCTCCACATCAAGGGAAATTTGACAATTGGAAAGTTGAAGTCATCCCTCTTGTCATACAGTCTTATTCAGTGTTTTGTCATTCTGATTCTTTATGCATGGATCTTAATATGAAACAGATGAGGCGGTCTCACTGGTCTCCCTTATTTCTTGTTCAGATGGGTTAATCAGTGGAAGGGAATTGGCTATTTGATGGTTATTTAACGATATCAGATTATCAATGTACCATCAATGTATAAATTAAAATTCTTGGCAAAATTATCTTATTTTGATTTTGCCAATCCGAGCAGAAATTCAGATTAATATGCATAAATAAACAGACCTGCAAGAAGAGGAGGACAACTGATGCAAATTGGAATGCCTTCATTTAAATGTCTCACCTCCAAATTATTCGTTGATGTTATCAATGAGGAAGTCCAGCATTTCACATAATATTGTTTCATCAGTAAACCTCCGATGGCCTTCGTTACATTTTTGCCAAATTAACCTCGACCCCCTTAAGATAGCTATGTAACTGTATCGATGGTCCCCACGTTTAATAACAAAGCCCCATGGATCCTAAAGTTTGTCATTTGGGATCGTGGGGTACAAAGTTGAAATATAAATTAAATACTTTGACAGAAGTGAACCTGGTTCTTCTTTGAGATTGTAAAAAGTCAAGCAAATCCTTTACGTTTTTGAGAATGCACATGGTGCAAATTCATTGTCTCAAATACTTTCTGTGAATAAAGAAATAGAGAAAGTCCTTTCTTGGATTGTATTAAGGATTAGGGATAATCGTTGAGACAGGGATTTGGTGGTACAATTGCTCGTCCCAGCATTATCTCTCTTTGAACGGATGTTATGGAGCTGACCCGTGAAGATTCCGGTGTAGAATAGGTCTTCAGCAACCCATGCTTGCTGTAAAAGATGACTATGCTTGTCGTAAAAGGCGACTAACGGGATCGGGTGACTTGGTTGATTCATGTCATCGATCCCAATTGCGTGGATCATGATAATAATCACTGGATTGTCTGGTCAAGACTCGATTATTTACAGACCGCCGTCATATAGCTGGAATGTTGCTGAGTACGGCGTTAAACAACAAACCAGACCAAACCAAATTTTAAAGAGCTTTGGAATCCAAAACAAAAGAGGCTGGACATGTTTTTTAGGTTTTAGAGTCAAGCCAAAAGTTGACAGTTGAAAGTTGGCATATTTCTCCCTCAGTTATCATACAGACAGACAGACAAACAGACAGTTTATTTAGTATGTAAGGTCCAGTTAACATACTTGCCTAATAGAAGTGAATTTGATTTATTAAAAGGAAATAAAATCAGTTAAGACCACGTACGTGTCTTGGGATTCTGCGATAAATACGAAGACATATACCAAATCTCATTTTGTATTGTCTGTTTGCTTCATGGCCCAGTATCTGTAGCATAACACAATATCACACATGATATCCTCAATGCTTAATGAATACTTATTTCAGGTTCCAAGCAGTTCAGTCAAGACGTAGAGATGATGATTGGGCGAAGAACCCCGCTAGTGCTGAGCATTATGTTATCCTACATCACTCCTGTCATACTGTGTGTAAGTATAAGAAGTTGAAACACGTGGGACTTTATAATGTACAGCATACTGTAGCTACTCAAGTCACTCCGTTTGTAAGTAAACACTGTCCACACACATGGGACGTTATAATGTACAGCATACTGTAGTTACTCCTCTCATTCTGTTTGTAAGTAAACATAGTCCACACACATGGGACGGTATAATGTACAGCATACTGTAGTTACTCCTCTCATTCTGTTTGTAAGTAAACATAGTCCACACACATGGGACGGTATAATGTACAACATACTGTAGTTACTCCTGTCATTCTGTTTGTAAGTAAACATAGTCCACACACATGGGACGTTATAATGCAACATACTGTAGTTACTCCTGTCATTCTGTTTGTAAGTAAACATAGTCCACACACATGGGACGTTATAATGTACAGCATACTGTTGTTACTCCTGTCATTCTCTTTGTAAGAAAACACTGTCCACACACATGGGACGTTATAATGCAACATACTGTAGTTACTCCTGTCATTCTGTTTGTAAGTAAACATAGTCCACACACATGGGGCGTTATAATGTACAGCATACTGTTGTTACTCCTGTCATTCTGTTTGTAAGTAAACATAGTCACACACAGGGACGGTATAATGTACAACATACTGTAGTTACTCCTGTCATTCTCTTTGTAAGAAAACACTGTCCACACACATGGGACGTTATAATGCAACATACTGTAGTTACTCCTGTCATTCTGTTTGTAAGTAAACATAGTCCACACACATGGGGCGTTATAATGTACAGCATACTGTTGTTACTCCTGTCATTCTGTTTGTAAGTAAACATAGTCACACACAGGGACGGTATAATGTACAACGTACTGTAGTTACTCCTGTCATTCTCTTTGTAAGAAAACACTGTCCACACACATGGGACGTTATAATGTACAACATACTGTAGTTACTCCTCTCATTCTGTTTGTAAGTAAACATAGTCCACACACATGGGACGTTATAATGTACAGCATACTGTAGTTACTCCTGTCATTCTGTTTGTAAGTAAACATAGTCACACACATGGGACGGTATAATGTACAGCATACTGTAGTTATTCCTGTCATCTGTTTATAAGTCAACATAGTCCACACACATGGGACGTTATAATGTACAGCATACTGTTGTTACTCCTGTCATTCTGTTTGTAAGTAAACATAGTCACACACAGGGACGGTATAATGTACAACATACTGTAGTTACTCCTGTCATTCTCTTTGTAAGAAAACACTGTCCACACACATGGGACGTTATAATGCAACATACTGTAGTTACTCCTGTCATTCTGTTTGTAAGTAAACATAGTCCACACACATGGGGCGTTATAATGTACAGCATACTGTTGTTACTCCTGTCATTCTGTTTGTAAGTAAACATAGTCACACACAGGGACGGTATAATGTACAACATACTGTAGTTACTCCTGTCATTCTCTTTGTAAGAAAACACTGTCCACACACATGGGACGTTATAATGTACAACATACTGTAGTTACTCCTGTCATTCTGTTTGTAAGTAAACATAGTCCACACACATGGGACGTTATAATGTACAGCATACTGTAGTTACTCCTCTCATTCTATTTGTAAGTAAACATAGTCTACACACATGGGACGTTATAATGTACAGCATACTGTAGTTATTCCTGTCATCTGTTTATAAGTAAACATGGTCCACACTATGTTCCACCGGCGTCTCTTGTCTCTCTTTGTGTTCTATCCGCCGAGTTACGTCAGTTAGCTTATGTTCCAAAGACGGTCCTGATCCTGTCTCTCTTCATGTATGACCCGCCCAGCTACGTCAAATACCTTATGCTCCGCAGGCGGCTTTCATCCTGTCTCTCGTCAAATACTACCAGCTACGCCAATTACCATACGTTCCATACGTAGCCCTGTCTGCATGTACGACCCGACCAGCTGCGTCGCTTACCGTATGTTCCACTGGATGATCTTATCTTGTCTCTCTTCATTTTCCACCCGCCCAGCTACGTCAATTTCCGTGTGCTCCACGGGAGGCTCTCGTTTTGTCTCTCTTCATCTTCCACCCGCCCAGCTACGTCAATTACTTTATGCTCCACAGGTGGCTCTGATCCTGTCCCTCTTCATGTACGACCCGCCAAGCTACGGGGCATACGTGTATCCATTTTACGCCAAAGTCGTTGGAATCCTTATGGCGGTTCTCATGACTTTACCGATACTGGTCATGATGATCTACCAGGTCGCCCAGAGGGACGGGACCATCATGCAGGTATGTTTACTGTGTGATACGATGTGTCATAGGTTTGGTATGGAAGTGTATTAAAGAAAGCAAGTCTAACAAGTCAGAGGTGGTAAAATACGTTTCAGATGCAACACTGATGTATACATTGTGTTGGTAGCTTGATTCAGATTTTACTATACATGTAGTAGATGCCACGGCTTAATAATCGGGATTATATATAAGCTAATTGAAACCTTTGAAACCAGTAATGCTGTTGGTTTTAATTATTGTCAATAACTAAAGATCACATATACAGCATAAATATCAGATTCTGTTTAGGTCACGATATATTTTGTAGTTGGTTTACCCCACGTCAGGGCACCTCCGTGGTCTAGCGGTAGAGCGTCCGCCCTGAGAAGGTCCGGGGTTCGATCCCCGATCACTTTATTCAGTTATATCCTGGCGTGTATGTAACCTTTGGGGAAACCAATGAGCAAGGCCACGGTGCTAATAAATCTACATATATAATCAGGGCGAATATTGGATTCAAACCTACGACCACAGGTTTCTGGCACACTTAAGTGCACAGCGAAAGTTGCGGCGCCTTAGACGGCTGGGCCATCCGTGAACCCCCGTGATTTATGTATGTTGAGGAAACTGTATCCCTTCTTGAGATAGTGGCCAGTTGAATGTGCTCCCAGTTTTGCATGGCTGAACAACACGTTTTGAATAAATTACTTTCGCTCGGTACGTATTCAGCGTATTTGTGGTAAAAGGCAACAATGTTCAGCTCTATCTGTTTCTATTCAGATGATGTTTTCAACACCTTCGAACCTACACGAATGTTCTTTTTTTTGTTATTCAGCGTCTCAAACTTGCAAGTGAACCGTCACCCGACTGGGGCCCCGCTCGAACTGAGAACAGATTAATCTATCTTGAAAGAGAGCGTACTCAACAACAGATATTTATGAAACCAATGGCCTAATTCGACCCCGCGGAGCCTCGTCGTCGCGGTTACAGATGCCATGGATAGGGAAAGACACTTCCCTAAATGTATATTTAAGTATATTTTGCTGCCGTAAGAACGGACGCATCACTATTCAACATGACCAGACGGCTATATTTTTAGTTATCACGTCATATTTGAGACACATCAGAATATGAATATACAAAGTGTTAATAAGACTGTTACATTTATTAAATAATTTAAAAATGTGAAATTGAGAGTATCTTTCATGAAGATAAATTAAGGAATGAAGGAATCAGGTTCCAAACATTTACTCGGGGTTATATGTATGCTCAACCGCAAAAGAAAGGCGAGGTTTATCAGGTATCGGAACATGCGTATTTTCAAATACTAGTGAACACAGGTGTGTGTGTGTGTGTGTGTGTGTGTGTGTGTGTGTGTGTGTGTGTGTGTGTGTCATATACCATGTTGGATGGACGAGTGTTAATGATGGCGACACATCTTCTGTGCAGCGAGTGCACAAGGCGGTTAATGAAGGCCATGGGGATCTGAATCAATATACATGCTAAGGCATGGTGATGATGTTATGCTGCTGTAGGATGTCTCCTGTGGTTCCAGCTGTATGAGGACGAGCGTTCTCTGGCTGGAATATGCTGCCGTTGGTGACGAGCGAAAAAGGGAAACACGTAAGATCTGAGGACTTGGTAAATGTAGCGCTGCGCTGTGACGCCATTACCCCTGCCTTCACCAATATTTTGGGAGACCACAGGTTCCATGAATGGAAGCCGTGTATTCATGCGATGCTACGATACATCCGGCAAAATGCAGATCCTTACTGCGTGTTGGTGCCTCAAAGGTTTTCTCGATGTTTTTCTTTCGGGTTTTACCCATAGCTACCTTATTCTGCACGTGCATCTTGGAACTACAACTCGCCTACCACACAAAAGACACCCTGATGAACCCTTAACGAAAAGCGACAAAACCCTTTCCATAATCATGCGAAATCTCTGCTAAAAGCAAAATCCATTGTACGATTCCAGCTATATCTTAACCATGTGTTTATGAATCACTATCAAATAGTGATGATACCAGGTGTTCGCAAAAAGGTGAGTGTACCCTTGATCATATTTGGCACCCCTGACAATTGTTCGCCGAAAACATCAATGGTTTGACTGGTTGGGTTTCTATCTGATTCTAAGAACATATGTCTTCCTCATTCAACCTTAAACTTGTGATGAGTGGTGTGACAGCCCATGTGCAATTCCGTGAGGGCGTGTGTACCGATACTTAATACCGCAATTGTAGAACAGAAAACTGACAACAGAAATATATTACCTTGTTTCCGTTATTCACCTCCTTAGTCAGTCAAAATAAATTACTGTCAGTAATCATATATTCAAATGATATTTGACACATGTAATGATGGGACTAACGCCCTGCAAGCATGTATGCATAAATCAAGTTTCATGGCGGGGAAGGGGGTGAGTGCCTTAGAAACTGACAAGGATACTACATTTTTGTTTTAAAAAAGCATTCACACTTTTGAAGAAAGCAAAACCACACACATCAGTGAGCACGTTCAATACAATGACCTTCACAATGGACATAATCAGGACATGTGGCATAGAATTCTATATTTGCCCAAATCCAAAATTCAAATCCAGCTTGTCACAACTGGTTAATCCTTTTAATCCCTACCCTTACTGTACATTTGACTCCATTTCTGTGTGGTGTTTGTTATTCTAAATGTACATATGGGTTCATTCAATCATCTGATGCTACTTGTTGTATATAACATGTTGTTGTCAATCTTAATCTCCCGTGAAGACCCGAGGTAGAATAGGTCTTCAGCAACCCATGCTTGCCGTAAAAGGCGACTATGCTTGTCGTAAGAGGCGACTAACGGGATCGGATGGTCAGGCTCGCTGACTTTGTTGATGCATGTCATCGATCCCAATTGCGTGGATCGATGCTCATGATGTCAATCACTGGAGTGTCTGGTCCAGACTCGATTATTAACAGACCTCCGTCATGTAGCTGGAATATTGCGGCGTTTAATAACAAACAAACAAACAACGTTAATCTGCTGCTTATCACAACTTGTCATGCATTTATACCTTCACTCCAATTTGAAAACGGTGACAGAAGCAACTTCGAGACGTCGCTGTATGTAATAAGTCAGAAGTTGTTTTCCATAAAGTTGTACGTTTTCTTGCTTATTTTCACCAACTTCGAGATTGCCAATCAAACAGTTTCATTTCAAAGTCTAGACTTTGTGTTTAGTGATTTGTGTGAAATGCGAACTTGTCTTTGTTCAGTTGGAGTAACTGTCAATTGTTACATTTTCATATATTTAGACTTAGTAATGTTTGAACGGCTTGAATCAAATTTGCTAGGACTGCTGATTTCCCGGGGAATACTCTCCTTTAAGCCTCAGTCGTCTCTGTCTGTTCATCATGCGGGGCCAGTTACATTTAGGTGACGCTTGTGTTGTGGGAAAACAGAATCACAAAAGAGGTGAGGTGGGGAGGAATGTCTTATTCTCCCTTGAATAGGTTAACTAGAGCATCACTATCCCTACCCTTCACAGTGACACTAGATCTACGCAACTTGGATACGATGACATGCATCAACCAAGTTAGCGAGCCTGACCAGCCGATCCCGTCAGTCGCCCCTTACAACAAGCATAGTCGCCTTTTCCGGCAAGCATGGGTTGCTGAAGACCTTTAGCATAGTCTTTTCTGCATGACAGTGTAGGAACATGACAGGAATTGTTATTTTACCCGAAAATGATATCATTTCTTGAACGTAAAAGTGAAACCTCACACAGGATGCAATGGATACTATAAATCTGAAAAAAGATGAATAGCTCGAATTCAGATGATTTTATCTCATGAAAGACCATTTGAATTTTATTATTTATCTTTGTTTCATTTTATTTGACACAACAGGCCGCATGCAGAACATTCTAATCATATAAAGACAACTTAGTCATAGATTTATCATGAATGGTTACAATTTATAAACATATTAGATATTTTTCTCCACTTTTTCAAATGGTAATTTACATACGCTTACACGCCTCCTAAAACATTGGAACATATTAATCATACCAAGAAACAGTGTGCAAAAGTTTCTTCTCGGCATAAGCATAAATATATGATGGCAAGCAACTACTTTTCACACAATGATTTGGGGATTGACTGACTCACGCCATCCATTACAGCCTTTAAGAAACTCCTTCCTTGACCCAACACTTTTTGGCATAAACTCAGCGGACAGTCTTCAGTACCAGAACGCTGTTTTCTGCCTTTTTTATGTCTGAAAAATTGCGGCCTCTTGAAATTTCAGCTCAATCTTTGAACTTCTGGGGACCGGTGTAAAGGGAACTAAGTAAGCGGCATATAACTTTTACAACCACTATATCGCTACATAAAAGAAGAAGAGGGAGGATCAGTCAGTTTACTTGGGGGATGCGTTATTGGCCATCTCGTGGATGAGACAAACTCCAGAATGCCCATATCAACTTCGGGCCGAGTGCAAATGTAGGCTAAAGAAAGTTCAGAGCTGAGCGCTCGCAATGAAATCAAAGCCACACATACTTATGCAGTAGCTGTCCTTTCGTATTCTTTTGGTGTTGTTGATTGAACGACACCCTCACAAGAAGATGCATGTCAGACAATAGATCCCGCATAGTAAATCAGAAGGCTTTCTATTTGCTGCTCGGGACCAGTCACTTCCCAATCTAAACCGTCAATGCGTGATCTTCTATGTGCACGTGCAGAGATTCTCCTACTTATGTAAATAAAAAACATTGAAGAATATGTTCGTTTTGCAACACAGTGTTTGGTAGGTTTAATGTCTCGGTCCGAACATTTCTTTGGTAGTTTTCGATCTTAATGACTCTTAATGATCCGATAAATGTTATATACATAACACCTTAATCATAGTGAGTGAGTGAGTTGGGTTTAACGCCGCTTTTAACAGTATTCCAGTTATATCGCGGCGTGTCAGCTTAATATGGGAGGAAAGCCCGAAGTGATGCAGGTCTCAGACGTTTACCACTTCGGTGAAACCCACGAGCACGGGTATGGAGCTGACAAACCATGAAACATAATCGGAGCGAAACGGGATTCGAACCCACAATCATAGGTTTCTGGCGTGCCCAAGGGACGCAACTCTGCACAGCGAATCGCGGCTGGGCCACCCGTGCGCCCCCCCCCCCCCCCCCCCCCCCCCCCTCTTAATCATAAGTCAACTGTTGTCCAGGAGACTAAGGGTAATAAATTCGGCATTGTAGTGTGTGTACAGTCAACCCATATGTATACGACTTAGTAAAGCGTAAAATGTCAGAAACCAAAGAACTGTTCAGCGCAGTACGAGGCCGCGATTTATGTGTCAATGTTTTGCATGGGCTGTCATAAAGAGCTATCTGCCATGTCGGAGCCTGACGTGTTTCTGAACGCTGACTGTCAAAAGTCCACGAATGTGAAGGATGATCGAGTAAGAACCAGAGAGGTATGGTCCAGGAAGAGAGAGTACATTCTGTCACTCCTTGGGTACTCAGTTGGCCTTGGCTCACTTTGGAGATTTCCCTATCTTTGCAACAGAAATGGTGGTGGTAAGTGTGACCAACTAATAATTAACGTGTTGATGAGGAACAATTAATATTTGGAGTATCTGTTACTATATACTGATGACGTGGTGAAGGTTAGAGGTATCCATGGTTTTTGTATTGAAGGGCCATCATATATATGTATCGGGAATAATACTGAATGTGACAAAAATGAAAAAGTTATAGAAGAGGGTATGACTGATTCTAAACTTTTCAACAATATGTCATAGCTTTTTGACATAACGGATGTTGTTTTGACATAACGTATCATCCAGATGATAAATATAATATGACCCGCGTTAATAAAAGCTAAATACATATCTGATTTGTCCGCTATTGCTTGGACAAAGGCTTATGTTAGAGTGGTTCTGGTCTGTCTCTCAGCAGTGTTCACTCTGAAGTCTGAAGAACTTAGTCACTTACCTAAACCTCGGCTCTTAAATAACATACCAGATATAGATATAGAGATTTCTTTGTTTATGGACACCTGTTTTATATGCGGTTATTGTGTTTACTTCGGACTATATACATATTTATATATATATGTGTGTGTGTGTGTGTGCGTGCGTGCGTGCGTGCGTGCGTGCGTGCGTGCGTGCGTGTGTCCATGTACATGAGATATAATGCAAATATTAATGTTGTTTCAGGCTCTTTGAGCCTACCAACACAAATGTCATTGTGTCTTTTTAGTACCAATTCTCTTTCGTCGTAATATGATAACGTTCAGTTTCATATTTTTATATGATGCTCATCCTTTCCACAAGACTCCGTTATCTTTGATGTCACACAATCTCCCGAAGACGTTTGTAGGTCAGGATTTCTTATTGCGTCACCAGAGTGTGTTTTGTCCACTGTTTCAGTAGGCTTGTTTTCTCTGTAACTGTCCTGTATGCGCACTTGCCTAAGTTGGACGATTATCTTCAGATGAGTGGGGAGTAAGCCTTGACTCGGGATTTGCATTATTGTTTAAACTTCATCGTGTACATAATCCACGTGGTGTACGTATGTGGGTGGCATAAATTCAACAAACATGTAACATAATAGCCATTATAGCTAAAATAGACAGAATTATCATTAAACCGCCCGCACGTTTTCAGAAATGAGCGGGTCACTGTAACTTGATAATGCCCTCATATTGCTTGACGACGGGCCATTATCATATGTGTAAAAGTGGGTCAGTGATTTAATATAATATAACATAAGGGTAACGCTATTTTCCAGGGCATTTTCATTTGCAGAAGCCCGAGGTCTTCCATTAACTGCCCTCGGGTTTCTGCAAATGATAATGCCCTGAAAAATAGCGTTACCCTCATATTATCACCATCCTCCGTTTATTTGAACAGTTTTCGATAACACCTTAAGGATTCAAGAGTAGGATGAAGCGGGTGAACGCCGATTTAAAAAATATGGACGTGCTGGAATATTTTTATCTGGAATAGGTCTTAAAATAGAAGTCATTGTGATGGTATTTTTGAAAATGACAAATGTGGTTATATGTGTTTGTTGTTTAACGCCGCACGCAGCAGTATGACGGCGGTCTGTAAGTAATCGAGGCTGGACCAGACAATCCAATGATTGACATCATGAGCATCGATCCACGTAATTGGGATACAATGACATGCATAAACCAAGTCAGCGAGCCTGACCACCCGATCCCGTTAGTCGCCTCTTACGACCAGCATAGTCGCTTATACAGCAAGCACGGGTCAAATGTGGTTATATCAGCAACTTTGAGGATTAATTTAGAAACACGTGCTGTTTGTTTTAAAAGGAGGAAAGTGTCTGTAGGGGGAAATGTCAGCATATTTCCCATGTGTATGAAGTAATTGATGAAGGGCTTTGACAATCGGGATCTTTCACACATCATCGTTATATCATCTGTTTGTTATCATTGGTTTTGAGAACGTAGTTTTATGGATGTGGAAAATGTGATATAAAGTCATGAGAAAGGCAGGCCAAATTTATTGCAGTAAAACATCACAAATCAAGGAGGTTATTCACATGGCCTTGTTTTAATGCATTCAAGAAATTATAATTAGTCGTTCAACCTTCTCATCGAGCTAAAACATCGTTTCACTGCACCTCAATGTCAGCCGTGTTCACGAAGCAGTTAACTGACATTTCCATAGCCAATTTAGCTATAGTCCATATCTAACTTCAGATCTGTGGCTAACATATAGCCAACTATGTGATTCAGAACGATAACTTTACCACAAAACTTGTTTAATATGCCCTTTTTAACATGTTTTAATACGAAACGACCAGCACTTAATATATATGAAATATATTTCCTTAATCAAAGATACCGATACATATTACATGACGGGGCCGGGTGGTCAGGCTGGCTGACTTTGTTGATATGCATGTCATCGTATCCCATCTGCGTGGATCGATGCTCATGACATCAATTACTTGATTGTCTGGTCCATCCTCGATTATTTACAGCTTGAATATTGCTGAGTGTGGCGACAAACGAACAAACAAACTAATCACCAATCTCTCGCATATTACCACAAAAATTACCCAAGTGTTCTATACTTCATGTGTCATAGTTGTGTATTGTTACCTCCAGGGGAACACAGAAATAATGGATAAAATACAGATCTCCATATTGAACACAAGCTCAAGGCGAACAGATTTAAAGAACAGACTATACTCTCCCATCCCTAATCCCCCGAGTTTCAGTTTTGAGCTCGGTGAGAACACACCCCGTTAAATGGAGTGGAACAACGGAGAGTAATACATTTCAAATATATGGGCGTGTTTACAATGATCAAACCATCACTCACACGGAAAGGAATGTCTTTAATAACAGTACGTAACAAGGATGGCGAAGCTAGCTTTAGTCAAAGCGGATATACAGCCTATTCCCTTTAGTAAACTAGAGATAAAAAGCAAATTCAAAGCCTCCGTAGCAGAAAGATGGCAAGCCAAATGGGACGCAAGTACGATCGGCAGATGGCTATACAAAATTCAACCCAAGGTCCAACAAAAACCAAACTCATACTCAAATGAAAGAAAATTGAAAATGCTATCTCACGCCTCAGACTCGTTCACAAAAAGCACTATGACAAGGTTTGTTCATCTTGCAATCAGGCTGAAACCATTGCTCACGTTTTACTAGATATCAAGACCATGCCCCAGCCCGGGCTTGGTTAAAACAATAATTGCAGTTAGTTCCGCTATCTGTCATAGACTGAATAGGCTAACTGGCTTGAGCCATTACATTTGACTCGATCCGAACAACATAACCAGAGCCTCTGCTATGATAAAACTGCCTTCGTATAGTATAATGTTTTATCAATTATTTTGGAGTTTGTAATGACATGTATGTGTTAAGAGCACGTGGTTTTACTTTTCATTGAAACTACGAAAACATCAAAGTAGCCAACTATACTGTAAATAGAATAATATACATTGAACGCAAGAACCCTTGATGATCATAAATGAACAATGCCAGGTAAATGTCCAGCTGTTCTAGCAAAGCAGATTAGCAGGACCATGCTCGTTCCCCTTCTCTTCTTATAACGTACCAGGTAAAAAGACAAAATGTCTTGAGTGAACACATGGTCAGCAGATAAATGATGGACAGCTATAGGTGACGTGAAAAACTGTTCTATATATATTATAATAATATTAATATCTTAAATATTGTAAATGACCTTTTTAAATGTGAAGAACGTAGGTTAATAAACAACATAAATATATCAAAGTTTCATGAGTATTCACCATAAACCCCATCTGAGGTTCATGGCTTTCAATGACCAAACACTGAATTTTTCGTTTTTAAATCTGTCCTTAATTTAAAATCTCACGAGAATCCCTCATGTACTGATACATGAATGCAGAAACCCACCAGTACTTATTCCAATCCAAGTGCCATTCACCATAAGACACATATTATTCGTTTAGTATATCCAAGGGGTGCACATGTTTTTCAATTATAACATGTGTCCCACGTATAAACATGTCATGAGACATCATCATGAATTGTTACAAGTGTCAATGCTCATCAGAACTGTTTTTAAATCCACGATGCATTTTCCATGAAATATTCCATGTTTTCTAAACAGCCCTTACGAAGTGAAACTATGTTTACAGTCCTCAATTTAAACGTGAAAACCCCATTGTATATCATAACTTATACGTGAAAACCCCATTGTATATCATAAGTTATAAAATAAAAAAACATGACGGTCTTCTCACCTATAGAAACGAGGGGCTTTCACCCATAGGCCTTGTTTAGGGACAATGCGTCTTTCAGCCTTATGAATGAAAGTAGGTGAACACATGTACACTTGACCTCGTCAGGCTGATGGAGAGAAGATGCGACGACAATTCGTGTCCACATACGACAGCTGCTTTTGGAGATCTGTGAATTATGTACACTACTGCTTAGAATGTCATTCCCCTGACTGACTTGGTTGATGCATGTTATCGATATCAATCACTGGATTGTCGGGTCCAGACACGATTATTTACAGACCGCCGTCATGTAGCTGGAATATTGCTTAGTTCGGCGTAAAACAACAAACAAACAAACCTTCCCCTTACAGTACATACACGACAACATTATTTTAATCCCTTTGGACGAAACAACAATTCTTATTTGAGGCTTTCAACTATCCGTTTTCCGTCCAAATAACGGAAGCTTAGCGGAAGTGCTGAATTCAAACGTTCCACGCATACGGATATTTTAATGCCTTATCCAGATTTTCCGTTCTGTGCATGCGCAATTTCGAGGATTGTTTACTAGATTTAGTATTGTCACTATTTGATAGTAATTCATAAACACATGATGCTAATAATGTGGTCGGAATCGTCAGCTTTTGGAAAGGGTTTTGTCGTTTTTATTTACAGCACGTACGTGATCTTACACTGCTGTAAACTGTCATGCGCATTTCCCACTAACTAACACAATGATAACGGTGGCAATTTGATTCAAAATAATTAGGAGAGAGCACCGCGCAGGATCTGTTAAAGTATAGAAAATGGAATTTATTACTTTCGTAATCACATTATCAACAAATGTATAAACTAATATCAAACTATACTGAAGAATTTATCTTATTAGAAGGTGACCTTGGTCTATATTGCCAGATACTATATATACCATAGATAGTATATATTGGTTCTGATATTGCTTGGAATTGAGGAAACTATGTTTATCAATAATTTTAAGGTTGTGATGTATGTAGCCCGAGTACATTTTCTTTCTAATTTGTATTTCCGCCCAATTATATTATGCTCTCTCTCTCTCTCTCTCTCTCTCTCTCTCTCTCTCTCTCTCTCTCTCTCACACTCTCTCTCTCTCTCATTTGCATAACCTTAATGTACACGTAGCCTTGCCCGGTTACCCGATGTGACTAGTCTGTCTTACCATCCTTGAACAAAAAACGATAAAAGGAAACCTATCAATAATTTTAAGGTTGTGATGTATGTAGCCCGAGTACATTGACTTGAGATTTTTCTTTCTAATTTGTATTTCCGCCCAATTATATTATGCTCGCTCTCTCTCTCTCTCTCTCTCTCTCTCTCTCTCTCTCTCTCTCTCTCTCTCTCTCTCTCTCTCTCTCTCTCTCTCATTTTCATAACCTTAATGTACACGTAGCCTTGCCCGGTTACCCGATGTGACTAGTCTGTCTTACAATCCTTGAACAAAAAACGATGAAAAGGAAACCTATACGCAAGTCTATAATAGATTATCAAGTCTAGATGTCAGTTATGTAATACAAATCCCTTGCTTCTATCCTACTTACGAAATATGTTCTATTATTTTCTTTTGAGAGAAGTTAAGTCGAAGTGCTGACGCTTAACGGCTACCTAACGATGAACGTTCGCTTACGTTTTGCGAGTACCTTGCAATCTGAACAACCTTATTAAATCTTGAAAGAGTTCATGGATGATTTGCATATTTTCAATCATTTCTGTTTTGAAGGTATAAATAATATTTGAAGTTTGATGTGTTTGCTACTGTGCCAATCAGTAATATTTAAGTTAATTTAATGGCATTGAATTGACCTACCAGTTATGTATAAAACAAAATATCAACAACACTTCTCAAGCAAAAGAGAAGCGCAAATATTACAGTCTTTATTTTTCGGATGACATTATCATATATTACCGTCTTTACGTTTTTTGATGACATTATCATAATCATTGGTAATAATCATCACATATATTCGTTTCACCAATATCAGTTCACGAGCCTTAGTGTCCAAATGTGTTTTTCCACAAACTGGTTCCGTCCAGTAAACCTACAGACGGTTGCGAAAACGAAGTACACATAGCTATACTAGTATATGTTACGTATATATTGATAACAATTAAGGTGAACATTAGTAAATAGATGAATAAATGAATGAGTGAGTGTGTTTATGCCACTGTCAGTCATAGACCAGTGCTGCGTGGTTTGAAGACACACAATCTACCAGGTCGCACATTGTGATTACCCGATCCTAATTTAATCCCCTCTGTCGATACTCCTGTTGACGAAAAGTGCACATGTACCTGGGGTCGTCGCTAAAACATTCATGTGCGACACTTTGGACCCCAACCACCTCGGATATGAAGGATCCATAAAACTCTTCATTTTAAAGCTGGACACTGAATGTGGCCAGCGAAAGCTAAGAAGGAGATGAGAATGAAATTGGGGAGAATGTTTTATTACATATATATCCTCGAGAGTCAGCACGAGACTAGAAATAACTGTCTTTGTTCTGTCTACTTTGTGGAATAAAGGCTTACAATTGTAAAAGGATCTGTTGTATCTGTCTGTAGAATCGACTTAACTGCCTTCAGCCCCCTGCAGTTGTCCAACCATCCGTGTCCAGCCTGACCCCACAATGCACCTTAATAGTGTGTCTAGCACAACACGTTGAGAATGGGCAGCCTTACCCTGGCTGAAAACACTTTATAACAATTCAGCAAACTTTGATATAATAGCAGCGAATATAATTTAGTTTTATGTCATCTTAATATATTACTTGAATCCTACTTATTTTGTGGCTACTATGACGTACATCAAAGCTTCCTTTCAGCTATTATGCATATCATAAAATACTCAGCACGTCCGGGACAACAATAGGATTGTATCAGATGACATGATGTCCGAAAGAAAAGATGATCAACGCATCTCTTAACTGTTTACACGTATCTCTCATGACATAAATGTGATTAGAGTTCAGCTGTTGCAAAACCTGTGACCGAGAGGTAAGGAGTCACGTGACATTGCTCTGCATTCTCATTCAAGAAGTCGCTTGTGGGATCGTGTATATTATATTTATAGAGGGTACGTCATACTTACACAGAAATATGGGGATTGATAGGAAACTGAAGGATCATGGGATGACAAGTTTGTGAATTCATTGAAATGAATCCTCAAACTTTACTATTTATTTCTCAGAGTTACCATTGTTTCGTTTTATACTCGATAGCTTGAGCGACCTGTATTCCACCACAGATCAACCAGTGCTCAAAGAGAAGATAAAAGACCTCTTGAAGCTAGTCATCTCATGTAGATATTACAGATGAATCTGCATCTGATGATGATGTTAATGTTGATGACGAAACCAGTGACCAGTGCAGCAAAGAGGGTTTGGGTGATCCTGGCAGAGTCTCATCATCAGCTCAGGCCCTGCCCCGTCTACACGCAACCCCGACAGCGAATTGGACTTCTCCCAGAAAGCGCTGCCTTATCGAACCCAGCCAGAACATTTCAGAGAATGTGAAGACTCATCAACACTGCAGCCTTCTGCATTACCCAGATTGCCAGAAGGGCTGTGTTCCTGGCAGCAAACCCGGGTACTCGCTAAATGTCAGTCAACAGACGGCGACGTACCAAACCGCACCGCGGACAAAGGGGAGTTGGACATCTTGGTACTTGGGACGCAAGCTTGTCATTTCGAAAGCGAGGTCCGCATATTTGCCATGTTTTTCCTGAATCTCGTCAATCACATGTGTCAAAAGGGACAGAAAATTTACACCATATTTCCATGTCTAAAAAACTACGCTCTCAATCCCAATAATAACAAACAGGTAATGTAACAATCATGTGGGAAAGACCCCAGATGTCCACACCCTTCGTCAATTACTTCATACACATGGGAAATATGCTGACATTTCCACCTTTTTAAACAAACAACACCTGTTTCTAATTTACTCCGCAAAGTTGATGATATAACAAAATGTCTGTTTAAAACATTTTTTTCTGAGATAATAGATTTATAATATAACACATAGAGGGGAGTTTTTCTGAAGGTTATCTGAAGGTTATCTGAAGGTTGGGGGTTCTGTCCCCAGCCGCGTCAAATCAAATGTCGTTAAACGATGGTAATTCGTGTCACCCTGCCAGGCGCTCGGCATGAAGGAGATAGGACAAGGACAGGTCGGTCAGTATACCATGTCTGAGTGATCTGTCCTTGTTACACTTCGTTGCGCTCCCTCAGTGGCCTAGCACCATATCACCGGCATAAGTCCGGACTAATACAAGCACACATACAAATAGACGCACGCACGCACACATGCACACGCATAGGTCGCTATATTAGTGCAATAATTTTGAACGCAACGTTAAAACCCATTTCACCTTATCCATTGATCACTACACAATATGTTAAATAAAACCTTGATCACATGTCATTTTCCCGCTGAAGGTCCATGGCACATATACTGATATGAATATCAGACAATAAAACTCATCACTTTCATACAACCAATTGAAACTCAAACAAACGTAGTTCTAATGTTAGTCCATTGCATTTTAGCTCTATAAGTTGTAAAGATTAATAAACTCTTTCTATTTCCCAGGTGCGTTTCTCATTCCCTACTTTGCTGGGATTTTCACGTGTGCTGTTCCACTCTTCTTCCTCGAGGTTTCCATTGGCCAGTTCTCGAGCAAGAGTGCATCACATGTTTGGGCCATTTGTCCTTTGTTTAAAGGTTAGTTATACACCTTTCTGCTCAGGCCATTTTATAAGCAAATGCCCTACGACTTGAATGGATTTCCTATCATAATGCTTCTTACAACGCTACACTTATTATAACATACACCAGGTATGGAAAGTTGCATTCCTGAGGCGTGCCAGAATAGGTCCCTGATTTTGATTCTTGGTTTGTCAGGACCACACCCATGGAAGCGGCTTGTAACTAAACTCACTCATTTATGATAGTTGTATCGTATCTAATATGGTATCTGGACTATCAATGAATCACTTATTTAAATGACATTTTTCTTCGGGACGGTTTCTTTATAACAGGTGGGGGAGGGGGCTGTATCCTCTCAGGTTTGTATCATGTTTTGCCGTCCCCATTTTCTGTAACATTTTTTCATCAACCAGAGAACACCTCTTTCCATGTCTTGGTTCAAATCTCCACTTCAAGCAACTGTGTGTTTGTTGTTTGACGCCAGACTCTGCGGTAATCAAGCCAAAAGATGGTGGCCTGTTTTAAATAGAGTCTGTACCAGACAAGTGACTGATATTAAGAACAAAAATCCACGTCATCGGGGTACCGTGGCACGCAATCGTGCAGTGAGCCAATTCTAACCCAGAATCTCACATGTTACGTTTTAATATTACATGGTGTGCTCTTTGAAAAATAATTGTTGGTAAATGTGTTTACAACCTGTTTTACAAATGGATCCCTTACGCGTGATGCGACGTTGTTTGAGTTGATTGTTCTAATATAAAATAGTTGATTGGGGGGGGAGAATATATGCACCTGGCCCTGTGAGACAAACTGTTTTCGATGAGAAATTATGATACAGACCAGTCTTGCCCATTATCATGTTTATCTTAACAAAATAAAACATAATTATTTTATTTGTTTTCATCCGTTGTTAATAAGGCATTTAGTAAGACAATATGTATATTACATTTACAGTTAGCAATTTCATAATCTCGATGTATGGCAGTAATTGACACTGAGACTGTTGATATCAGGGACTTGTCTCAAAAACAGGCCGAGATATAATTGGAATACTGTTCAAACCAACGTTAAACCAAACTCATTCACTGACGGTATTTTCAGGTATTGGTATCTCCCAGGTTGCAGGCTCTTTCATTGGATCCCTGCCTTACAATGTCATCATTGCCTGGTCTATTTACTACTTGTACCGGTCTTTCTGGTCAGTGTTGCCATGGACAACGTGTGACAACTGGTGGAACACGCCCCTCTGCGTCACTAAGCTTAGCAACAGTTCATCTATCACTGACGCCTACCTAAATAACAACACGGATGATCATCTGCTGCTCAACTCTGCATGGCGATCGCCGAATGAAACGTTGACGGCGTCAGAGGAGTTTTGGCAGTAAGATAAGGTGTTTTAGTGATATTATAAGTATGTTGACAAAGATCTAAGCCAGACCTGTTATTTAACTGGCACAACTAGACATTCAAAGTCGTATTTTCTTCAATATTATCTTATGATCATAAATAAATTCCGAGCAATGTACATGTACATCCCCATCCCGAACCCATTTCCACAGCCCAACATTCCAAGGACAGCCTCGCCACCAAGGCGTGAGCACAAGAACAAACAGAACTCCCATTCTCATTGACAGTAGCTCAAATAGTTATATTTTACCTGTAAGGGCAATGATCTCGGTGTAATTATGTTTAGTAATTCTTACTGAACATTATCATTTTTGTTTCATGTTAATTTCCTCCAATTGTTCATTTGTTTTCGTTGTTGGCAAAGCGGTCCATAGCAACGTGACGTGTTCTCAAACGCGACTTCATCCATTGTGTCTCAGACAGTATAATGAGACTTCTTTTCAACAATAGATTGATTTGAGCTTATGTGAAATTTTTGATCGGAAAACCCAATACATTGTTCTACATTCTCAGAAACATTAATATTGGGAATATATTGATTAAGCTAACTAAGACTGTCTCTATCCGTCCCTCTTGAGTCATTTGAAAGTCTCTCGCTGAGGCGCAAGAGTAATTCACTCTGAATAGATAATCTGTATCTCTAGTTATGGTTTTCATTTGTCTTCAGCAACCCATACTTGTGGTAAGACACGACTAACGGGTAAGGGTGATGAAGCTCGCTGACGTGGTTGATGTATGACAAAATACTCTAGTATATAATCTTCATTCCTCGTCCCGTATGTTAACTACGTCATCGCCCTAAATATTAATCAAGAAGAATTTATATGATCGTATATTAGACATCAAAAGAGGAAAACAATAGTGAGAATAAAGTCATATTTAAATAATAATCATTTGATTATCTACAGAAAAAGATGTTATGACTGAATCATTAAAAGTTCATGAACTAGCTCCAGCGATATATCCAATGTCGTAATGATCTGTCTTGATAAAGTATCACTGATTTGACAGATACAACACACTGAGAGTGTCAAGCGGTATTGACAATGTCGGAACAGTTCAGGTTCATCTCCTCCTCTGCATCCTTGTCTCTTGGGTCATTGTGTTCCTTTGTGTGATGAAAGGTGTAAAGTCTGTTGGAAAGGTAGGATACCAATACCATACGCTTCAGACCAAACGCTTCTCTTGTACCTTTACGAAAAGGACATTGATGTTAATAAGAAGATATAGAAAGCACCGCCTGCATGACATCTTCCTTTTTGTGAACATTTGTGAATTATCAATGAAGTGCCCTTTATGGTTCGCCGACCAATGTTCATTGAGCTGGTTAACCCTGTGGAGACCAGGGGCACCCACAATTCGTGCTTGTTGAAAGGTCAGGCTTTGTGACTTTGCTGGTTTTGTGTCAACTATCCACCCATTCGATTATTTACAGACAGGCGGAAGTGATATTGATTACATTTCTATGAAACAGATTGTGTACGTGACTGCCCTTCTTCCCTACGTTCTCCTGGCGGTGCTACTGATCAGATCGTGCATGATGCCGGGTGCTGCGGAGGGTATATTGTATTTCCTCCGTCCAGACTTTTCTCGCCTCGGCAATGTACAGGTTAGATGCTCAAGTATAATTAATAACAGAACGTTTAGTGTAAATTGATTATCAGGTACAGCTCCATACTCTAACTATCACTGATATGTCGCCGACATATAGTTTATGCTAGGGATGACAAAACCTTACCGGTACCGGATATACGAATATCAACTATTGTTCTCATGTAACCATAGAAGATTAAAATGTGTTCTTATTTCTTATTTCACCAAAAGGTTTGGCTGGAAGCTTTGCTACAAGGGTTTTATTCTATGAGTACAACATTCGGAGGCCTCATCACCATGAGCAGCTACAACAACTTCCACAACAACTGCTTCAGGTTAACATGTCTTCAAGAGGAGGACCACATATGATACATCAGAAATTAGACATAAAGAAAATACACGTATATAATGTGCCGATAATAGAAAATTCCCTAGAATGATAAAGAGTACCATCATGATCCTGTTTGAATCCGAAACATTATAAGATTGGAAGCCAACCATTTGCCAGATATATTAACAAATAATGCTGCTTATAGTAAGTATCATCTAAAGAAATCAAAACCTGTTATTCTAACGGATCTAACGCGTTGAATATGTTACAGATGTATATGATGTTTACATCTGTGATTTACGTTCATTGATAGGCCAAGCATGATGATATGACTGTAGCTTTTCCAGATATGATCTGCAATAATGTTTATCAATTTTTATTTCAGAGACGTAGTGTTAATTACTGTGATCGGTGAAGCCAGCAGTATTTTCTGTGGTCTTGTGGTCTTCTCTACACTGGGCTTCATGGCGCAACAGGCTCAGATACCTATATCAGAAGTTGTGTCATCTGGTAAACAATCATGGATATTATATTGCTGTTGCTGTGGATACTTGCACATGAGAGTGATCACTTGATTGCCTGCTACAGGATCGATTGTTTACAGGCCGCTCTACTATGACACGAGTATTGATGGGTGCGGCGTTGGGCAACACACATTGTAGTTTTTTAGGAAAAGTGTGTTAGTTGCGGCTGCTTCCGGCAGAACAGGACATGCGAACACCAGGTGTCATTACTGGTTTTAAGTGATCGATTCATATAACGTTATGTGCCTTTTACTCCCTCTGGAATCTGTTTTGGAAGATAATAGGGATTGGTTATTCTCTGGCGTTGACGTTTTGAATTTAGTAGGGTGGGTACATTCGAAATATACAACTTTGGCGTAAAATAGGGTGAAAGTTATATGAATGGATCACAGAACATCAGAAATGAATACTCCCAACACGACATCATACTACCTTGGGTCGTTCTCTGCTATTTGAACAGAAGATTTTTGTCTGTGGAAACACTGCACTGTAAAAAGTCTTGGGTGAGCCGAAAGTCGAACATGTTGAGCTCAACACATTGCCTCACTGCGACTGATTTGTGATCATGACATAACGTATAAGTCACCTCTGATCAAGTTAAGGACTCAAAATGGGGATGCAGCGTAGTTGTGGCACAACTGTTGGCTCTTCACGCCGAAGACCCAGTTCGATTCAAGGAAGAATGGGTGAAGCCATTTGTTGATCTCCATCGTTATATGTGTTATACTCCATTTACTGTATCAGCAATTATTGTTACTAGGTGCTGGGCTAGGGTTCATCATATATCCAGAAGCAATTTCCCAACTACCGGTGTCACAGCTGTGGGCAGTGCTGTTCTTCATCATGCTGTTAACAATGGGAATAGATTCTCTGGTAAATATGTATTGTGGAATTTAATACACAAGCGTGTGCAAAGACCAGTAGTTATAGACTAGAACTATACTTTAGCTGTAGAACTTACTTCGCAAACTTTTGCTTTTAATGACTATTTCAAATGTCCAAAATTCAAATAAGACTTCGTCATGGAGATCTGATTTTAATGGGTATTTTCGTAGATATCACATACGTGTATTTCTTACCATACATTTGGTACAGTAATTTTTGTAGACTATCGTATGCTATTTTTACATTATGTGACGGTTTATATGTTTTTGTCTATACACTTTTACCGATAGAGTTTGGTTACTCATTAACAAGACACTCCGGAATGCCGTCATCAACTGATTATACTGGCCTACAGTATTATAGAGGAAATTCGATTTTCGCCAAATATTTTCCCTGGAGGTTTTTTTTTATATGTTCAAAGGAATTTTGCTGTTCTTTGTAAAAGATGCATGTGTGGTGCCATGAGGCTTGCGATTTCTTGTTGACTCCAGAACGGTACATTGGTATACATAAACTAAATGTATATTGGTCTTCTCCTTACAAGAGGTGGTGTTTGACCGCCAGAGGCTGACACAGTTTGCAAAGCAATCTAGTTCATGTCATAACATTTGTTATAAATATTAATGATAACAAGTTCGTTAATACAGATAAACATTTGTTTGTCGTATTCATTGTACATCACGACAGAATATTAATATACATTGTCTTACAGTTTGGTCCCATGGAAACGGTTATAGCAGGCATAATAGAAGCGTGCCCAAAATACCTTCAACATCGAAGAATGCATGTCACCGCTGGAGTGTGTCTGCTAAGCTTTGGAATTTCCATTCCCTATGCAACCAATGTGAGAACATGTTCATACAAACATCATGCATTATATGTCAACTCCCTACTTCTCGTTATAGTACACTTCCTAAAAGTTATCTCTTTGTCGCAAGTTCAAATAAATAAAGCATGATGTTATTAGAACCCCATCGTATCAGAGATATGAACAGGAATGCATAAGTTATTCCTATTCCTAATATGTACTATAATAGGAGCTGTGCATGTTGTCATGTACATGTTGTTTGATATTTTTATATGTTTTGATTCAAATGTTTTAAAAACAAATATGCAGATTTTCATATTAAGGTTTTTCAGTTTACTTAAAATTTCTATTCTATTTCAAGATTTTTTTCTGGTACTACTTTACTCAGATTTTGAATTTTGTATTACATGATTCACAAGTCATCCTCGTTTTAAATTCCGAAACATTCTCATATTCTTGTTGTCTTTACAAATTAATGACCTGAAATTACTTCTGATTGGACATGAATTTAACCTCCGCCCCAAAATACTGATATCATCTCATGTCAGTTATGACTTTTAATGACTGAACGTACAATTTATATGTTCTTATTACAGGGTGGCGTATACCTCTTTCAGCTGTTAGATTGGTATGCATCCTCGTTCAACACACTGCTCATCGGTTGTCTGGAGTGTGTCGCAATTAATTGGATCTATGGTACGTCAGGTCTGCGGGAGCAGTTTACCAAATATTGCAAATATTGAACACGCGTACATTGTACATGCAGGAAAACGAAAATAAATGTGACTGAAACGTGTGCTGCAATTTGGTTGGCAAACGATGATGAATATAATTGAATCCTAGACGTATTTCTGACTTTTCACTGCGACTACTATGCTATTTCCTGGAATCCTGTACTCAATAAGAACATCAAATGTGATATCTTCTAAACTGTGCTTGCAAATGACAGGAAATTATTTGCTTACAGGTGTTCTTATGGGTAATTATTATCTGGAAACCGTCATTTCGTACTTTCAGGAGTTATTGCCTACGACAAATTACAGATGATACATTCTATGTATGTTTTCCTATGATGTTGATTTTAACATCCATTGTCAATTTTATTATGTAATTGAAATTTTATAGGTTCTGACAGATTTAGCAACGATGTTGAAATGATGATGGGAAGACGTTTCCCGATGGTGCTTAAAGTCTTGTCTTCCTACTTCACCCCGGTCATTCTTTTTGTAAGTTTAGCCTCACAGAGCCACTTTAAGGTAGTGCCGCCATCCAATACAGCTATCGAACGTCCTTCTGGAGTGTCTGGTTCAAAACGTGTTATGTTTCCTATACTGAGCTGCATTTGTTCATTCTTTGTTATAACTTAAATTTGGTCATGCTAATTTGAGTACTTATGTGATTCGTTACCTTTGAAAATATTGGAACAAGTACACAAAATAGAAAGTCAGACAACGATATTGTTCCGATATTGAGGGTAAGTAAGTTCTTAGGATATATCGAACCAGACTCTCTGGCAACATAAATCCCAAGTAGCACTCTTTTAATAACTGAGGGAATGGGTTGCCCAGTCATCTAGGGCTCACAATTCGTTGTGCAGAGTTGCGCCCCTTTGAAACATGTGATCGTGTGTTCGAAACCCGGTTCGCCCTGATTATGTTTCATGGTTTGTTAGCACCACAATCGAACTCATGGCTTTCACAAAATTGGTAAACGTCACGGATATGAATCACTTCGGGCATTTCTCTCATATCAAGCGGACACTCTAATATTACTGTCATACTGTTCAAATTGGCGTTAAAGCCAATAATATTATTTCTTCTTTTCCATCACAGGCGTCGCTGGTATTTTCTCTGTTTCTCTATGACCCCCCAAGCTATGGCGAGTACATCTACCCTGAATACGCAAGGGTGATTGGAATCTTAATGGCAGTAGTGATGTCATTGCCAATACCTGTCATGTTGGTATACCAGCTTGTCAAGAAGAAAGGAACATTTCTTGAGGTAGGTGTACATATCAAACGAACCATGATATACGAGATATGAATAACAACATTCGACTGAACGTCACATATATTGCAAAAGGGTCGTAAATAGGTCATTCACATTGTTGTTTGATCAGAGTTGCAACATGTTTTTGAACACTTGACTTTTGTGACCCTTGCCACGGGTGGGGCAGGATACGCTTACCTTTTCGCGAAAACCTGGCATTATTACTCTTTGATAGTGATTCATAAACAAGTTCTCGTGATACATTCGGAATCGAACAAAAGTTTCAGCTGAGATTACCCAATTGCGTGGATCGATGCTCATGATATCAACCACTGGATTGTCTGGTCCAGACTCGATTATTTACAGACCGCCGTCATATAGCTGGAATATTGCTGAGTCCGGCGTTAAACCACAAACAAACCAAACCAAAACTTATAATTATGAAAAAGGACGTGTCGCTTTTATATAATTTATGTAGAACGTGTCCTTATACCTAATTGGATTCATTTATACACCACTGAAAGTGAGTTTTATGTCTTTAACAGCGTCTCCGCCTCGCAAGCTCTCCGGCCACTGACTGGGGTCCTTCGCGTTCTGAAGACAAAGAACGATATCTTGAGGAGATGCACCAGCAACCAGAAAGTCTTATTATGCGACTATTACACTCGAAAAACAAACAACCTGCATGACGCACAAAACAACAACGACGATTTATATGCTCAGGATAATATTGAAGCATTTCTAGTTATTATGTTTGCCAAGTATGTTATTAGTATTTTTCAGAATCAGCTTTAACGTAGTAAGTGAGTGACTTAATATTGTTTTACGCCACCGTCAGCAATTATTTACAACTGCAGATCGTTTAAGTATCGATGTTAACAGTTTCGTGACAGAAGTAAACATTAACATTATAAATCATTTCATCATCAACCTTTCCCTTTGAGTTAATGAAGTAATGTATACAGCTCCTCTACGACTGGAGTTACGTTTAAGCAATTACAAATCTATCATTTCATACATTCGTTGTACATGAACTAATGATGGTATTCAATCTTTAGGCACCGGTGATGAAAAGTGCATAGTATTGGTTCCTCCATGTTTGTCGTGTTACGATACTCAATCCTGCTTTGTTGTTATTAGAAAAGTTGTACTAACCTATATGATGTATGGCTCGCTTCAGCTAAATTGCCAATATTTGATGTGCTCAGTATATCACGGATGCTCTATGTATTAGAAATACAGTGTTGATTATCTTGTCACAATATATAAGGCTTTCTGACTGGAATAAAGTTTTATATGATATTAAACAGTGTAGTTTTTCAAGACTGACCCGGTCTACAACCACCAATCCGAAGGTTTCTTACGTTTTAATATTCAAATCAACTTATGACATGTGAAGTCTAAAAATTTGAGTGTTTACAATATTGGATTTTATGTTTTTCAGGTTACGTTTAACAACCATTATGCATTCCATACGCAGGCTTTGAATTTTCTCAGTAAGGTCGTAACAAATTCATTACTAGATATTTGAATTCTGGATGAAAATCTAGAAACTTCTGGCTTTCCATTTTTAACTGACGAGTTCCTATTACATTTCTACATTTCCTTTACACTGACTACCGCACCTAATTGAGAGACATTTCAGCTTCTACTGTGATGCAGCTGTCAGAGATTGTTGTTGTGATTGGAAACCGCGGAAAATCTAATGATTTCAGATCACGTAACAAGGAAAGGTTTCAACATTTCAGCACAATCAATGCGGGGAAACCAGAAATGGGCTTCATGCATTGTACCAATGTGGGTAATCGAACGCCGGCTTTTGATGTGAGGGGCGATCTAGGCGACCCCTATCGCCCCTTGATCTCATTAGGACAAGTACATCCTTTTCAAAGAAGATTCAATCCACCTTCACAATCAGCAGACTGTCCATTCTTCTTGTTTTTGAAAACACTCGACGTCGCTAGTCGCAATACGTGGTCAGTACTTAACTTAGAAGCATTATATTCAGCTTTCTAAAATGATTTAAAATATGAGCAGTTATACTGAAGAGATGCCGATACGTGCTCTGAATTCACACTCAACAAAACTCGGATTTCCCTGAAGTTCAGAAGGCCCAGTACGAAAGGAATTTCGCCCTCACCGTTTATCCAGCACCTCACGCAAGTCCTTTACGAATTCCTTGCATTCATAATAGACAGACGTGTTTTCAATAAAATTTCTATATGCGTGGAAGAAGTCTCGACATTCGTTGATTTTGTTCTCAACGTGTCTTTAGTTCACAGATGCTCTGTGGATATTTTGTAGAAAACCAAGAGAAGGTAAATATCCAGCTTTTACAGCGCTTTGGGAGATAAAATGTTTATGCGGGAATATATACTTACTTTACGGTTCCTTTTTAGGAATCCCTGTATCAAATTTTGATTTTGGGTCGGGAAATGTATTTTTGGATAGCCCGTTTCTCAAGTATGGACGATTATTATAAAGTGTCCATAAAGAACACGTGATATCATATAACAAATATATATCAGGAACTACATGTATTATATAACAGAAAGAATATACACGTCATGTAACTTAACAATAGATGCCATCATGGTTGGTAACCCCAGCAACTGTAGACTTCATTAACTTACGTGCATAGAAATGAGGAAAGTACACAATGACTGACCTTAAATGGGGCCTTTGACACACAGATATTATGCAGACGTGCATGTACATACAGTTATACAGTGAGGTTAGAAGTGCTTAACTACACTATATGTGATGTCCTACATATATCTTGCTTGACAATGAACGAGGAGCTGCACTGGTGCTTGTAAGTAACGTCACTGGTTGCATGTTTGGTATAGGTCAGGAATCATATTGGAATGAATCCACGTTCGTTTCTTTTCTCACCTGGATGCCATATGATTACATAGTGGAATAGTCCCTCTGTTTGAATAAGACAAAGACGTGGATTATGAGAACTTTCCCATTGGCGTACACATGTTGGCGTCGAGAATTAACGATGTGTCATTGTAGACCCACTTAATGCGCGTCGCTCTGTTGTGAACGGTATTCCCAGCGGGTAATGTACTACCTACATAAGCGGTTATGGACAGTACCCTGATGTCAAACAATGAAGCGAAAGTGTAAAAAAGAAGCTGTGAGTAAATCAGCGACCCAACATGATACGCGAATAACTTTGAGTAAATCGATGACCCAAGCCATCTATCAAGCTTCTCGTAAAGAGATGACCGAAGACGATATGTATCAAGCTACGAGTAAATCGATGACCCGAGATGATATGTCTGAAGTTGAGAGTATATCGATGACCAAGATGATATGTAACAAGCTACGAGTATATCGATGAACCGAGATGATATGTAACAAGCTACGAGTATATCGATGACCAAAGGTGAAATGTATCAAGCTGAGAGGATATCGATGACCAAGATAATATGTAACCAGCTACGAGTATATCAATGACCAAAGGTGAAATGTATCAAGCTGCGAGTATATCGATTACCAAGATAACATGTAACAAGCTACGAGTATATCGATGGCTAAAGATAACATGTAACAAGCTACGACTTTATCGATGACCATATATTATATGCATCAAGCTAAGAGTATATCGATGGCTAAAGATAATATGTAACCAGCTACGAGTATATCGATGACCAAAGATAACATGTAACAAGCTACGACTTTATCGATGACCATATATTATATGCATCAAGCTAAGAGTATATCGATGGCTAAAGATAATTTGTAACAAGCTACGAGTATATCGATGAATCGAGATTATATGTATCAATATGTCAGTACAATTAAATGATATTTGATTTTCCTAAAAACTTGCAGCTGAATTGTTCTTGGCCTTACCTCATACGTTCAGTATTGAGGTCAAGATTAAGACCAGAATAGTTAATGTATTTGATTCCCCATGATCCATAAAAAAACAATAAAAGTGAATATCACAGCAACATATTAGCAATATATAATTCTGGTTGCGCCGACCCTTTATTTTATTGTTAAAGCTGAAGTCAGATCTTGGGATGAGTGGCCGAGGAGCCTTTTAATCGTCAAATGAATACTATTTGTTCAGTCAGAAAAAAAAAACATTCAACTGTATCAATGGACCCATGTGCCTTGGCCACTGAGTAAAACAATGACACAAGTACAATCTAATGACATGACCTTAGATTTGTTTTAATTTGTTGCCTCCTCCTTTTAGACTTTTTTCTTTGTCTGTACACTTTGGTTGATAATTTAGCATTTAAACATACTACTATTCACATTTTCTGTATTACTATACCAGGATATTTTATATGTTCTAATATTTACAATGGTATTAATGTTGGGAAAAGTATTTATGTTGGGAAAATATGAGATATCTTAGAGGGTCTTAGAGACGAAACCGAAACAGATCTGGACAGCCAGACATTTCATTACCATTTTATACCCAATTTACTTCATCTAGTACGTACATGTACCCTTAGTATTAACCATAACTCACCGCGGGAGTTAATAATTGCTAAAAATATACAAGTAATTGCAAGCGAATGTGCCATCGACCCATCTAAAATAACAACAAAAACCATCCCACGTCCACTGACCGCCGTGACAAGTAAAAGCGAAGTTGACCTTTTCAAATGAGATCATTGTCTTCAACCATACGCGAGATTATAAACAACCAATGTTTATTTCAATATACCAGTCAGTATTTGTTAGGTTGACATGTTGTCTGTCGGCTCAGTTATGAAGTAAGTGAACGTGGTGTTTACAATTTTCTATAAATAAATGATCATGACTCATGGTTATATTTCAAAGTGAACATTTGCTTTTTCCCGGGTACTGTTTGGAAATGTTATAGAAACGCATTAATTAAAAAGTTACCGCCATATTAAAGAAAGCACTACTTGTGTCCGTGACCGTGCTTGTGTCTTCTGATATCGCGTTGTCTGAACATCGCTAACTAGGAGGAGCTGTCAATGTGGAGTCCCTTGAATAAAATTTCTGAAGTGTTCCCCGGCGTTGTCAAAACGTTGGGGCAACGTAGTAAATACGACGGCGGCATTGCCAACCATTACCAACGTTGGGCTAACGTTTGAATGCTAGAACTGGGATGTATATATGGACCCGAAAGCGCTGTAAGAGTTACATAATGTATAGTTGATCAATGTGTTCCAATATGTCTATCTGTATTGAAAGGTTTTATAGTCAAACACGGGCCAGGGGATTTTATTCATATATCAGAAAAGGAGCGGGTCATTGGTTAATTCCAAGTATGATTGATGCTACCTAGATAATATCACCCTAAATATATGTTCGACTGTGAAATGAACAAATCTGTAAACCTCAAAACCAATAACAATACATATTTTAAATTAATTCATGGTCACTAGTTTGGCCTCCCGATGACATCACCCGATGACAGCAGAGTGCTATATTCAATGGAATATGATTGTGACACTATAGGCATGATGTGATTGAGATTGTTCGACATTGCTCAAACTTACACCCCTGCATTGTTTACATATTCAAATAAACGACTGTCGACATTTTGCAAATCATGTATGTGAGGGCCAACACAAATGTTTATACTTTCATTACCTCAAAACCTATAGTATAAGATGGTACCTACTAGTAAATTGAAATTGGCCCGGGACACAAGTCTTCATACATGTAAGGCTGGATACTGACCAGTGAACCGCCTATTAAGGCCGAGGAAGAGATATGACCCCCTTATAGAGGAAAGCTCTTGAAAACCCACACCATGATAGGAAATTACACTAAAGTCTACTTAATCATATGGTTAAGACTTAATCATATGTGTAGCTGCGAGTACATCGATGATTGGCAAGATTGACATTTACAGCGCCTTTTTGTATGGCGGTTGTTGCGACGTCGACCTTGAGCATTCTCCATGCAGTACTCGTCGTATTACATGAGCATGCGTTGTTTATCTGGCAAAACGGGTCAGAAGGAGACAGTTTGTTCAAGTGAGAAAAGTACATATACGTGTGGAAAGCATTCGTGTACACTCTAAAGCTACTATTAAAATGAACTATAAACTTGCACCACATATAGAAGACTTAGGAGAATATTTTATTTTCGTGTCAAAGGCAGTACAAGGTCAGAAGGCATACGATACTGCGCGTGGGGTTACAATAGTTCTTGATCGTTGTGGATAGGCCTGAGGTCCCAGTTTAAATAGGGTCACCTATTGGCTTAATGGCTTCTCTTGTCACTACAAAGGCAATGTATCGATACCCCACTTGGATACCATGTGAGCCTATTTTGTTTCCTCCTTCGTGAAAAGTGATAAAAGCGACGTAAAACCATATTCACTCACCAACTCAGTTTTTCCTGAAGAATATATATATTTGTTTGTTGTTTAACGCCGCAATTTTCCAGCTATATGACGGCGGCCTGTAAATAATCGAGGCTAGACCAGACAATCCAGTGACTGATAACATGAGCATCGACCAACGCAATTGGGAAACGATGACATGCATCAACCAAGCCTGACCACCCGATCCCGTTAGTCGCATCATACGACAAACATTAGACCAATTCTAACCCGGATCTTCACGGGTCGAACAATATATATGATACTTGTTGACATGTAACTTTCATTAATATAATGTCATAATACGCTCTCCCAATCATTCGAAGTGATTCGGATAACATGTAATGTGTATTTGCGCCCCTAATTATTAACATCACAGATAACAATATAAAAGTTAAACACACTACGTTTGAAAATATAGAACTACATCATATATCAGCATAAGGTTGTTATGAATTATGTAGGATATGACCGATATATATGAAACATATTATTACAGGCCGTTGTCACATACTAGCATCTGAAGAATTGCTCGGCGCGATGTTAAAAAACAAACAAACAAAACACTGGCTAGTAAATATTTACTTTATGTGGCTGCCACTATACATAATGGCATTACTACACACAGGGCCTACATGTACCTAGCAGAAGGGTATGTGTATGTTAGATCAAATTGCATTAGCTCAGGTAACCATGTTTACTCGATGCATTTTAACTCACAAAAGGGTTCAAAAAGATGTTTATGTACATGTGGGTTTGTGTCACATCACAGAAGAAGGGGATAAATAATAAGGATAATAATAACAATAACAGTCCATTTGTTTTTGCCCTTTTCCCATGCTAGTATCATGCTAAAAGCGCACTATAACTGCGCACCAATCATGTACTGACATAAATATTACTTTTTGAGCTGAGTGTCTTAACATATATGCCTAAATACTAGGAAGATACCATTGCCATAAGCTCTTAAATACTTGTAATAATAAATTGATATAATTCGTAACATATGTGTATACAGAGGGCGAGGGACTTCCGCCGAAGCGTCAAGTTTTGGTCGTTACATGGGTACAATGTGTGAGGTCAAAATTTAATACAGACATATTGCTTGAATCCTGCTAAAATAGGCGTAAAATCATACTCAACCACTTAATCATTTATTACGCACGATATTGACAAACTTGACTTTTCTGAAAGTAAATCACATTCCAAATTATATACACATTCAAAATGAACATTAGCTACTCAAGTGAATGAGTTAGTTTGGTTTAACGCCGTTAGTTTTGTTTAAGCGATGCAGGTCTTAGATTGTATCACTGTGATGAACCCCACGAGCTCTGGTTGGTTGGTTGGTTTGTTGTTTAACCCCGCTCTCAGCAATATTCCAGTTATATTAAGGCGGTCTGTAAATAATCGAGTCTGGACAAGACAATCCAGTGATTGATATCATGAGCTTCGATCAACGCAGTTGGGATACGATGACATGCATCAACCAAGTCAGCGAGCCTGACCACCCGATCCCGATAGTCGTCTTATACGACAAGCATAGCCGCCTTTTACGGCAAGCATGGGTTGCTGAAGACCTATTCTACCCCTGATCTTCACGGGTCCACGAGCTCTGGTGTTGTGCTGACATGACTAGAGACACAGTCCCGACCTATATGGTATTCAGACTCACAAACATGGGTTTTCTGGTATTCCTGAACGCGTTTCAGACAACGGGGCGACACATTCCCCAGCCACCTATCCAGTGTGTATTTGTATTTGATAGCAGAGTGACGACGTCAGAAATAGTGATTAAATTAATCCTATTATGTCGCCCTTTACAACAATCATCTTTAATAAATCATTTCTTGCTGACATGACAGTTTTCTATGTCAATACCAAAGATCCAGGTCAGCTTTACTCACGGATGAGATATGTATTCAAATCCTTATGTACACAGTATAAGCAAGTTAAACAAGACCTTCGCCGCCACTGTGTGACAGCATTGTATTATAGTTTCATGCATTGGTGGGTCTCCCTCTTCACTGTAAGTAAACGAACTTCTAAAAACCTAACCTTAAACTTGTTTTAACTAAAAACAACACCTATGCAATAAATGGATTATTTACATGTTTCAATGCCAAGTTTCCTCCTCGGAGGCAACACGTGCTTAGCCTTCCCAAACTCAACAGATTCAAATTGTGATTTGGTAGACATGCAGACCCAAAAAAATCCTTATTTTGGAAGACATTGTGTTATCTTATTGTGTTTAATGTTCAGTCTTTCATTCAAACTTTCGTATATAGTAACTTGAATTTAGAACAGTAATCACCGTATGCCTTTGATGTCTTAACCAATTCGATATATTGACTAATTCTTATATGTGCCCGTGTTTGTTCAGCTGAACAATTTGTTGTAACGAGTGCTTGTTTGTAACGAGTGCTGCCGATGGGCAAGGATATGCACACCTTTTCGCAAAAGCCTGATATCACCACTATAGCTATTTGATAATGATTCATAAACACATAATTATGATAAAATCGGAATCGTACAATGTACTCTGCTTCTCAGCAGATTTTAAGCCGATACAATCATCAACAAAACGCTATTCATGCCACAGCGTGAAACCTTCCGGATGGATACCTTCACATTTTGGATCCGGAATGTTTCTGGTCCGGATACCTTCCGGGTACCTTCCAAACAAAACGTGTTTAAAAATCTAGTGTATGTCGGCTTTAACTGTTTGCCTCCCTTGTTAAGTTTCCACCTTTGTGATCTTATTACCTTTGTTTGTGTGTTGTTTAACGCCGCACTCAGTAATATTTCAGCTATATGACGGCGGTCTGTAAATAATCGCGTCTAGACCAGGCAATCCAGTGATTGACATCGTAAACATCGATCCACGCAATTGGGATACGATGACATGCATCAACCAAGTTAGCGAGCCTGATCAACCGATCCCGTTAGTCGCCTCTTACGACAAGCATAGTCGCCTTTTACGGCAAGCATCTTCACGGGGCTCATTACCTTTGTTGTTCTTCCAAGTACATATATATGTTCTCTGCTTCATAGCATTTATTTACCTGATGAAGGAGTAAGTATATACCCCGAAACGTTGTGTTTCCTAATGAAGCAGTTGACATCCATAAGTTCTCTTCCTAATGTGTATCACTTCTAAATGCCATAAGTACAGAGAGCATCGGTAGAGAGAGCAAGTTTATTTATGCTTGCCCGCGTCTGTTTGAAAGCAGATAAATGTAAATAACCTCACAGATCCTACTTTTCAGGTCTTTGGATTGTCGTTTTGAGTAGAGCTTGTATCACGATGCCGGAGAATGCAGGGTTATCCACGGAGGACAATGTGAAAGAGGAGGGGGAAGATAGGTCGAAGAGGGAAACTTGGGCTGAGAAGAGAGAGTATATTTTGTCCATGCTTGGCTACAGTGTTGGATTTGGTTCGCTCTGGAGATTCCCGTATCTTTGCAACAGAAACGGTGGTGGTAAGTACAATAACAATAATGTAAAAATGATCTTGAACTATTATCTTCACAGACAAATTATGCCCAGTCAAAATTTCGGAGAATGTGAAGACTCTACAACACTGCAGCCTTCTGCATTACCCAGATAAACTCGATGTAGGGTTCGTTCAGATAGCCTCTCCTTGAAAACCTGAAATAGTAATATTACTCTTATTATTATCATGTATTTGTTTCACACAGTATAATAATATTTAATGCATTGACCAGGTGCCTTCCTCATCCCATATTTCACTGCAATCATCGCATGCGGTGTTCCGTTGTTCTTCCTGGAGGTGTCCATCAGCCAGTTCTCCAGCAGGAGTGCTACTCATGTTTGGGTTCTATGTCCTTTACTTAAAGGTAACTCTGTTCTTCTTGATATTGGTTTACAATGACCCTGTTTGACATTTTACGTTCTTACCAACTGTACACGACGATGGCATTGCTCATACAACCCTTGTCAAGCCTTTACCTCTGAGTGAATGTTGTCAGAACATCTACACCCGAGGTGGTGTCATCAACAGCAAACTTTGCGCTATTAGCCACACAAGGCGACTTAATGAATGAGGTGTCCAGACTCGGTGACTGTATATTGCATGTCATTGTTCTCCGACGGCGTGTGATGCTGCTCATATCAACCACTGGTTTTTCCAGATTTGGTCCAGAATCGATTATTTACAGGCCGTCAGCTCATAGCTGTAATATTGTGGCGTTAAAAAACAAACGAACAAAGCTCGAGGCATGGGATTTTGGATGTATTTGTCCAAACCTGAATTGATGTTATTTAACTGTAAGAGCATTATTGTAAAACTTTAAAACCTCATTAAGGAATATGGAGATTTCTGATACACACAGAAGAAAAACTGAAAGTCAAATGAATAAGTTGCACAGTTCAGTTTTTTGCAGGGATTATGGACGTGCCGTGCCACAAGAGTGTAGGTATTGCTTGGCGGAGTTGTATGTGCTGAATAGATATGAATATGTAAGAAGTGACAGTAACTTGACACAAAGTAAACAGTGGGAGTCCTCAAGTGTTACGTCCCACATATTCGTGATTTTGAAAATATAACGTCAACGACAGAAAATAATCTCGAGTCTCGATTATATGCCGAAACAGATACTAGTGGGCCTATGAGGCAGAATAGTAATGGCAACTTTATGAATGGATCACTGAAAACCAGTGGTCACACCAGGTGTCCTGTTATACCGGTAGCACCCGCCACTCAATATGGACAACAACTTCTATATTGTTTGCAACGACGTTTCACGGCTAAATTCTCGACCCTTCATTTGGTTAATACTGAGTAAGCATATCGAGTTAACATACGTAAATTATGATATGTTTATCCAAGGTAGGATTAATGTACAAAGATGACAATATAACAAGGAAGCCAGTAGCGATTATGGAGAATTTTGCTTCGTTGTCAGCCAGTATCGTGGTCATCATTTTTTATGAGGTGTTCCATGTCATATTTGGCAACAGAGATCCTGTGTTCTAATCTGGTGGCTACGGGGCATGAAGTCACTCAAATGTATGTCTCCACAGTTACATGTGATAACACACACACACACAAACGCATTTCCTGAATTCACCAAAACCTTCCACCCAAAGGCATTATTGAACCAAATGACATCTGACCGTACCAATGTATCTATATTCATATCAGATCCCTCTAGCATCCTTAATAACAAGACTCAATGTCATACGACTTCCGGTGTGGGAAAAGATATATCTAACATGTTTGATGCAGTACGACAGAGGGTGCCCAGTTTCAGTTCGAGCTACTTTAAGAACACTTTTACATGCACTTCCCCTTGAATACAACTTAAAACAGAAAGTCACATATCTAACAAATTTATATGCAGTTTCATTTTAATGGCATCACTTCTGATTGCAAAGTAAATCACATCGAACAGCAGACATTCCGGGGATAACATATAGTATATAGTATACCCAAGACACGAAATTTAATATTTTCAGCTATGCCTTTTCTTACTTACTTTTGTTGTTTCAGGAATTGGCATCTCCCAATTGTTAACAAGCATAATTGGAATTATGCCGTACGCTCTCATAACGGCTTGGGCAATATACTATCTGGGTCAATCCTTCAGGTCTTTATTGCCCTGGACAACGTGTGACAACTGGTGGAATACCCCAGTGTGTATCAATAAGGTAACCAATGGCTCATCTGCCGTCTACTTCAACAGCACTGTGGAACAACAACTTCTGCACAACGCCGTATGGAGAAAGCCCAACACGACATTGACGGCGTCGGAGGAGTTTTGGCAGTTGGTTTTCTAATACATGTATATACTAACGACAAAACGTAACTGTGCTTCATATAAAGTTCAATAAAAATATATTTATTCAGAAATTAAAAAATGCATCTTTAACATATTCCTGAAGACATCTCCTCGACTTTAAGGTCGTGAGTCACAGTTTACATGTGCACGTTGATGCATGGCTCACAATTTGGATGTTTGCGTGTTTGTTGGGAGCATGATACTCGCACATTTGGCATTTCTAATGTGAACAGCACATAATGTTTGTTTATCTATCAGGGGCTCATAAAACACTTAACCATAAATAACGCTTACGCAATGCCACAGCTTGCTGAAAAACAAAGCAGGGCAACACTCATGACTTTCCACGGACATGCCGTCCAAGACAACCATATTCGGTAGGTGCATCTACGGAATCGATACCAAACAGCCACTTAAACAGCTCGGACCAATCAGGGTTGAGACCAATTAGTGGCAGAACCGTATGGAGCCGAACATCCGGCCCCAATGTTCAGCGATGTGCCAAATTTTGCTTCCAATTTTGCATGGTGTACACAGCACCTGAAGTTCCTAAAAGCAAGACTGAGACACTATACTGTTCACAGGTGAGTCTAGGGTTCATCCGGACAGCTCTGACCATCGTACAAAGGTGCACAGGCTTCAAGGTGAACGTTTTAGCGGCTCTTGCGTTACTCAAAGTCGTCAATGTGGGGGTGCAAATGTAATGGTATATGGTGGCATTACAACTCATGGGAGAACACAACTCATCATTGTGAATGGCAATTTGGGGCGACATCGTTCGAGATCATGCTCTACCTTTTGTGCGAATGTAGGAACGAAACTTTACGTGGCTACAGGATAATTCCCGTCCACATTTTGAGGCAGCAAAGCATTGCTGTACTGCCATGTCCGACTGGTTTTCAAGATTTCTCTAGGATATCATAGGTCGACGCCTACGACAGGACCATAACAAGCCGGTAACGTTAGGTCAGTTAGGCCAATCATTGGTTGTCAGTGAGAACAACATTACCCAGGCGGTTTTCAATGCGTCGCCGATGTCTCGTCTGTATCAACGCAAATGGTGATCACAACCGATATTGACATTGAGAATTGCGTTCGTACGTTACACCACCCCTCTTTCTGGGTGTGTTGCTCTGCTTCCTCTACCAGGTGTGGCTTTCGTCAATACATTTGTTATGATAACACATTGTTAAGAGGAATGACAGAATATGATGTTATTTTCAATAGCATGCATTTACTCCTCTTTATAAGAAGCACAGTTATTTTTTTCCGTTAGTATACATACTAAATCTACTATTGTAAACCACTGAACAAGCTACAGCTACGTGAAAACCTGATTACTACAGGGATAAACATTGCTCGAAATATATTTATACTCCAGTGAGCCTCAAGTTTATTTAATGAGTTCATGATAAATTCAGTATTCTTATCAGATCTTTGTGTGTTATAGAATGCTTCCAATGTACTGACATGTATACTCTCTGGCTGTCTTGCAAGGTTCAACGCCCTTCGAGTGTCAACTGGGATCGACGATTTTGGGTCTGTGCAGCCACACTTGCTTCTTAGTCTCCTGTGTTCATGGACTTTAGTGTTTCTGTGCTTGATGAAAGGTGTGCGGTCTGTAGGGAAGGTGGGTAACGATACCACTTAAAGGCTGATTGTCTGGTACCGAACAAATGTCAATGGGTGACTGATTTAGGTTTGGCTGATTGTTGGAACATCGAAGACATTATCATTCCTGCAACACGGCAACATAATCGTTTTCTTCCTTTCGTGATATACTAGTAATTCCTGGGAAAGGAATTGGGGGTAATCTTAGTGATTCAAGTATGATTTGGAGGTTATATTGCATTTTGATACATGCAGGTGAAGATCGGGTGGCCCGATTCTGACCGAAATTCCTTGCTGGATGGCAAGCAAATTGAGAGGTGTACGTGTTTTGCATCATGTGCCATAAGATTCTGTCTGTTTACGTCGTTTGCATCAGGTGCCTTAAAGGATGACAAGCATATGGACAAATGTATGTGTTTTGCATCAGGTGCATGTGGAATGGCAAGCTTAAGGTTTTAGAGGTCTCCTGCATATGGAGAGGCGAACATCTTCTATATCACTGGCGGCTTGTGGGATGGCTAAAATAATGTTTCTGTATCAGTTGCCTCGTAGTGTGGTGGGTAATACAGACTCTTAGGATGACAGGAATATATCACGAAGGGTGTTTGTGTGTGTATTCTGCTCTTTGTAACGTCTGTGTGTTAGTACTGTTTTGCACAAGGTATTATTTTGTGAACAAACATTGGTACAGGAATAATTTGCCCGTAAAATCCCAATAACGGATTTTGTGTAGAAAAAAGAATAGTTGGTATATGAATTTCACGTGTGCGCTATAAATATCTTTCATAGGTTGTGTACGTGACCGCTGTGATGCCGTACATTCTCCTGACGGTGTTACTGGTAAGGTCGTGCATGATGCCGGGGTCTGGCGATGGACTTCTTTATTTCCTTCGTCCCGATTTCTCACGACTTGGATCAGTTCAGGTTGGATATTGTTCGAGGACATTGAACATGATATTTATTACGAACTGCGCGCTTTCCGTTTACTGTTGTTCTTCAATTAACATGGTATCACACATAAATCTTTGAGTCCTTATGAGAGCATGTGAGGCATGTGGAATCCTGTCAACTACAATGTATTTTGTTAACCACAAGTCATTACATCGTGCTTTCATCGGTTACTATAGGACCTCATTATATTTACTATGCGTGGAAATATATAAATGAACGCGAGAAATTCGAACCATAGTCATACGAATTCTCTGCTCAAAGCAGAGGAATTGTGGAGGAAACGAAAAAGAGGAAACCTCATTATTGCGAAATATTGCTACGATTACATTTCATAAGCAGTATACATTTTGAAATCGAATTAGTACAGGTAAAATGTTCACAAAACATGAAACCAAATATCAGAATAAACCATTTTAAACCCTTATTGGAAATCTGATTTGAGACACATGCCAATATAAAGCACTGTCTATCATACACGTCCATCCTCTTGAAGTACAAGTTTGGACCAAGAACTGAAAGAATTAGCACCCTTTGCCATAGCAGCAGACCATCAATACTTCCCTGTATGTTTTCATGGCAGGTATGGCTTGAAGCTCTCCTACAAGCCTTTTATTCCATGGGCCCAACGTTCGGCACACTCATCACTATCAGCAGCTACAACAAATTCCATAACAACTGTCTCAGGTGATATTCGAAAAAATGGAAATATTTTTCTTAAGTCACCACAATGTGCACCTGTTTATATGTTATGTGTCGATGTGTACTAAACATACGTCATCCTTCTTATCGTATGATATAACGCATATTAATATACTTTAGAGACGTGGCACTGTTGACCATCCTTGGAGAAGCCAGCAGTATATTTTGCGGATTGGTAGTCTTCTCGACCATAGGATTCATGGCTCACGAGGCTCAAATACCTATATCGGAGGTAGTATCGTCAGGTCAGAGGATTATGTATAGCGATACAGTGTACACTTTATTTTAACAATTTGCTGTAGTGGATAGTGCAATGTTGACTGCGAAGTAATTTGTAAAAATAAGGGATGTTAACATGGATTTGAACATAACACAGGGCAGCATTTCGAGTCTTTATGTCATAAAATAGGCAAACCCGAAACACATTCCCATTATAACATACCTATGTGAGTGAAGCATATTCTAAATAAATATTGTGGTGTAGTTATTTTAGAAAATAAAAACTTTGGACGTGGATACGTAGATATTTATACTATTGAATTATTTTTTATGTTTATAATTTAGACATACCTAAAACTTTTTTCTTATAAAAGTTACTGAATGTAAAGGTCTTATTTCCCTACTGACAGGAGCAGGACTTGGTTTTATCATCTACCCTGAAGCTATAGCCCAACTACCCTTGCCTCAACTGTGGTCAGTGCTATTTTTCCTCACACTGCTGTCTTTGGGGATAGACACACTGGTAAATATAGGTTCCCTCAACAATATTCATATTTCTTCATTTTGTAATTTCCAGCACATGTTGAGGGTAAATGTTCTACTTGTCACAACACTATCATTCAAATTCACTTATGTTAATTCACTTATGTTTGTGTGTGTTTGCTTCAGGATAAACTTCACAGTATGTTCGTAATTGTCTGTTACCCATCCGCAAATATTGCTTGTTTACTTATTGTTTAACTCAGCAATCAGCAATATTCCAGCCATTTGACGTCGATCTGTAAAATAATCGAGTCTTGACCAAACAAACGAGATAATGGCATTGTAAGCAAAGGTAAACGCCGTCTGAGGACGATGACACGTCTTTAACCAAACCACCGAGCCTGATTAACCTATTCATTAAGTTGTCTCTTACGACCAGAGACCTATTATGAGCCGGAATTCCCACAGGTCCTCAATTGCGATGCCATTGATGACTAGCAATGGAGTGCTGGGGACACATTCTACCCCGGGTCTATACGGGGCAATCACATGGACTCAATATGAATATCATTATCTATACCGTTTCACCCTTTCGCACTTCTGGGAAGCCTAAATGTTACATGGTGTTACAGGCGCCACACATGTTGTCCACTTGGTACCTTGTCAACACTAATGTAGGGAAGTGTATGTGTGCACACGGTCACTTAATCACAATCATTTATAAGGAAATAAAAGCCTTGGAATGCATGCTCATTCAAACGTTTTGAGTGACTGTTAATTTCGAAACTTTCATCCTTTGAATATAGACCTCTATTAATATTTATTCATGAATGTTAACGAGCATTCCCAAACGAGGCTTATCCCACATTCAACAACTATGGCGGCAAAACAAATTCCCGGAAGCGACGTCAATCGCGTACCGCACACCACCTTTGCATTGGTGGAGAACTTTGTTCACGATAACGCCAGGAGTTCAGGAACTTCTCAACTGAAAAATGGATCGAATACATATCATATCTGAAGTGTACGTTTTCCATTCATGTCTACCAATTTGACGATCACTTTACTTTGACTGGTTACAATGACCACGTTAGATTCATATGCTTGCAAGTGCTGATACTTACATGAACTCAAAGACGTATAATAAATATTATTATGGTCAATTGTAAGTTGTAACATATTCAAAAATTCAAAGTCCTATACATATCACGAGTACCGGCTTCCGTGCATGTTGAAGGTCGCACAGTTACCCTTGCATGCATGACGAAGTATACTGAGTTGATGATTAAAACAAAATGATGTCAACTGTACCCATAAACGTATCACAAGAATATACTTCTGCGCAAAATATATCTATAATATCAAAATCAGGTAATATGATACCTCCTGCCATATCACCCACACGGCATAGCTGGACCATATAGAGCACCAGTGCCTGTCAGCCTCAATGAGACCACATGGTTTAAATTAATGCTGATGGTCAGCACAGAGTAAGAGTGAGTGAGTGCGTGAGTTGGGTTTAACGCCGCTTTTAACAGTATTCCACTTATATCACGGCGTGCCAGCTTAATGTGGGAGGAAGGCCCGAAGTGATGCAGGTCTTAGACGTTTACCACTTCGGTGAAACCCACGAGCATGGGTATGGTGCTGACAAACCTAGAAACATAATCGGGGTGAACCGGGATTCGAACCCACAATCATAGGTTTCTGGCGTGTCACAGCGAATCGCGGCGCCTTAGACGACTGGGCCACCAGTGCCCCCTGCACAGAGTAAGAGGCTCCATGAGTTTGGTTTGCTCTTTTTAAACGAAGTGAGGAGAAGAAAGAATGGTAGTTATATGATATATTCACAATGTGAATGAAACATATGAAAAGTTAAAATATCTATTAACAGTACAATCATACTATTTATATGTTCTATTCTGCATTAACTGCTTTAAATATATGTTTTCATATAATGTGCATATTTTTTATAAGGCCAAAAATGTAACCTACACTAAATACAGGGGTAGAAGACGCTAAAATTCTAACAGTCACATATGTGTTGAACATGCTACTTCTAGCTTAATTATTCAAACTGTCATAAACAATTTGATGTTAACCTCCAGCTCACAAGATAGCTCTGAATGTGAAGCACTCGTTGGTGCATTCTCTGATATTTTACAAACCGTTAACAAATTATCAACAACGCCTTACAAAAATAAATCAAATGTAAAAAAAACAACCAATGGTATGAAGTTGAATGTTAAGAGGCAAAACGTAACATGGGGGGAAAATATCATGGGTTCAACAAGAAAACAATATATCATTTAATAATAGGGGTCTAATTTGGCAACAGAAAAATAGAATAGTTCCTGAGATGAAAACAACGTGTATATAAACAAACTCAGCTGGAACAAATGGGAACCTCATCAAAACAGGAACCAATCCTGGAAACTATTAACTAATATTAGAATTGATGTATCTTGATCATGAGAAGCTAACTAACCACTTAAGGAATATGTACAAAATTTAAACAAAGAGATTTGCATATGTGACAGTCTTAAAAAACAAATAACATCTCATGGAATTCTCACTTTAATAAAACAATTCAAAACAAACAAACTCCAGGCGAAGAGGAATTAAGGAATTAATGTTTAAAATCAATATATTGTACATTGATAGGCCAGTTGGTTAATGTCTTAAATAGTAGTCACTTCCTATAGAGCTTAGTCATTAACCATGACTGTGGAACATATATATTTTATGAAAAAAAAGAAAAAATCTAGATATGTATACAAAAGCAAGTCTAGCCAGCTCCTGTATTACAAGACCAGTGTCAGTCTGGATTTAGAAGGGGATACCGAACATCAGATAATATATATGTTTGTTCTTGGAACATTTATATATTCTACAAAAAGTAAACAGAAAAGAATATACAGTTGATTCAGTTGACAGATCACTACTCCTAACAAAGATATGATCAAATAAAATCTGAGGAAATGTATTAAACATAATATTATCACTATATAATGATATCTCTGATGAAGTGAAAACCGACAAGGGCATTTCACAATCCTTTAACTCCAACATCGGGGTAAGAACAAGGATGCATTTTGTCTCCCACATTATTTAATATATTCCTCAATGATCTTCCACTTCATATCAACTCTGAAAGTTATAGTATAACACTGTTGTTTGTCGATGACTAAGTACTACTGACCGATTAAAAAAACACACACTACAAGTGTCACTTGATGGAAGTATATTTTGAGCAACAAATTAACTAAAGATAAATGGTGACAAAATATATTTTTGTGATACAAAAATACTAGTTACGGATAGATATAATTACTTAGGAATTACATTTGAAGCAAATGGCAAATTTAAAAATAGTGCTAAACCTCTCCTGAAAAAGGCCCTAAGGCCTACCACAATCTTCAGTCTCCATTCTTAACTAAAATATACCCATGTTTACCGCCAACTGGGCGTCGACAGATATTTTGCAAATCTTTTCATGTTCTTAATTAAAGTGCTCGGGCGATTTGATATCTTCGCGAGGTAAGGCCCATACAACCTTACACGTAAAATAACACTAGTCGTGGTGAATAGGTAACTGACATGTATGGTTTGCTCCCTGTTGCGTCGGTATGTCGCTGACAGTTCTCAAGGTTCCTTTTCAATGTTTCGTAGTGGATCCCGCATCTCCAATACAATAAACCTTTCTTGACCTTAGATTGCTGATTGTATACATGAAACCACCATCGGGGCGTGGGAAGAAATCTAGAATGTGATGCACATAACTTCAGCAAATTATATATCTAAATTAAAATATAGATTAAGCAGCAATGGCAGGTTCCAAGTGTCGCGCGTACGAACGTACGAAAACATATTCGGCCATATTCAAATCCCCAACGGTTTGCTAGTACCAACGTCATCAATAGTATGCCACTGCTTGCAGTACATCGCTCCTATCAAATTCGCGAGACCCAGGGTGTTCTTTATCCATTTTCGACCTCTTCCATAATCGAATTCTCAAATGGTTACCTCAAAATGCCGTCAAAAGTTAGGCACCGCATGCGCTTACATCGCCGCTACGAAATTGGCGTGTGCCAGAGCATCCTTGAGTGTTTTGAACCCTTTTCAGACCTCGTCCATATTCACGAAACCCCAAAGTTCACCGCGATTCGCCTTCATGCGAATACCTAAAATTTTAAAAAAAGTCGCCTTCGTGCCACAAAACCAATATATGTACATGTCATGTAAAGGCCTTGGATAACGTTAGTGCTTGGGGGACGAGGTGCCGCCCTATTGGTTAAATGGCTTCCGGTCGGATCTACGTATTATCGATCAGATCGTCTTGACTTGGCGTCGCCATTTTGTTTGAAACAATTGCAAGTGATATGAAAGGTGGAATCTGATCGGTAAATAAGAGGGACATAGAAGGGGCATAACTCGTAAAAGCCATTGGTTGCGCTACTATCGAGTCTAGAATTCAAGTCTAGTTTGGCAAGGGTGGAAACTGGACTTTTATAGTCAGTTTTTGCCTCGGGAAAATGTAAAAAAACGAATAGGATGGGTATACCAACTCAATCTATTCTTAGAAAAACACACAATATTATAACTAATTCAGATTTAATATCACCAGCATTCAAAGAGACGATAAAGTCTAAATTAGACTCCCTCTTCAAGGAAACTCTTCAGATGTTTATGCAACCAAAGGCAAAGGAAATAACCTTGGGGCATACAGGGCAGTTAAAAATAAAATACAATTAGAACCTTATCTCAGTCACTGTAAAATAAGGAAATATCGAAGGCACTTATCTAAACTAAGATTAAGTAACCATCAATTAACTACAGAACTTGGAAGACATAAAAACAACAACCCCACTACAACATAGACTGTGCTCTAAATGTTCAACAAACGGGCTGTGTGGGTCAAGTAATGGGGAAAACCTTGTTTGTTTATTGTAGTAACCTGACACATTCTGTGTCTAGTTCCATATTGAGAGGGAGGGTGGGAGGTGTCATCAAAATTACTGGATAACTCTTTTACTGCTTCTGTGGGATCCTAAAAGATAGGCCCTTTTCTTGCATTTGGCCTAGGACTAAATATTCTTCTTAATTTATTAAGCCAATAAACATTACATACCAATATGTAGATATAGAATGATGTATTTAAATTTGTCGTTCAAATTTTCAGCTTCCTGTGATGACAATTGTTGCCGCTTGAAAGCAATCTTTGAACAGCGGGAAAAAACGAAAACATGATATTCAAGTACGAATGAATCTCAAAATTGCCTGAGTTTATCTCTGTCACCGTGTTGCCAAACGTTATTTGACATGAGTGCACGAAGATTGCACCTTGGTTGAAAATGTGAAAAGACTATTAATTATTAACACTATCACTATTTGGGAACCAGTTAGTCTGCTGGATTGGAATTTTCAGCGTTTGAAATTAATTACACGTATTCAATATTGCTGTCAATGGAAATAACACCATAATAATACCATTACTACCATGGAATTGTATTAATTTCGGTATTGTGACCACATGATGCTATGTTGCAGACAAGTAATGCTTGGTATTAATTGATTTATTTCTGCATATATGCAGATTATTCTCCACTGTGAGCCAGTGAGTGTCAGTCCGCTTGCCGTGTACTTTTGGTTTCTGTCAGTACCATGGACACGTTACTGTGACTTTGCTCATTGCAAGTAGATCGGAGTGAGGTCCATGCCTCAAGACGTTTCCAAGACATCCATGCCACATACATGCCAAATACAAGCCATATACCAAGGAAAGACAATACTCACGGAATGTCAGTTCAGGAGGTAGAGGTGGGAGGCTACCCTGCTTGACTCGCTCTCAGTCAGCAAGGAGGAGGCAGTGTAGATTAAGATAGCTTCCAGGCTGCAGTTTGCAGATAACAAGAGGAAGAGACTGAGTTACTGCTTTCAAAGTTGGAGTAATATCAAAGCGAAAAAAAGTTAAACAATTAAAATTAACAATTATGTCCAGAATATGACAGAATTTGTCATTCAAAGACTTCTCTGGTATCATTCATAAATCAGGATTTACCTCAAGTATTGTGTTTTCATGGATGTTTATGTAGTGTCCTCCAAACACTCATCTAGTTAGTCAGGGGCTAAGGAACTTGATTCATCTACTCCAGGTGCATGTTGAAATAAAATTCTAGTGTTGCACAAGACAAAACCAGGTTGCACCCTGGTCCCATAAATTTATCAAAGTTGAAACGCAGATGTATAAACTAAGATGTCTAAATAAATAAAATCTCAGATCTCGTGACTGTGATGATTTTACAGAAATAAATCCTGTATTGCTGTAAAACGTGTGCTCATAATCTTGAAGTACCAACTGTTCGATGACATCGAGCCCAAGAAAGCATGACGAATTACTTAATCATATGTATACATACTCGTATATACACAGGGATTAGTGATATAGTATGGTACATAAAGCTTAGAGGTATTAAGTGTCTTCAAAGATCGTTGTTGTGTGGAAAGGAAAGGGTTAGTCAGACATAAATCTGAATTTATGTTACATCCACTGAGTGCATCCGGACATAAATATATGGTTACAGTTTTCTCTAAAATGTGGCGCTGGTGTATGTTTTATATAGTTAAATCGATAAACCTTGTTAGTAATAAAGAGCAATTATAATAACATATATATTTGATACTTGTATTCAATACACACATTGTTCCCTTATTTCTTCCATCAGTATAAGTACATGCATGTACATTGTGTAATAAAATATTTGCAGCTTCAAACGACTTGATACTGTTATCTCTGAGATGCACTCTTTGACAAATCTACCTAACAGGAGCTTTAGCACAATTCTTTATGAGTGGGCCTTGGAAACTAGATGCTACATGTACACAAGCACCCGTCAACGCCTGATTGATGGTGCCAAATTCTGCAATAGAAATTGGAGAGTCAACTAAATGGATGCTATGGCTTGTGTTTCTCCTACTACTTCAGTTGAAACTTGACCATAGTTAAATAAGAAAAGGGAGGTTATTTGGACCGCCAATATGGTTGAAATCTCCAATGATATCAATATATACTCATAATATCATAATCATCTGGTAAATTTATAAAAAAGCACCACAGAAATCTATTCAGGATCAATTGCATCAGTGCTGTATATAATTCAGCAAGTATGAAGCGCCCCCTGGTTATGACGACAATCCATGTTGTCTTCATTTTCAAAAATTTTCAATTCCTCTAGCAGATTTAGATATTATTTGATATCTTTTGACTTAGGATAAGTTGATCAGATTTAATATGATGAACAAAACGCATCTTTAGTGAATGAGTGAGTATGGTTTTACGCCGCTTTTAGCAATATTCCAGCAACATCACGACGGGGGACACCAGAAATGGGCTTCACACATTGTACCCATATCGGAAATCGAACCCGGGTCTTCGGCGTGACGGGGGAACGCTTTAACCACTGGGCTACCCGACCGCCCCCGCATATTTAAATGACACTATAAATTGATATGTATTGTGTATGATCTATCAGTACTAAGGCAGATGGGATTTGAATTATCATTCCATTGTATTCCAGAATGACTCTTGTTGATGGATAGGTTAGTCGGAACTCTTGAGGCATGTGGCAATTGGCCTGATCTCGTGAATGTCATATGGGCTGAGATCCCAGCACAAGATAAAACAAATTGGCCCAAGTGATGATTTTCATACTTACAGTTGAAAGATGACAATTAAATCTAACAGCCAAATGTTGTAGGGGTTACCAAGCTTTAGTCTTACAAAACACATGAACACTTCATCAATCAACGGCATTGTCCTTTGTCTTCCAGCTAAAGAAACAGTGTCAGAACAAACATGATACATGCTTCACGTGTTTGGGGCACTGGGTCAACAAAATCTAAAAGTTACTTGAACTATCATAATCTGTAAATGACGTATAATATTACAATGAAAAATAAGTGAATACGAAATCTTGAAACACAAAATGTCTCTGAATTTCTGAGCTGGTTATTGAGTAGTTGGTTCTCTCGTTCATGTTGTTCAGTGCGAGCCTGCATCTCACTGATTTGAAATAAGTCTGTATGGTATAATCACTCCCCTCAGCCTCACGTCCATCCCGTCCTACTGGACACAGGTTCTCCTCAATCTCCTCACACCTACAAACAACATATAACGAGGAAGAAACGACACACGCCTTTAACAAACCTCTGATTCTATACAGATATTTTATTATTAATTTCAGAATGAAACATGTTATTATAGTTGTAAATAGTTGTTAATTCTTACACTATGTTCTGGCCTATAGGTGTGAGGGGGGCCTTCCTTGTTGTTGTGGCCACAGTCCATGCAAAAATGGATGCAACTGTCCCTGGTTTCAGTGTTTCTTCTCACAGAGTGTACTTGTAGCCTTCTTGCTGATCTAAGAATGAGATAAAACCTTTATCTAAGTCCACAACATATATTTGAGATTGTAAAGATGTGATAATACAATAGCATAAATTAATAAAAAGTATATATAGAGAGTTTTATAAATTATTTATTCATGTTTATAGATACGTTCATATAATAGTGATCTAGAAATTCGTAAATTCTGACCATAATTAATGTGATTGTTTGATTGGCATTTTCATAATTGATATGTCATATTGTTGAGACGTTCCAGACGATTATTTTGAGTCGAATAATATATGATATATATATTATATGTTGTCTCTATGTGACAAGAAAAAAATCAATATTGTTTAAAGAAGAATTTTGAGTATGTCATGTAATCTTTTATAAAATCAGTAGTTGGCAGGCAACAGTCGCTCATCACTTTTGCAAAATTTTAAGGAAAACCTGGGGTGAAAAACTTTCCTACATCTCAAGGATGGAACTTTTGTTTGGCAAGATTGTTTTATCTCAACAATTTATCGTATCTCGCAAGGACACGCATTCGGGGACACGACAATGGTCCGATGCCATTTTGAGAGTTTGCGGTCATAGCCTCGTTTTTCATTTTGACCTTAATAAATACAGAGACGACTATTGCCATAGAATGTTGCGATATATTTCTTTTAATCGTTTTGGCTACATAGCCAAGTTTTAAGACTGCATTTCTGTCCACTGCATGTACACAATAGGTATTCGTTAAAAAAACCACACGTCAATTCAAATGGATGTGTGAACTATAGCCAATCACTTACATGCTAAGTTGCCTTGAATGCATAACTTCTTTGTGATCCTTTGTTACAGTTTGGGTCAATCGAGACGATCATAGCGGGGATATCAGAAGCTTTCCCTCAGTATCTGAAGAAGAAAAGAGTTCATGTCACAGCTGGAGTTTGTCTTTGTATCTTCCTGCTTTCTATTTCGTACACGACAAGGGTAAAGTATTGATAACATTGTGTGTTTACAAGCACTTCATGCTACAATATCCTTTTGATGCATACAATTTAAAGACACACGTTTCACACAGTTACTAACATTTGTTATTTTGCATTTTGGCAGTGCAATATCACATCAATCAAATTGTTTTTCCATACTAGTAAAAATATTTTAGTGTATATTTGCTTTTGTTAAATGTGGTCATGCCCAAAGATGGACGGGTACATGCAATTCCATTGACATATTTGTATTGATTTCATTGGCAGTTGTGGTTTCCCATTCCATTCTTCCCAGGGTGGAGTCTACCTCTTCCAACTTCTAGACTGGTATGCCTCCTCCTTTAGCGTCCTGCTCATTGGTTGCCTGGAGTGTGTGGTGATCTGCTGGATTTATGGTATGGAATAAGGGAGATGTTGTGTTGGGGTTTTTTTTGCTCGTGTTTCTTAAAATCATACCGACCGAATGTTTACGACGAGATGAAAAAAATTCAAAGGCGAAAAATCATTTAAAAGATGACTGTCGAAAAACTAACCTAAAAACTAACGAAATGTGATCAGTTTGAATAAAGCTCCAAAGTGTCATCCCTTTTATGTATATTTTTCATTTCCCTGTGTTACAAAAGAGATTCTGTCATAGGCATCTGACAATTCCTTAACTAACCATGACAAAGGCTCATTATCACACACACACACACACACACACACACACACCACGAATTTGGACGGGGGATATAGGAACGGGTCCGTCTGTCCATCTTTCCGTCCGTCCACTTCTCAAAGGAGAAACATGTTCTCAAAAAACTATTTAAGTCAGACAAATTAAATAAACACTGATGTAACTGGTCATAATCTCAAATGAGTTCGAAAATTGGTCCCATCATTTAATATTTTTAGAGAGTTATGTCACTTGCTCCATTCCTTACAACTTAGTGCATACTGACTTGGCAAGACTGAGTTCGAAAATTGGTCCCGTAAATTACATTTTTTACAGAATTACTGCCCTTCTTCCTTGTTATTTTATTTATTGCATAGCGTCTGCAATGGAAACAAGTTTTCTCAGATATAACTGTGAGACGGCCCCTCTAACGCTCTGTCATTTCCCCTACCACAGACCATGCAGTGCCTGCGTGCTTGCGCTGTTCCTTCCACGGTTTGTCCCCCTACGTGTCATGTACACATTTATATACAAAATTACATGATAGTTTCTTAAAGAACTTCATCCGTCATTGGTCTTAAATTAAACAAAATTCAGATTATGTTGGGTACAGGGTATTCATGGTCAAGTACCGTATTGATGTTTCATACACTTTTCTGGATTTCGAGTTATTTTGCAATTCATCGTTCTCATTTGGAGTCAAACGGACTGTATATGAGCAAAGAAAAATCGAATGTGCCCCATGGCGGGGGTTCGTGACGAAGCTATTTTCTTGTTATTGTTAGTAGTACCAATTTGGTGAGAAACGCGCCCTTAGGCAGGTGTAGACAAACCAAAAATCTTGTATTCCAACCCACAACATAGGACTCCAGCACGTATACGACTGTCGACTGATAAGTTCTAAGCGTCACATAGAATGAGTTGCGTAATAGTAAACTCTTTTGTTGTGGACATTACATGATGTCACTGAAGTAAATCCACTAAAACAAACCCACAATCTTGCAGTGATCAAGTACTTGCATGAGAACACCAGGGAAGAACCAGCCTTTATATGTCTCATAAAGAGGTTGTCTGCAGAGTTTAAGTGTGGAAGGAAGAGCCTTGAAGACGACCCCTGTACTGAAAGGCCTGTTACGTCCTATAGTATGGTAATGACGACCGTGAATGATTGGGCGTCATTTTGCTAGTTCTGTAGGCATCTTCCAGAAGAGAGTACATTCCATTATCACAGAAATTTTGGCAATGAAGAACGTATCTGATCATTGGGTTCCAAACATATGAACAAAAACGCACCAGGCACAACATGTATTGTGATAATATAGTTCTGTTTGAAGTGGATCCAGAACAGGTTCTTGCAACGATTTGTAACTATGGTTTCATAGGTCCAAACAACAATCAAAACAGTGGCTACAGTCGAATAGTGTGGCTTTGAACTTCCACAGCACCCACTTTATTCCCCTGATTGAGATCTTGCTCCGTCAGACTTCATTCTGTTCCCAAACATGGACCTCATGACGTTATAGCAGCTGTTGAGTACTTTTTCCACTGCCAAGAGAAATACTTTTACGAAACTTGGATACCATCCCTCCAACATTGTTGGCTAAAGTATTCATGAGGACAGGGATTATTTTGAGATTATTATTAGATTATCTTTGTACTGAGGTCTGAACATTTCAATCACCCCTCGTTAAGTGACGCTCAGCGAATGTTTCCAGCTTAGACGACTGAGTTATACGGATGAGCATTAGTTTTCATATAGCATTGGATGTTTACTTCAGGTTCTAAGAGGTTCAATCGGGACGTGGAGATGATGCTTGGGCGACGAACCCCAGTAGTGCTGAGTATCATGTTATCCTACATCACTCCAGTTATTCTTTTTGTAAGTAACTCAAGTTGACACAGGTTATCAAATCATTTATTAAAACACTGCTACTATCCCGCAGTATACTTTATTTTCTTCTAACATGTTCAACACAATGGCTGGGCTTACATATAGTATAAGGGAACATTAAATCTTACCTTTATTCACAAAGTAAATTACCTTTATTTGCAAAGTAAACATTGTCTGTATTTCAGTAATTTCATAATTTGATAATAGAAACACAGTGAATTCATTCCTGCCACACTTAAAATAACCGAGTGGACTGAACAACATCACCCGATCATATATAAATGGAATGAAATGGGTTTTCGAAATAACGATGTAAAAAAGGTATGTTCGTTACATCATAAATGACATGCATACCTTATGTTTCACAGGCGGCTCTGATCCTGTCTCTCTTCATGTATGACCCGCCCAGCTACGGGGCATACGTATATCCAGACTACGCAAAAGTAGTTGGAATCCTTATGGCTGTTCTCATGACTGCACCGATACTGGTCATGCTGATCTACCAGGTCGCCCAGAGGGATGGAACCATCATGGAGGTATGTTTACCTTGTTATGGAGTGTGCCATTGTTTTCCGATAAGACAGAGTATACGAGTTACTTGAATTCCCAATGTCAAAGTACTTTTTAACTGGATCAACTTTATAATTTTTTATCAAGACCTTCGAACATACATAAATGTTATTTTCTGTTATTCAGCGTATCAAAAGTGCAAGTCTACCGTCTCCTGAATGGGGCCCCGCCCGACCCGAACACAGGATAATCTTCCTTGAAAGAGAACATACACCACAAGAGATAATTATTGATCAATTGCCTAAAATAGATCCCATGGATCCCTGATGATCGTAGTAGATCCCATGGAGCGATGTAGATTACTCATTAGGTCTACATTATATATAGTTGGAATTTCTCTAGCGTGGACGTTCTATATTTTACAAATAAGGAAGTACATATGAATTTTATACTCAGAACGGCTTGGTAACTGTACCTTCTGAATACCATAATCATCTTTTTTTTGGTTTATCAATATTGTTAGTTGTAGATATATTTTCTGCATGTTAGAATACCTCAAGTTAAATAAATATTAAACATATTTCAAATCGTGGTATCATGCGTTCCTATTTAGTATTTTAAGAAATACGTCACGGTGATGTCATTGGGATTCTATTCAACAGGAAGACAAAAGAATTATTCACAAAAGCTGAAAGTCTTAATTAGTCATATCAGTTCTTTATAAATTAAGGGAGTCGTGTATTATATAACGAACATAATACTAAATTCCTTTACAAAATATTGTCCTTTGTCTTTGTCTCTATCCAAAAAAGGAACCGTTACTCTGCTGATGCAGGTATCTCAACTTAAAATACAAAGAGGTCATGTTACAATACACATCATATTTTATCCGAAAGCAATATATAGAATAAGACGACATAGAATGTTAATACATGCATATAACACTTTCAAGGTAGATATCAACATGATCATGTGGTTGCAGATTTACCATCACATATTAATTGAATATAATACCTTTAGTAGAAAGGCTGGGTGACTGTCAACGTAGAAAGTGAACATTTTTTATAAAGCATCAGGGAAGCTATCAAATATATGTCCTATTTAGCCTGATAATATGGCAGAATCTGTGGGGAGTCCGGGTTATAATTGGTCCCAAGCAACCTGTGCTGGACGTACGAAGCACTTTGACATGATTGGTTGGCGTGTCAACGTAATCCAATGGCGTGGATCATTGCTCAAAATATCAATCGCAACAAATACAAATTTTCAACCCATATTTTCGTCACGGCTTCAGGGGAACTAAGCCAAACGAGTGATCCTGAATGAGCATATTGGACAGCCTAGATGATAACGACATCGTTGTACCAGGCATAGGGTTCTAGTCACACAAATGTCATAACTAGATCAGTTAGGATTTCGCCTCTTTACCATAGTAAACTTCAGCTATGCCATGCCACATGTCACGTTTTATCATGAAAAGCACGCGTAAACTGAGCTACATTAGATTACGCTGCAGTTGTATTGCCGGTTTGCAGCCTACCTGACAAATACTATGGCGAATGAGTATAGATTCAACGCTCATCGTGCATTATTGAGTGTTAGTTGGTTGTGATGGGAATATCAAAAGACATTAAAAAGATGGTACATGCTGTTACCTGCCTGGCGCTAGGTATTAAAGGGATAAAGCAAGGACATGCATGCATGTATTTATATACATGTATTTCTTTTGTAATGAGATGATGCAGCCTAATGGACATATTGACTTGTCAAACATCTATGGGAACCATAGGACCACACAATCATCCATGCTTTCTGATTCACCACATCAACATATATCTTTGTATAGCATAACCATGGCCACTAGGGAGGTGAAAAGGAAGAGTACTCTTCAAGGCCAGCGTCGTGTTCAATTTTGGAACATTTTAGGTTGGTGCCATTTTTGGGACCATGGAAATGTACCAACGGTTTACTTACCTTATATATGATATCACACTACCGTGGTAACGTAACACCACTATACACCACTGCATCACCGTACCTCTATACCACTGCGGCCTCACAACAATACCTTGAAATCATGCACTACAACTAACTTATTTAATTATAGTATAGCCCTGTGGACATTCCGACTCGTTATGACCGATCCAAATGGGAGTTATTGTCATTCTCTCAACGCTGGTTTGCTTGGCCCAGACTCGACGAGATATACATTCACTGAAACATTACAATTAAACTACAATGCTACCCTACCATCCCATCGCAATACTAACAGGACAACGTTTGATTTTTTTCTCTCTAAAATAACAACGCAATACTACCATGAAGATCCGGGGTAAAATGGGTCTACGATGCTTGTCGTAAAAGGCGACTAACGGGATCGGGTGGTCAGGCTCGCTGACATACAAATACACTCTGGATATAGGTGGCGGGGAATGAGTGGCCCCGTTGTCGGAAACGCGTTCAGGAATGCCAGAAAACCCATGTTTGTGAGTTTGAATACCATATAGGTCGCGATTGTGTCTCTTGTTATGTCAGCACAACACAAAAACTCTTGGACCCGCGAAGATCCGGGGTAGAATAGGTCTTCAGCTACCCATGCCTGCCGTAAAAGGCGACTATGCTTGTCGTAAGAGGCGACTAACGGGATCGTGTGGTCAGGCTCGCTGACTTGGTTGATGCATGTCATCGGTCCCAATTGAATGGATCGATGCTCATGATATCAATCACTGGATTGTCTTGTCCAGATTCGATTATTTACAGACCACCGTCATATAGCTGGAATATTGCTGAGTGCGGCGTTAAACAACAAACCAACCAACCATCATGACACCTGTACTCTATAATACTATTACGACGATATACTACCACTACAAGTCTAATAGTATATTACCATTACAAAACTAGAATTCCACTACAACACTGTCACAGACCATCACCAGCACCAGCACCAGGCACCAGCACCAGCACCAGCACCAGCACCAGCACCAGAACCAGCACCATCACCAGCACCAGCACCAGGCACCAGCACCAGGCACCAGCACCAGCACCAGCACCAGCACCAGCACACCACGGCTACCGTACACAAACCACACAATGTATTCACAGATCACACCCGGTCATTCACACACCTAGTTTGTTGCAAATGTTTCAGTTGAAGGTTTATATTCCTTCACGGTATTCGCTTCTACTTGTACATCGATACATTCCGACCCTCAAGATTGTAGATATAGTGAAACATGTTTTTAGGGATGGGCCATTTGATATTCTGAAATCAAAAGACGTGTGGTGTTCCAGATAAGCGTTCTAAATAACACTATTCTTAATACTTGCTTAACAGTCTGTACATATTGTTGTGTGTGCTGATGTAAGTTTGAATATGTGGTGTATACTTTTATATGCTGATCAGTATATTAGGGTCAATTAGGCTTGACTTGAAGTAAGTGTTCCATCTCAGTTTGCCTACAGTGCATTTTGCCTACAGTGTCGAAAGTTGTTTCAATGCATTTGCCTTCACTATGAAAAATGAATACCTTACATTAAATGTGGGTTAGTCCATACCAGTATTTTCTTTGTTATTAATACTTTACTCTCAGTTGACAAGCTAGGGGCGGTCGGGTAGCCTAGTGGTTAAAGCGTTCGCTCGTCACGCCGAAGACCCGGGTTCGATTCCCGACATGGGTACAATGTGTGAAGCCCATTTCTGGTGTTCCCCGCCGTGATATTGCTGGGATATTGCTAAAAGCGGCGTAAAACCATACACACCCACTCACTCACAAGCTGTGAGTTGCTTTGGAACATGTTGTTGTTTATATTTCCTCTCAACACCCAGTAGATGAAAAGGGAACTCTATGCGTTTTCTTAAGTTATTAATCCTTTGCAGAATGAAAAATATAGTTGTGTTCATAGTCAAGCTATAGTTATCTAAATATGGAAAATGTACAGGCTGGTTACATATGTCTAACCCACAGCGAGTCAAGTTCGTTGCATGAGTCACGGACGGACAGACTTTATTTTGACTTTGACTTTTGACACAAGATACATATGATGTATGGCGTAATGGACATAATTATTATAGCGACACGTTATTATTTCTACAATATAGTTGTTGTCAGCAACAGACAACCAGTTGTGGTCATTGTTTGACGGTTTTGGAGGGATTCATCATGTGAGCTCTGCCCATAATGATAGAGTGTTTTTCGAAGTTCTCATCTTGTTCCACTGGGGTATCATTTGTAAATCAATATGGGGTCGTTTCAATTCAGGTATCGTCACCCTCAAATTTTCTATTTCTTCCATTTTGTATGCAAGCCGTCTGCTTTTTTTCTGCCGTAGCCTCTGTGGTGTGAACACAACAGCAAATGTAAACACAGCCGACAGCAAAGTCAAGCCCTAGCATGGCAAATGGCGTAAACAAGAAAAAGATGTTCAAATCTTCCAGTTTTGCAGTCGATGGAAAATCGACCCAAAATAATCTCTGATAAATGTGGTTGTCCTACTGATCGGTTTAAATTCATCTTTGTCATGTTTAGCGAGGGCAGTGACCACACTCCTAATAATAATACCTTCAACAAATACGTCCATGATATGAGGTACAGAGATGTACACCCTTTAAACTCATTAACCTCATTCTGTAGACATGTTCTATAATGTTCCAATAACCTACAATGCAATATCTTTTCTATCATGATATAATGCGAACATTATAATGGTACGAGCCGTAAAATGCGACACATTTCTGACAGTACCTTAAGCAAAGGCGGAAACAAACAGGCTATCCAATCCTGTGTATAGTTTTCTTTTTTCTGAAACATACTTCTCTCTCTACCGTAAGACCGGGACATACCCTTTTCGCGAAAACATGGTGCCATTGTTTTTAGTGATCCATTCCTATAATTTGCATCACTATGTTGCCTTTTAAACATAATGGAATCTGTTTCGGCAGAGACTAGATACATATTATTCTCTCGCGTTTACTTTTAAATTCTACCAGTCTATATAATTCGCACAAATTAAGAGATACAAACTCGGTGTTTTAAATATAGAACTAGTGTGAGTGAGTTGGGTTTAATGTGCATCACTGCATCACTTCGAGCTTAATGTGGGAGGAAAGCTCGAAGTGATGCAGGTCTCAGACGTTTACATCTTCGGTGAAACACACGAGTACGGGTATGGTGCTGACAAACCTAGAAACATAATCGGGGCGAACCGGGATTTGAACCCACAAGCATGGGTTTCTGGCGCTCTACACAGCGAATCGTTTCGACTGGGCCACCCGTGCCCCCTCGTAACCTAGAATGTCATGTCCCCCTAATTAACATGTGCGGTTGTACAGGCCATAATAATGTATATTCTTTTCTATTTCATTTACACTTTTCAGGAACTTGCGTGTGTGTGTGCATGTGCATATCGTGCGCATGCATTACTTGTTGTCAGGTACATATTTGCATTTGTTACAAATTTTGTTCTTAAAATAAATAATATGGAAAAGGTTTCGTCGCTCTGTTTACTACATGTAAATAAAATGATAGAAACTATCGGCATGTGTGTTCGGTCATGTGTGGTGTGTTATTTTTACTTAATGATAAACACATTACACATCATCTAAAGCTACAGTCACACACGGATCAGTGATTAGTCAGCGAATCTTCGGTGACTTGTTGCAGCTGAACGGGGACTGGTCGGTGACTAGTTGTCGATCGATTACCGATCAAAACAGAATGCGTATCAAAAGAGTGCTTTTCTTAATCAAATCATTTCTTTGCAAGTTGTCCAGATGTTAACAGCAGAACAGTTGCAGTTGCTCCGCATGCAAAGAATAAATCAAAATGCTGCAGTTGCTGCCATGATGATGTACAGAAGAATGAGAAGGAGAAGATGAAGGCAGTATTGGCTGTGATCTTGGATCGCGAGAAGGCCACAACTAGGAGACTAGGAGAATCTGATGGTAGAGTTGGAGAGAGAAAGTCGTGGTGATTTCATGGGCTAGCTCAGAATGGAACCTGTCAACATCGGACATCTCTGGGTCTTCCTCCTCATCAGGTATCCGCCTCTTCTTTTGTAGAGAAATTGTTGGCTCTGGCTCAATTGTAGCAGACCTGTGCACCACAGCAGTTGTCTCTATTGTATCTTCTATCTTCGTTTGTGTTCCTGTCTTTACGGACCATTGTGATGAATGGAAATACTTGATGTGAACTATCTGAGTACAAAATGATGCTGTAATGCACTTTTTATCTAGACGGTGACATGTTGCAAACCCAACGGCGAATGATCGACGCACGCTTGGAAACCATTTGCAACCGATCGACAACCAGTCAATCACTGATACAATCACCTATAGTTCGCCACTAGGTTGCAAAGCGTCAACGCCCTTGTGTATTAGAAAAAACACCACTTGGGGACCCCTATGTGACCAATGAAACCTCCGAGCGACCAAATCGGTTGCAGCCAGTCTTTTGTGCATGTTTAAAAGACTGGTTGCGACCGAATGGGTTTTGCTCTGGGACAGCTCTGAACCCTGTGGTGACCTCAGTGAAACCTTTCCGAGACCCCTGAAACCTTATTGCGATTGTCAAATATTTTGGTCGCCAGGAGGTTGCATCGCGGTCGCATTGTCTGTGTGACTGAGGCTAAACCAACCAACCACTGATTAAATTTGTAACACTGTGATGCTGTAGCTGACTGTTTACGTTGTGCCCAGGAGAATATTAACTTTCATTAAGTATGTGGATTGACTATACTCAGCAAGTGATACCTTTCTCTCTACATCACAATCACACTGTACCGTTTGTTTCATTTCTGCAGGTAGAACACTTTAGCATTCCCTGTTCTGATTCTCTTTTCACCAATGGCATGGTCTTCTTGTACATAAAATACTGTTCACAGTTTAATTACATCCTACCGACTTCAAGGAGTGTGATAACTTGGAATAGAAAATTACGAACCGATCTGTAATGTGGTATCAATGTGTAAAGGTAGGATATAGTAGTCAATCGCAAACGGTCGCTAATGAGTAAATTTAACTATCATGTGAAGTACAATCATAATGAACTGGAAAACATGTCCGTCCAAAGTTTTAAAAAAATGTATAATTAATACATTTCAAACGGAAATTATTATTGGTAGATGAAGTAATAACGTCATGACTAAGAATAACCCTTGAAATGGTTTTTCTAACTGTATATGAGCTGACTGGATCATTCGTAGACCACGAAAGTTAATAAATATTATAACCCTTATTTGCCAGTCAGAAATACACAGTTGAGAAAGAAATCGTGTGCAATCTGCTCTGATTGGAGTCAGTCTGAAATAGGATGTCTACGTATACAAGCTGAACATTACAGGAAGGTAATGATATGACTCATGCAGGTGTTTTGTCAGTACACAGGGGGGCACATGTGTTGGTTTTAAATGCAACATATATCTGAAAATGAGAGACATGTACAGATGACCCAGGGGTTGAAATCGAGAAGTGTACCTGACTGCGAATACATCAACATGGTCGGTATTGCAGATCATGCAAAGGAGAAGAAAAACGAAGCACGGCAGCCTAATTCCTTCAAGTATCCTAAACATCAATTATAGAATATGACCGTTACGATGAGTGACCTCAGACAATGGTTGAAAGCAAAAGTTTCCATTGTTCATAAACTTTAATGTTATCATATTGGGAGCACAAGGATTGAGAGTGGTTGAACATGCAGCTGTCACATAGCATCATAGTTTACGTTAGCATGTCCGCCATATATGCCTATTGGAGCAATGTCTGCTATTCATTGACAGTTTGTTCCGCGCATCAACCAGACGTGACGCGTTTCATGCTTGACATTATTACCAGCAGGCCGGCTCTAGATAGGACTTACATGTACGTATTTCGACCGCCGGGATCATATCTTTTGAGGTAGGATTTAAAGAATATGTTCCCCTTCGATTTTGACCTTGTTGTTTACATGTGTAGAAATTGTCCGACTCTGTACGTTTTGCGCTGACACTGGAGAGATCTTTTGGACATTTACTTGGGTGTTGTGGCGAAAAGTTCTGTTTACCTTATCCTCGTTTAGTTGTATCATTATAATGATTAGTCTTTGTGTATATCTAGGTTGGTAGTCAGTCACACCGTCGGAGAAGAGTAACTTATTTTTGGTTTACGTTTGTTCTAAAACAGTTACTGTACGTTTTGGTGTCTCATTATGAGATTCAACCAGCCAGCTTGTGTCCTGTTATTGTAGAAATATAGAAGTCATGTTTGTAATTATTAATGTTGTAAGTACTCGTTTGTTTAAAACACAGGCTTGTCATAATCATTAATATTAATCAAAAGGTGTTATTAGTAATGCAACAAGTAAATCTAGCCATAGCATGTAAAAATAGAACCGGTACACATAATACCTACTCCAAAACATGTGTGCAAACACACACACAGACGCAGACATTCACACACGCACACGCACACGCACACGCACACGCACACGCACATAACATACATGCATACATACATGCATGCATGCATACATACATACATACATACATACATACATACATACATACATACATACATACAAACATACATACATACATACATATTACTTAGCGTATTACATATTCATTTCAGGAGAAGTTAATAATGGAGGGCCACGTCAATGCAAAGGAAAGTATTGGCGATAAAAGAGAAACTTGGGCGCATAAGAGAGAATATATTTTGTCTATGCTTGGCTACAGTGTAGGATTTGGCACACTCCTGAGATTCCCCTACCTGTGCAACAGAAATGGTGGCGGTAAGTGCAATGTTGACAATTTAACTTCAGCTTTAGTTTTGATCAATATTAATAACATAAGGGTAGTCATGATCTTTAGATACAACGCATAATCAATGGTTCTTTTGGTATTTTAATCTTTTACTAGGTGCCTTCCTCATCCCATATTTCACTGCAATCATCGCATGCAGTGTTCCGTTGTTCTTCCTGGAGGTGTCCATCAGTCAGTTTTCCAGCAGGAGTGCCACTCATGTCTGGGTTCTTTGTCCTTTATTTAAAGGTAACCTTTTAGCTTTTATGTACAGTGCAACCTAGTTATAATGCCACCTTTTGTACATTGGAAAGTATGGCATTATAACCAGATTGTACTGTACTTTACGGTGTAAACCTTTTTGCTAGATGTGATATTGAGAATATGCAGTTGTTATACAGCCATTCCACTTATCTAGGTTCCTATCTGCGACCCAGTTTACAGTTAACTATACCATAGCCTAATTATTCATTATTCATTATTCATATGATCATTGTCTCACAAGCTAGCAGCAAAATAGACCATTCATTGCATATTCCACCTATGTTTCAGGAATTGGCATCTCCCAGATACTCAGAACTATTTTTGGAGTCATACCGGATGCTCTCATCATGACCTGGGTAATTTACTATCTGAGCCAATCTTTCAGATCTGTATTGCCCTGGACAACGTGTGACAACTGGTGGAATACTCCTGTGTGTATCAAAAGACTCACCAATGATTCATCTTATGTCTTCTTCAACAGTACTGTGGAACATCAACTTCTCCACAACGCTGTATGGAGAAAGCCAAATTCAACATTGACTGCCTCGGAGGAGTACTGGCAGTATGTTTACTAATGTAATCTTCTGGTAATCCAGGATAAGTTTAATTATCTCACAAATCGGATTTGAGGAAAGTAGGCGGTGCAGAGGAAAATGGGAAAACATATTTGGTTTGTAACAGGTAGAGAAGATGTACGCATGTTGTGCAGGTGCAGTTCACACGATGAAATTAACTACGCTCTCGTGGAAACACGTGTTGCTAGGTGTGACAAGACGATACCAGAATTCTCTAAAAGTCGCTTTACAGAAAGTAATTTCAAAGAATCATCATGTCAAAGCTAGGTAAGCATGGCCAAATCATACATTCCCAGGCTCAAGAATTGGCATATTATGTCATAAATTACACGGAGAAGGAATGTACACATAAATTGTAAGCATTGACTAAAGTTAGCATTGTCACTGGTCTATTTGTATCTACGCAAAAGCGAATCAAAGCAGAAGGTATCGCTAGTGACAAAGGCGAGAGCACTTTAATTAGCCCAAGTAAGTCGTGTTTCACGTCACTATGTCACGTGATTACTGAAATACCTGGAACATTCATATATATATATGAAAACATATATCAAATGGTGTTTAAACAGATACTGCATATATTGGCTGCACATATCGGCTGTACTTTCCATCAGAGTGATGTTTTTGTCTGTTGTATTACCACTCTTCCTCGCGGGCATCGGCCTCGGTCCTATATTTGTATTTCAAAGTGTGTGTACATTGTTACAACAATACTATATTATACTCAAAGGTTCAACGCCCTTCGAGTTTCAACTGGAATAGACAAATTTGGGACCGTTCAGCCCCACATGCTTCTCAGTCTCCTGTGTTCCTGGACCATTGTGTTTCTGTGTTTGATGAGAGGAGTGCGGTCGGTAGGGAAGGTAGGTCAGTTTGGTTTCTACGCCAGTTGTTTCTGGGAAAATTACCTCAAGCCTGATAAAGACAAAAAGAGGTTGAGGCAGTAGGCGTTATGAAATCTCGACAGGAGAATTCCCACGAGATACTGTTCTGTTATTTGCAGGGAGACATGTGTGTTTTTTATGGGGCGTACTTGTTTCCTCACACTGTGAAGTATATAAAGATAAACTGCATTATTAGGCGCATTACCCATCATAAATCTACCAAGGAAAAGAAAAAGTATTTGATGCTTGGATGGTATGATCATCCATTGTTCTTGTTGCATTCTTTAGTGCATTGAAGAAAGACACATATGGGGTATTTCATGATGTACTCGGCCTTGGTCCATCTCTGAGACAAACAATAACTACTGTGGGCGTATCCTATCCCGTGTACCTTGCAGAGAGAGACATATATTGCGTACCTTGCAGAGAGATACACAGTGCTTACTGTACCCTAACCTAGGTGCCCTACAGAGAGAAACACCGAGGATACTGTATCCTACCATATGTGCCCCGCAGAGAGATACACAGTGGGTACTGTATCCTACCCTAAATACCCTGCAGAGAGATACACAGTGGGTTCTGTATCCTACCCTATGTGCCTTGCAGAGAGATACACTGTGGGTTCTGTATCCTACCCTAAATACCCTGCAGAGAGATACACAGTGGGTTCTGTATCCTACCCTATGTGCCTTGCAGAGAGATACACTGTGGGTACTGTATCCTACCCTAAATACCCTGCAGAGAGATACACAGTGGGTTCTGTATCCTACCCTATGTGCCCTGCAGAGAGATACACAGTGGGTACTGTATCCTACCCTAGATACCCTACAGAGAGATACACCGTGGGTACTGTATCCTACCATATGTGCCCCGCAGAGAGATACACAGTGGGTACTGTATCCTACCCTAGATACCCTGCAGAGAGATACACCGTGGGTACTGTATCCTACCCTAGATACCCTACAGAGAGATACACAGTTGGTACTGTATCCTACCCCATGTGCCTTGCAGAGAGATACACCGTTGGTACTGTATCCTACCCTAGATACCCTGCAGAGAGATACACAGTGGGTTCTGTATCCTACCCTACGTGCCCTGCAGAGAGATACACAGTGGGTTCTGTATCCTACCCTATGTGCCCTGCAGAGAGATACACAGTGGGTACTGTACCCTACCCTATGTGCCCTGCAGAGAGATACACAGTGGGTTCTGTATCCTACCCTATGTGCCCTGCAGAGAGATACACAATGGGTACTGTATCCTACCCTAGATACCCCATAGAGAGATAAACAGTTGGTACTGTATCCTACCCTATGTGCCCTGCAGCGAGAGACACAGTGGGTACTGTATCCTACATTGGATACCCCACAGAGAGATACACTGTGGGTACTGTATCCTACCATATGTGTCCTGCAGAGGGATGCACAATGGGTACTGTATCCTACCCTTGATACCCTGCAGAGAGATACACAGTGGGTACTGTATCCTACCCTAGATACCCTTCAGAGAGATACACCGTGGGTACTGTATCCTACCCTAGATACCCTACAGAGAGATACACAGTTGGTACTGTATCCTACCCCATGTGCCTTGCAGAGAGATACACCGTGGGTACTGTATCCTACCCTAGATACCCTACAGAGAGATACACAGTGGGTTCTGTATCCTACCCTATGTGCCCTGCAGAGAGATACACAGTGGGTTCTGTATCCTACCCTATGTGCCCTGCAGAGAGATACACAGTGGGTACTGTACCCTACCCTATGTGCCCTGCAAAGAGATACACAATGGGTACTGTATCCTACCCTAGATACCCCATAGAGAGATACACAGTTGGTACTGTATCCTACCCTATGTGCCCTGCAGCGAGAGACACAGTGGGTACTGTATCCTACATTGGATACCCCATAGAGAGATACACTGTGGGTACTGTATCCTACCATATGTGCCCTGCAGAGAGATACACAGTGGGTACTGTACCCTACCATATGTGTCCTGCAGAGGGATGCACAATGGGTACTGTATCCTACCCTTGATACCCTGCAGAGAGATACACAGTGGGTACTGTATCCTAACCTAGATACCCCACAGAGAGATACACAGTGGGTATTGTACCCTACCCTAGATACCCTGCAGAGCGATACACAGTTGGTACTGTATCCTACCCTTTGTGCCCTGCAGAGAGATACACAGTTGGTTCTGTATCTTACCCTAGATACCCTACAGAGAGATACACAGTGGGTACTGTATCTTACCCTAGATACCCCACAGAGATACACAGTCGGTACTGTATCCTACCCAGCTACCAAACAGAGAGATACACAGTGGGTACTGTACCCTACCCGAGATACCCTGCAGAGGGATACACAGTGGGTACTGTATCCTACCCTATGTGCCCTGCAGAGAGATACACAGTTGGTACTGTATCTTACCCTAGATACCCTACAGAGAGATACACAGTGGGTACTGTACCCTACCCGAGATACCCTGCAAAGAGATACACAGTGGGTACTGTATCATACCCTAGATACCCCACAGAGAGATACACAGTGGTTACTGTATCCTGTGTCTGGTATCTTGCAGAGAGATGGATATTTGGTACTTCATACTGCCCTTAGTACCTTGCAAAAAGATTCTATAGTATAGCTAAGCAGCCAGGCAATGTAAATGGGGAATTATCTTTCACAGGGCAAATTATTAGAGTGAGATGTTTCTTTAAAACCGCGTTTACCAATTGATACAGTATCTATGGATTGTTAGGATTTTCTCAAGAATACATTTGAAAGCTACAAAATCTATGTGACAGGTCGTGTACGTGACCGCTGTGATGCCGTACATTCTCCTAACGGTGCTGTTGATCAGGTCGTGCATGATGCCAGGATCGGTCGATGGATTACTTTATTTTCTTCGTCCAGACTTCTCGCGTCTTGGATCGGTTCAGGTTGGATATTTTCTATTATGGATATTATTTTTATTAACTAAACCATAAAGCAGAGTAAACACTTCAGATGTCATCAACTAGTTATTCATTTTTAAGAATCTGTGTCATGCTCTGTGCTACCACAGCTTGGTATGACGCACAAAAACTACACCGTTTCGTCATGGACAAAAGGACTATATCCACAGATCAGTTAACGATTGACAACGTTTTCATTGACAATAGTTCATTGCACTTACACGGCTTGAACACCGCAACAAGTACCATCTTTTAACTTATTTTGGTATGTCGCGGCCGGGGATCGAAACCCAGACCTCGGAGGCGGTCGGATACCTCAAAACTAATCAAGCTGTACACGGTTTAACTCCCATGGTCACTATTACGACGTAACACTGCTCATGTTGATGTACAAGGCGTGGCGTCACAGTCAGATAAGGAAACCACCAAATATAAAACTCTCTGGTCTTTTGCTATGACGCGGCCAGTGGATCGATGACTGAAGCGTCAAATTTGTAAATGTCCTACACATGTCTACCAGAACACTTTTTAAAAACTTTACTACGTGCTTGATTGCACCTTAAAATTTAGACACCAGGTCAGTAAATCAGTCAATCCGAGCGGAAAGTCCGACTTATATGTATAAAGAAACTGGTCAGTAAGCAGGGGAGCACCTCGTTCTTCTTAAATATTCATCTATGAATCTATGAAGGCTTCGGCCAGTATTTCAATAATTCACATTTTCTCGGTGTATTTCAGATGACATTTCATTTGTGACAAATTGTCCTAAACTTTGAAGATAGGCATGTTACCATATATATGGACACCACTTTTATGATTGTCGTGCCAGATCACTTTTGAAGAGATCATAATATTTGATTTGGTACATATTATATTATTGGAATAACCATCTGGTGGTGAGAACATCAGGTTATATTAATTCGGATTGTGTCTTTTGACATTAAAGGTTCAAGATAAATCTACTGAAGCAAGATAATGTCTTCGTGTGGATTAATTATGATTATTCATCTATGCTCAGAGCTCATCAACAAACAAAGAACGTGTCCTCAGGTTCTGTCGATTAACATAGTAATCTAAGTTTGGTCATGTGGCAAATCAGGAATTTAATCTGGCATTAACAAATCTACCTATCAAATGATGACCATTCGTGATATATACACCGGTTCTAGTTTTGTTACATGAATAATATTTAGGTATTGTGAACCATCTTTTGAAATATATTGCATTTGATCATCGTGACAAAGCGGTTACATTTGAGAGACCTCTTCACACTGCCACTAGACATGTCCATTACAGGTATGGCTAGAAGCACTCCTCCAAGCGTTTTATTCCATGGGTACAACTTTCGGGACACTCAACACTGTTAGCAGCTACAACAAATTCCATAACAACTGTCTTAGGTAAGTCTCGTTAAAAGGGAGACATTTATCTGTTATATTTCAAGCAACAGCAAATGTGCTAACAGCGACGTGTGCATTGTACATGTTCCTATCATATATGTTTATATATGTGTGCTTCTTCAGATGCACCTGTATTTCTTTCATATTTTGTGTTTCAGAGATGTGGCAATGTTGACCATCAGCGGAGAAGCCAGCAGTATTTTCAGTGGATTGGTTGTGTTCTCTACTCTAGGATTCATGGCTCACGAGGCTCAGATCCCTATGTCGGATGTGGTGTCTTCAGGTTCGCTTAGCTTACCGCTCCATTTTGGCGATTGTCTTGTGAAGCACGAAGCTGTTCGTCCAGCAGTTTTCATTGATACCCGAACCTCTCAGACTGTCCATGTTGGATAACGTTTATTGATTCCTGTTTTGTAAGTCAATGTAAGACAACATGACTATGTATATGAAGTGACAACATGACTATGTATATGAACTGACAACACGACTATGTATATGAACTGACAACATGACTATGTATATGAACTGACAACATGACTATGTACATGAACTGACAACACGACTGTGTATATGAACTGACAACATGACTATGTATATGACCTGATAAACCCGCCCATGTAAAAGAACTGACAACATGACTATGTATATGAACTGACAACATGACTATGCATATGAACTGACAACATGACTGTGTATATGAACTGACAACATGACTATGTATATGAACTGACAACATGACTATGTATATGAACTCACAACATGACGATGTAAATGAACTGACAATTATGTATATGCACTTTTGAAGATATCAACATGAAGTCTAGCGCTGAGAGAGTTTATGTAGAATGTCTTCAACATTCAACCACAGTAGAAAAATACATCATGTGTGCAACACGTCACACTGTTTGTAGGTTACAAATGCATTTATAAGGCTTATGGAATTTGATTGATTCTTTGAACATTTTGTCCGTTTTGAATATCTTCTCTCATATTTAGCCATCTGTGTCCAAGTAACTGAGATTGTCTTATTTCCCAAATAACAGGAGCGGGGCTTGGTTTTATCATCTACCCTGAAGCTATAGCCAAACTGCCTGTGCCTCAACTGTGGTCTGTCCTGTTCTTCCTCACGCTGCTTTCTTTGGGGATCGACACTTTGGTAAATAAAACGTCCTTAAACCATTTTTCATAGTTCAACATCTGTTCAAGATTACTATTTAATTTGTCACACAAATATTACTCCAATGACATTGAGGACCGTCGTTCATATCATACGCTACAATGACCATCACAGCTACATAGAGAGCTTTGATTTGGGCGCCCTAGACCACCATATGTGGATGCTTGTTTGTATCCACTTTGGATTTTGTTCCTTTATTACAGTTTGGAGCAATGGAAACCATCATAGCCGGAATATCAGAAGCGTTCCCAAAGCATCTTATGAAGAGAAGAATTCTTGTCACTGCAGGCGTTTGTCTGTGCATTTTTCTGCTTTCTATTCCTTACGCGACACAGGTATGTTTTAGTAACTCCTACCATGTTAATCGTCACGGATAAAGATCTAAATGATTATTTCTGTTAGCTGTCATGATATTAAAAGTGTTTATTATTTTTTGGTAACGGAGTAACATGGAGTAACATGCCTCGGGAATCATTCATTCCATTTCCATTCTACCCAGGGCGGAGTCTATCTGTTCCAACTGCTGGACTGGTATGCCTCCTCCTTTAACGTTCTGTTTATTGGATGCCTGGAGTGCTTGGTCATCAGCTGGATCTATGGTATGGAATAGTGTTACGGAGCTGCTTGTTTTTGTTTTATATTTCTTTAGGAGATAAACATATTGTGTTTTCAATTTTGAGATTGAAGATTTAACCGCGCTTAATGGAATTTGGGACCTTGCGTGACAAGTGGTTTGTCGATCTGAATTAAAGAAACACTGACAAAGTAAGACGCTGTATATTCTCAAACAATGTAATGTACTTTCTAATATTTCACTCGAATATATGATAGGCATTGACACTCTGTAGCACAGCTACTTCGTTAGCCACCATTAATGTGGACACCCCTAAAGGGAACTAATCAAGCTTTACACGGTTTCGTTCTACTCCCAAGGTCACTTTTACGTCGTAACGCCACTCATGGTGACGTACAAGACGTGGCGTCACACGCAGATACAGAAAACACCAAATATCAAACTCTCCGGTGTCCCTAAAACTTGAAATACAATCTCTTTTCCGTATCGTATCCTACCCTAGATACCCTGCAGAAAGATACACAGTAAGTTGTGTATTGTATCGTATTTTCCGCCCAAAATGTATTGCCACGCATACATGTAGTGTATATTATAGTAACTGCAAGTCTGCATTATGTAACCTGTAAGTGTGCATATCGTTCTTTCAAAATGCCTCTGACTGACCCATCAGAATCTAGTATTTCCCAACTTCATGGTAGAATTTCAACCAGGAAAATGCATTCTGCTGCTGAAATTATTCATAAATCTGGGGATGAATTGCTGGTAGGACAAATATTTTGGATGATGATATAAAACATTAATGAAGCAATTGCATAGGATAAGTGTTAAAAAAGGTTGCCGGTCAGTTATTACAAGACCAATGTTAATTAATCTATCACTTTATCTCGAACATGTTTCACATTATGTAAATTTACAAGCGTTTTATACAGAATCGTAAAAATAGATTTATTATCATTTTCAAAGTAAAGATATCCAGAAGGTTCAGTCTGTCAAATTACTCCTCAGAAAAAGAAGAACAAAAATGAATGCGTGACCTCAGGAGTACAGATTTGGACTGCATGCCTCAACATACAGTCATCCTAGAACCAAGGCTGCTGGGATTTTTTTAAATAGCTAAAATTAGGATCAGACATACATAGATTAGGTTTTTTAATATAGTTATCAATTTAATTTGTGCATTGTGTGAAATATGTTTTCTATCAATAACATAAAATACGGCGGAGAAAACAAAACAGATGCTTGAAAAAATAGTATTTGTTTCGTTAATCGTTTTGCATTTAAATTGCCCTAATGTTTTCTAAATGTAGAAAATGAGTCGAAGCTTGAAATGCGAACGATTACTGATTTCAATACATAAGACAGGAATTTATTATTCTTAACAAATATGGGCGAGTAACATAATTAAAACTATTCAAATGTGGAAGTACCTATTGTTACAATTTGTTTGCAGCATACCTGAAAATGTATGACGGTAAACATTGTCAGTACAGGCTTCTGCTCATGCTTATACACCTTCCCTGTGCACGTTTAGAAAACTACAAACAATAGATACATGTGTGTACCTTGAATCAACATATTCCCATTATAATTTAAATACACATTATCATATATATAAACTATTTATAAGTATTATGTGTCTTATAATCTGCCTGCACGTTTTGAGTTTTCTTTGTCTCGTGATTGCTTGTGACACTTCAGTCATCAATTACTTGTGACACTTCAGTCATCAATAACTCGGCTTCATCAAAAATTGTTATCTCGAACCCCTTTATATATCATATTCTTGAAGACAATGTAAATGTATGTCCCCGGCACTATAGTCTAATATCGACAAACAGATAAGTTAGAGATCCCACGTACTGCAAGTTAACGAGGGTGCCACCGGTGGGGCAGGATAGAGGCACCTCTCGCGAATACCTGTCATTATCAGTATTTGATAGTGGTTAATAAACATATTCTTATGATATGGTCGGAATCGTAAAATGGACCCTTATGATAATGTAAATGGTGTTTGTAGCCTTTGTTTAATTAACAGTGATGCATCAGAATATATAATGTTAGTAATGTCCGATTCAATTCCATATTTTGACTTGTACCATTTGTTCCCAGTTGTTCAGATGAACAGTTGACTTGCCTTTGCATGTGTTTGTGACGGGTGACACAGGAAGGGAAGGATGTCTTCTCGCAATGTCATTAGAATCAGATCTTTGTGCTCGCTATCGCTAGACAAAGATCTGAAGACATACTATTTCGGGTCATTTCAAAACGATCAGGTCAGACCTAGCTGAATGGTAATTTAGGACCGGATGGGCATGCAGACAGATTGTTGTTATAGATTTATTGTCATAAGATATTATGATATTATTACCATCCACTTGTCTAGCTGTAACTACAGAGCTGTTAGATCACATCCGATATGGCTTGTGGTGAACATCATTCCGGATGTGTGCGGATACCTTTACCTAACAATGTATGGGTATATATATCATTATGTATATTTACAAGCATTGTTTCATCAGCGATAAACGATAACTTAACAAAGACCGAGGGGCAACAGAAAGCATAACGAGCTTCTTTTTTATGTCATTGAAAATTAAATATACAGTCAAAACTTTTGTCAAATTTGATTATGTCTATTTAAACATCACTCATTCCTGCAAGAGTTTGTAAAAAGTAACCTGGGATATTTTACAAATACATTATGGGTGGGTGAGTATGGTTTTACGCCGCCTTTAGCAATATTCCAGCAATAACACGGCAGGGGACATCAGAAATAGGCTTCACACATTGTACCCATGTCGGGAATCGAACCCGAGTTCTTGGTGTGACGAGCGAACGCTTTAACCACTAGGCTACCCGACCGCCCCCATTTGTCTAATGAAGACCGGGGTAAGAAATGAAGTTCTATCCACATGACCCCTATAATGTTTCAACCGCTGTGCTGAACAAAAAAGAAAAAATATTAATTTTCAACGATGAGATGCCTAGTAATATACCCACCAGCAGTTGTGTATTTAGCAAATATGTTTTAAATTTATAAAAGTTTTCTATCAATTCTTTTTTAATAAGACCATGCAGAAGTATGTTTAAGTGATGACTAGGCGCCAGTACATTTCATGTTTTGGATAATATCGCTAACTTGAGATATTTTCAATTGAAAATTAAACATATGGTAACATCAACTGAGATATATCGTTTTCTTTTTCTCCTCAGATTATATGGTTATATTTTTCTTTTAAATGAACTGAGAGGAAGAGTTTCTACTGCTCTTCAGTCTATATCATTATATTAACTTTTGGAGGCTCAGGGTAAATATTTTCGAAACCAAGTTGGACGTCACTCGTCAAAAGAAGGTCAACTGTTATTGATCCAGACACATACCATGTGCCTACAAGAGTTAACATCAGACCTTCAACATCCAGTCAAAATAGAGAGTGCGTCCAAATAATCATCAGAAATGATTTCACCTAACGGAGAATATTATATATGTCACAGTCAAATTACTGAAATTTTCACTTTGGCAATTTACAAAACGCCAAAAGATTTTGCATTTTTGTTTCCGTCAGATTGACTACAAGTTACTAAGAAGTTCAAAAGCGCTTCATCACATTTGACAAAACATCACATTTGACTAATTATGCAAGGATTAGAAGACATAAAATAAAACAAATATACATTGAATTTTGTTTTCTTTTAATCATATAATTTTCAGTCATTGTGTGATGAAATATAACATTAACAGGTTTCGAATTCGTTAAGGATAATATTATAAATGGAAAAATAATTGTAAAATAACTGAAATATTTTTGTGTTTTGTAAACTGCAAGTGAAAATTTCAGCCATTTTACACCTTGACTATGATATCTATACCAGCAATAGATCAATGAAAATCTATTTCAGGTTCTAAACGGTTCACTCTTGACGTGGAAATGATGCTTGGGCGACGAACCCCGTTAGTGCTGAGCATTATGTTATCCTACATCACTCCTGTCATTCTGTTTGTAAGTAAACCTAGACTACTGACATGGGGCGTTATTAAATGATTAACACAATCACTACTGCTAATTTACAGCATGTTATAGCTACTCTCTAACGCCGCACTCAGCAATATTCCAGCTACACCAAAGGGATACAATACCATGCATCCACCAAGTCAGGGCGCGTGACCACCTGAACCCTGAGTTGCTGAAGACCAACACTAATCCGGAACTTAACAGTTAGGGATAGATCAATATTAGTGTATGTCAATTCAAGACGACCATCATTGAATTCATATCATGTGATTTTGACTTAACATTTGAGGTCAACCACAAAACAACTCCGTGAACTCCGGGAAAGGTTACAGGTACCAGTCAGCCTATGTTTGTCGTAGGAGGCGACTAAATGGATCGGCAATCTGATCGTCATACAAACACCCATTCCTTTTACAATGTCTTGATAGCTATAGTAAGTTATTGTGGTCAAAACTGCGAAGTGCACGGGTAAATCAATACCCGACGACTTGTGTTCAGTCTCACTGCTCCAATTAAACGTACATGTAACCTCTATTTTTCATGAATATGTACGCCAGCAAGATATATTTTGCCTCCGTTTTTACATTTTCAACCCAAACCTCGGAGTGTTTTATCCTTTATGTACGACCTGCTAAGCTAGCTTAGCTAGGTCAGTCAGTCCTTGTTCCACAGGCGGCTCTGATCCCGTCTCTCCTCATGTACGATCCGCCCAGCTACGTCAGTTACCTTATATTCAACAGGCGGCCCTAATCCTGTCTCTCTTCATGTACGACCCGCCCAGCTACGTCAGTTACTTTATGTTCAACATGCGGCTCTGATCCCGTCTCTCTTCATGTACGACCCGCCCAGCTACGTCAGTTACCTTATGTTCAACAGGCGGCCCTGATCCTGTCTCTCTTCATGTACGACCCGCCCAGCTACGTCAGTTACTTTATGTTCAACAGGCGGCCCTGATCCTGTCTCTCTTCATGTACGACCCGCCCAGCTACGTCAGTTACTTTATGTTCAACAGGCGGCGCTGATCCTGTCTCTCTTCATGTACGACCCGCCCAGCTACGTCAGTTACTTTATGTTCAACAGGCGGCTCTGATCCTGTCTCTCTTCATGTACGACCTGCCCAGCTACGTCAGTTACTTTATGTTCAACAGGCGGCCCTAATCCCGTCTCTCTTCATGTACGACCCGCCCAGCTACGTCAGTTACTTTATGTTCAACATGCGGCTCTGATCCTGTCTCTCTTCATGTACGACCCGCCCAGCTACGTCAGTTACCTTATGTTCAACAGGCGGCCCTAATCCTGTCTCTCTTCATGTACGACCCGCCCAGCTACGTCAGTTACTTTATGTTCAACATGCGGCCCTGATCCTGTCTCTCTTCATGTACGACCCGCCCAGCTACGTCAGTTACTTTATTTTCAACAGGCGGCCCTGATCCTGTCTCTCTTCATGTACGACCCGCCCAGCTACGTCAGTTACTTTATGTTCAACAGGCGGCCCTAATCCTGTCTCTCTTCATGTACGACCCGCCCAGCTACGGGGCATACGTATATCCAGATTACGCCAAAGTTGTTGGAATCCTTATGGCAGTTGTCATGACTTTACCGATACTGTTCATGATGATCTACCAGATCGTTAAGAGGGACGGGACCATCATACAGGTATGTTGACCTTGGTAGGCGGTGTGCAAAGTTTAATGAGCACAATATGAGCACTATGTGGAGGCAATAGCACGAAACGTTGTATATTAAGTTGTGATAAACATAATTTGCTGTCAGGAGATAAATCTATCTAAAACAAATTGTTGTAACTAACATGGTGGTCGTTTCCACGATGCACACGTTTCATTGCATAAACATAATAGGAAGATAAGGAAAAGGATGCATCACAGTTGAAAGTGCAAGTGTGCCTTATCTTGCGTACTTCATCAGTACCGTTCTGTTCGTCTTTACTCAATGTGAGCACACATTAAATACATCTTGTTTACATTGATTTGTTTTCAGCACATTCAGCACATTCATTTGCGTTAAAGTTATGTTTTCCCGAGTATACCGAGGCTTTTTATTATGTTATTGAAAATTAAAAGATATTTTGTTAAATTTGATTATGACTATTTGATTATGTCTATTTAACTATCTCTCATTCCCGCAACAGTTTGTAAAATGTAATCTGTAGCTTGGTAATTAGTGTAAAATTATACTAGTTCAATGAAGACTGTAGTAAGAAATGAATTTGCCATCACAGCAACCCCTGCCATGTTTGAAATGTTGTAAATTTGTGCCGAAAAGACAAACAAATTATTGATTGTCAAAGATCAGATGACAAAGATACTCATTAGCAGTTGTGGACAATGCGAAAAGCTCTTGGTTTTTTTGTAACTTTTGATAGGTTTATATCAAAATATATTCTGATAAATAAAACCATGTAGAAGTATTCGTTGAGTGCTGACTGGATGTAATGTCGCTTACTTAAGATATTTTCAAATGGGAAAAAAACATAGTTACGATAAAAACAACTAAGAGGTTTAGTTTCATTTGCTGCTGGTTTTAATACCTTCTTGCTTGCTAAATCTAGCAAGAACCATATACTCTTGTACTACTAGTACTCTACTATTACTCTTGATAACTATCACTGATATATTTTCTAATCATTTGTTTTCATCATATTGGAATCTATGTAAATGATATTTTTCTGTTATCCAGCGTCTCAAACTCGCAACTGTGCCTTCTCTTGCCTGGGGCCCTGCTCGGACCGAACACAGGAAACTGTATCTGGAAAGAGATCATCAACATGGGGTGCTTATGGTGCCGGTGGCCATGGACCCTGCGTGCCTGGAGTAGACCAATCTAATTTGGGTACATAATTTGCTGAGATATACATACATTCACGTGACTAGTCTTGTTACTGATGAGGAGAGATCAATGGGTATCTTCGAAGTCTGGGAACCTAACCCTTGTCCTTTTAGGGCAAGTAAGTAATAAGGAAATTCTACAATATCTACTCCTAATAATATTAAATACAGTGTGTGTATTAGGGAGGGGTGGGGAGAGCGCTGTGATATTTTAAGAATATAATCTGGTCCGACAGGAAATAAAGCAGAAATCGTTTACTGCACATTCTTGATGTTTTCAAATGTATTGTGACATGGGAGAAAAAAATTTTAAATTGTTCTTCCTTTCAGAGAAAATGATGGCAAGTCTCCAAACTAAACACTGATCTTTTTTTCGGAGAACTGCATGCTGTTGGTGACCTGGTACCGTTGCTGTAATCTGTAGATGGTTCTCACGTAGACTTTAATAACATTGGTAATCATTCGTGCAGTCTCGTCAGCATTCAGTCGTCTTAAAGCATGGTTTCTCTGATTCTCATGAAGTCAGGGTGTTTTTGTACCCCACCACCTTTGGTATGGTTTTTTTCCAAACCGTAGGTGTATATTAACATATGATTCACAATAATAACATCTCTTGTTGTGAGAAGATTATTTACATAAATGCTTTCATAGAATCCCAGAGTTTAATTCCGATCAGTGCCACCAGAATGAGTTGACATTACGACCATGGATACGAAATCCGATTGGCAAATCAGTGAAAAGAGTATTGTCGTTCTGCCCCCGGAACTCCGTAGAGGAACAAGTACTATCCATATGTTGGTCAGCGAGATCTAACTGTTGATAATCAAATTACACATGACAAGTTATCCTCACTATATGACCTCCATTCTGTAGCAGACGCATCGCAACCCGTCCGCACAAAGCTGGACGCACGGTGTCTGTGGGTAACCAGCTGGTAATCGGGGGATGTAGATTTAGTATTCTTATGAAGATGTCACCATAATAGCCTCAAGGATGAGTTTGACAGTAGCCAATTTGTCCTTATGCGTGTCATTAGTCACGTAATCAACATTCAGTTATTGGAAACTCTTTATGGTTTCAGGTATTTCTCTCTATATATATATGAACAGTGAATAAATGTTAACTCACGGGAATTGGATATTATATGGAGAATCTCGCCCAAGTGTCTTTTGATATCAAATATATCTACACGAGTCAATCAAAAGTTTAAAACTCCGAGGCTTGCCGAGGAGGTTTAAACTTTTATCGACGCGTGTTGATATATTTGATATCAAAAGACACAAAGGTGAGATTCTGTTTATCATCAAACACCATTCTTTATGTTTTTCAGTTTGTAGACAGTAATAAGCAGAGTCTTCAGTGTAAAAAGTACTGCTAACAGCCTCAGTAGCAGAGCCATTAGTGATGTCATTTGATTGTGACGTCATGGTAAAATTGACGTCATAATGGTCTGCAAAGCATTGTAAAGCAATTTCATTGCACCGATATCTACAATGTATATCTCTTGATCTCACCCAAGCGATATCTCCTGTGGGGGCCAGTTTTGGATGATAAAGTACTCAAACACCCTTTCTAATGCGTTTAACTGTTCTTGTGTGAATATGCCTAACACTTAACAACGAAAGTAGGGGCAATGGCCTTTACGCCTGGAAAAAATATTAGTATAAATCCCGTACATAACCGTGTCCGATATGTTATTTCTTGCTTTTCCATGGTCCATATTTGCCAATGATGAGTGGGTCCGTTTCCGTCAGCGAAATATTGGACCGTTTTAGCCAGCAGCAGGGTTTGTGCTGTCGCACATGGAGCGGTCATGCATATTTCAAGCAAATGGCGGATACAGAGAGGACAGAACTTAACATACAATCATGTGTGTCATCTCTTGATTATCTTGTTGGTTTAGAAGCCGCCCTCGATTGGCAGAAGAACCGCTGTGCGGTGTCATGATCAGGCAACAAACAAACACTTACTCTTTTAAAAACCACTCTTTTCCCTTTTACGCCAAGTGGAATCTGTTTCGGTGGATAATCTCTGGCGTTAACGTTTACCATATTACCAAATGAGTTAGTTACAATGTAGTTGTACGTTTACCCTTAGTACATCGTACAGGAAACATCGCAAAGACATGGATATTTCCTTAATGTCAACGTCATGGTCAAATGTACTGTTCATTCAATATGTTGTCGTGATAGTGTTGTAACTGTTGTTTCGCATTTTGCTCATGTATTACAAACCCCCGGGCGCGACAACACCGTTTTCTTTATTAAGAGAAGCGCACGTAAAAGGAACGACGTCACAGTGTGATGACGCGTCATTATCTGCATGATTTCCCTCAATGCTAGTATCATGATGTTAGTTGTGATCGGGGAGTTGCTACGTAGATAACTTTAGGCGTACAGGTATTATTCACACTCGCTTACCGTTCCTAACATATTTTTATGTTCGCTATATAAGGGAAATAATCTTGAACGCCGCATTGAGCTCGATGTCAGATAATCTCACCTCTTACTACAGTTTGGACGGATCACGGAAACCATTCCTACCCCAAAACCCACCAGGCCAGTATTTGAAACGCGCACCTTTTCATTTGCGTTCAGTATTTGCCTTTGATTAGAATCACAGGTAGAATATTGAAGTACATTATTATTATTCCCCGGAGTTTTTAAGATTTGTTGCCAAGAAATCCATCTTGCATGTAGAACATTACTTTAATATTACATTTGTCAGAGAAATAAAAGACACGAAAATACCAACTTGAAAATCTTTGAATATTACTTTTATGTTTAAACTGTGCTTTTATTAACATTATATTCATATGCAACATTCATATATCACTAGAATGGTCGACACGTGAAGATCCGAGGTCTTCATCAACCCATGCTTGCCGTAAAAGGCGACTATGCTTGTTAGGGGTGACTAACGGGATCGGGTGGTCAGGTTCGCTGACTTGGTTGATGTATGTCATCGATCCCAATTGCGTAAATCGATGCTTATGATGTCAGTCACTGAATTATCTAGTCCAGACTCCATTATTTACAGACCGACGTCATATAGCTGGAACATTGCTGAGTGAGGCGTTAAACAACAAACAAACAAACACTAGAAGGGTCAATTTTTATTGTTTTTCTTATTTTGCGTCGGTAGGATGACAAAAAACGTAATGTTCAATTCTTTAAAGTGTTTACATTGGAACGATGTCACACGGGGTTTGTGGTAGCAATATCAGGTTCGTGGTAATAAGAAGTGAATTATATGAATTCAAATGTTGTTTTAAAGTCGGCAGAGCCATGCACGAAGTAATAAAAAATAAAACCCCTACTACTGAATATTAATTACTTCACTGTACGAATTAATGAGTGGGTGAGTCAACTTTATGATCACGCTAGCAGTATTTCAGCCATATTGAGACAGGAACATTCCATACCTTTTCATGTATAAAAGCCTGTGGACAAAGAAAAGTAAAATAGTCAGTAACGTCAGTATATAACAGACTAGCATTTAAAACAAGATAGAGTATTCCAAAGGATGTAACTATTAAACAACGATGCAATATACACTTCATGCTCTAGTTTGCCAACAAACAAAGGTTCGCAATTTACCAGGGGACAATGGGGACTAACATAACCCCTGCTTCATGCATGGTTCCCAAGCAGCGTGTATTGCGTGCTGCAGGTATTTGTGTCCATGCCGTGGTGGAAGCACCCCACCTACAACATAATATGTAAAGGCTGGTCGTCAGGAAAACACACCTTCTACACCAGGTTAGTCATTCCTGAAGGTTGATATTCTCGTCATCCATTCCATTTGTCCACGGCGCATTTGTTGTAACGCAAAGAACACAGTGTGTAAACATTGTGGACAAAGAGGTGACGCTATATGTTGGGCGTCGTTCGTGAAGTAGAACATTGAATAGGACAGGTTCTACAGTTCAAACATACTGGCTATGTGGCGGGATCACGAGACTGAAAGCCAGATACTTTGAAGAAAGATATCTATACTTTGTGATCCTTAATCGCCAAAATACTTAGGGACATAGCTACCGATCGTTCTGCGAGCCCAACAGAAGTCCATATTGATCTTGGCATATCATTGTCATTGGAAACTGTGAAAGGGTCTGAATAAACATAGCTTATATACACAGATACAGTTCTGAATACGTTGCCTATAGAATTACTCGGTTGAGGTTGTATTGGCAAAACACCATATAAACAAATCAATATATATAGGTTTGTGGCGTTTCAAGTATGAGCTCTTAATACTACGTTGTTTTTTACTTACTTCGCTCATTTAGCACGGGTCTAACACCACCTTTATGTCATGCTACTTTGTAGAATGTGTGTCTTTGGATAACTCTACCGACATATTAACAAAATGTGGTTATAAATCCTATTGACTGTGACTATACTGATACATTATTAGAACGGTGTTCTACTTGTTCTTTCTTTTAACATAACCGTTCTACATTTATGTTAAGACTGATTTCTATAAACATACCTGCTTATCTAATTACTGATATTATTAAACATACCCGTTGTTCTACATACCCCCTATGCAAATTAATGTAATACTTAAATATTAATATATGATTATCATTCAAAAGTGGCTTACACAAGATATATCGCGAGATCACGCAAAACCTCATATGAGATATTACTAGCATGAAATTGCACCCAAATGCCTTGCTGATCATTGTGACGTCATCGGTTACCATGAGATCACATTAAAATCGAATCTGGACCAGACAATCCCGTGATTGACCTCATGAGCATCGATCTACGCAAATGGGATTTTATGACATGCATCTACCTAATCAGCGAGCCTGACTATCCGATCACGTTAGTCGCTTCGTAAGACAAGCAAGGTTTGCTAAAGACCCATTCTAACCCGGACCTTAACGGGTGCACTAATCTGCCAACAAGTTGGATGAAGGATTTGGGATCATTAATAGAAAGCCTTTGATTTTTTAACCTTTTTAAACTCGTGTTGATATAGTTAATATCAAAAGACACTCGGGTGAGATTATCTTTGTTGTAATTGCTTATATTACTCACCGTTCCCATTGTTCTAATTACTGATACTATTTACCATTCCTGTTTACCCTTCCTAATGGTATACTTACTAATATTATTTACCATACATGTTGTTCTAGTTGCTGAGATTATTTAAAAAATTTGTTGTTCAACTTACTCATATTATTTACAATACCTGTTGTTCTAACTGCTGATATTTCTTACTATCCTTGTTCTAATCTCTTTAAATATGCACGTTATTATAATTTCTGATATATTGAAATATACCCGTTCTGTTGACCAATCTCTGTAAACATTCCCCTCATTCCCCTTATTCTAAACATACCCGTTGTTCTATTGAACACGTTGTTCTGTATACTTACATTATTAAACATATTCGTTATTTCGATTTCTGATATTATTTAACATACCCGTTCTAATTACTGACCTATTTCAAAATGTCCGTTTGTCTATTTACTGATCTCTTCAAATATATGCCTTGTTTTAATTACAGATATCTTTTAAATATAACCATTCATTTAATTAGTGGTATTGTGAAACATACCCGTTTTCTTATTACTGACCTCTTTCAACATATCCTTTTTACCAATCGCTTAAAATATATCGGGTTTTTATACCTGATTTATAAAACACATGTGTTTTCTAATTACTGACTCTTTAACGGCTGTTGTAATTAAGTATTCTAATTATCGTTTTTATAATTGGTATTATTAAACTTTCAAGTTTTTTTCACAAATGACAGCTTCCAACAAATCCGTATAATTACTGATGTGTTTAACCATAATTGTTTATCTTATTTGCTACCCTGAACTGCCGGGACACAAAAAGTATACATTTTAAAATTGGAATTGACTAAAACAAATGCAAACTCTGTAAAAACGTTACTTTACTGAACACACTGGCCGAAACACTGCAAACTTAAGGTTCAAAACTCAATGATACGCGTATCAAATTCACACATCACCATCGAATAACCATTTCTTCTTTGCTTCATTTTTAAAACGTTTTATTTTTTTCCGTGGGTATATTTAAACACAACCGTTGTTTGTACATACCCGTTTTAGCAACCGATATCAATAAACATACCCGGTCTCTTTAAACATATCTGTTCTAATTACTGTAATGCTTTAAAAGAGCTTGAATACTGCTAAAAGAGGCGTAAAACCATACTCACTTACTCACTCACTCTCACTCACTGTATGAATTACTGATATATATTCACATGTATCGCTTGGTATTACAACTCTCATTCCACAGTCATGGCAGACTGGATATGACCGAATTTTGAGGTATGTTATCTTTAATTTGAAAAATGTAAATTATACATTTGAGACCAAAAGTGTAAGTTTCTGATATTCAAG